TAATAATAATAATAACAATAATAATGATAATAATAATATTAATGATAATAATAATAGTAATAATAATAGTAATGATATTAGTAATATTAATAATAATGTTTATTTATTTATTTAAAATTATTGACTGATACAAATCTATTGTTATTGATTTGTTCCGCGAAATTATGGTTCATTTCGATTTTATTATTTTTTTTTTATGAATTTGTTCCATTTTTTTTCATGGAAAATACAATAATAAGCAATTATTTTTATATTAAATAAATAAATATTGCTAAAAATATTTATTAAATCGCTTATTAAATCGCTTATTTTTAGACCGATTTTTCATTACGAAAAGAATCGTAAGGAATAAGAAATTTTTATTATTTATTCTTCGAAGAAAATCGCGAATAATCGAATCAACTGATGAATCCTGAGTTCGATCTTTTATGTAAGTTAAACTTCTACTTCATCCTCGAATAGAATTCACCATTTTTCGCTATATTTTTAGCTGAACACTACTTACGTGAGGATTTTACCAGAGTCGCATAGTGATAAATATCACCAACGGCCATGTTGATTCAACTTTTAATAACGGCTTTATAAATGACAGAACTACTTACTTATATTTATTATTATTATTTATTATTACTAAAACTATTTAAGTAATTCTTTTGTACTACTTAAAGTGATAATTCTTTATCTTTATCATTGTCCCTTGTTTTTATTTTTTTTTTCTTGTTTTATTCTTATCTTATTTATTTAATTTTATCACTCGTAATGTTTATAATTTTCTATTGCGATTATTACGATTATGTATGTAAATAAATAGTTAGCGCTGACCACATTAATTTTGGTCAACCTCGTTGCACTGACCATTTGTACAATGAGAAATTTTTATCGCGGAGTCATTTAGTGTTAGAAATTAAATAGGCAACCAGTATCGCCCACACTTTTTAGCATCATTATTCTGAAATATTAGATAAATACTGTCGCTCGAAGCGATGTTAGAGCAACAACCACTCGGCTATCCTACCTTCCTACCTTACAAAGTCTCTAATAAAAAAATTCACTGAAAAGAATAGTAAAAATAGGCTAATGGAAGTTTTTAATTTTAAAATAACTTATAAAGAACGATTGAAAAATTTCTAGAAATATGAAAATGAACGATCGAAATGAAGAGGATGAAGGAAAAAGAAAAGGAAAAACTCGCCGATTCCATTATACGAGTACTGATATTCGATACTGGGCCGCTGGATTATTCAGATCACGTCGAAAATATGAAAAATCGGTTATAACGAGAAAGAAAGATAGTCGAATGATAAATGATATTAATGAAAATGGAACTACTGAAGCACAGTCATCATCCCTTCTTAAAGATACGACTAAGAATAATGGAAGGAATATTGAAGTAAATCAAGAACGTACCCGCTTAACCGATAATTCAAGTGATCTAATGTGTTATTTTAAAGAAGAGAAACATCGCAGGTTATTAAAATTTTCTCCGAATTTCTCTAATATCAGTACGAATTGCTAAACTTTTTGGTGTCACAAAAGCTTTTAATAATTTGCTTTTAGCAATTTTTTGAGGATAGGATTATATTAGATTCCCGGAGGCATCCAAAGAAAACGATCATTAATTGTCAAACGATAAGGATAAGGACCGAGCCATAATGCTTAAACCCAAATATAATATTCCTATTCCCATCCTAGAGGAAATGCTTTTAAATGCATGAAGCAAAAGATTTAGAAATAAAGATGTAACAAATAAAAATTAATATGTGATTTCTACTAGTGGCAAAGTCACCAGGCACCACCAACAAATTTAATTGGTATGACTGATGCTGCCATTATTATTGCTGGTAGCCTATATAACTATAATTAGGGAAAATACTAAATTGGAAATTGCGAAGGTAAATTTGCTAATTTTTTCTCATTTAAATTGGCATTGTTTTTCGGATCTTCTCGAATATGTCATATCACAAGATAAGAACCAATCATATGGATTACAATTTATCATTCATTTTATCATTTTTTAATTAAAATAATATGATTGAATAATAAAATATTTAAGATAATAAAATATTAATAAATGATATCTTAAATTAATAGAGAAAATAAAAATATAATAAATAGAGAAAATAATAGAGAAAATATAAAATTTAAAATAATATTTAAATAAAGTATTATTAATATGTTAAAATATTTATTATAAAATATATATTTTTCAATAAAAAAGAATTACTAATTGAAGGTACCATTTGTATGAACGTTCATTGCGAAATAATGAACAAGAAAATCGTCAGCATTTTCGATCGAGTAATTTTTCATTAGCTGCCAGTGCAATTCCGAATTCTCAACAAATTCGTCAACTTTCAGAACCAAAGTTCTTTTTTAAAAAAAATTTATTAATCATCTACTTCTCTTTAATTGAACAATTTCATCGTTTAACAGCACTCAGCAGGTTTTTAGTTTGGTTGGTTCCATTAGGAATAAAACCTTTTCGTTAACGAGTGATTTATGGAATTTGAGGAAGTGGGGGGGGGGGGGGGGGGGGGGGGTAAGAGGGAGGGAAATAGGTTGATTTCAATTCAATTTACGAATTTCTCTTTGCTTATTTTCAGCGTTAATTTGGTGAATGATCGTAAAATCGATGAATATAATAATTATCTACGAATTATGGAAGAAGAAAAAAATTATGAAAAATTAAAAGAATGGCAAAATTGGATGCGAGAACAACCGATAAGCGTACTTAAACTCGATAAAACTGAACGATTAGTCTTAAAAATTGGTGGTTCGTTTCAACTTTTCTTTTTTTCCAATTTCACTATTTCATAATATAAAATTTTAAAGAAAATATTTATATTTTATTACAAATTTGCAAATATTTATCGGTGATCAGCCAACGACGATTCGTTCGCTATTCATTTCGTAACGAATTTTCTTTAAATTCCTAAAATTTTATTAAATAAATTATTTAATAATTATTAATCGAAACTATTTTATTTATTAACCATTTTATTGTACAATCAACCAATCATTTTAGTGAAAAGTTTCGCCTTAAATTTATTATCTATAATCTTTCATATGGAATAAATTAATTATTAGTAATAATGTCGAGTAGGTTGCTTATTAGTTATTATTTTAGTTATACGTTTTGACCTAATTTATATATTTTATTTATTTTATTTGGCGATAAATAAACACGTCGTGCAGGTCAGCCGCTTCAATATTCGTTAAAAATAATAAATAATTGAATATTAAAATAAAAAAATATTAGTATAAGCAAATATAAAAGAGATACTTATGGGTTGAAATTACCAAAGCCAAAGTATTTATTGGAGATTTGATGAAAAATTTTGGCTTCGCTTATCGCTCTACTTGGCTAATTGCTTCAAATAAATAAAAATTTGATTATCTTTTTTTGATAATTTTAAATTAGAAAATTAATAATAATAATAATAATAATAATAATAATAATAATAATAATAATAATATATATCACTCGTTAATATGCTATTTAACTGAAATTTAATTTTCTGAAATTTTTAATAATTTTATAAATTTTTTAATTTTTAATGATTTGCTATGGTTAAATGGTGCTATGGAATTCTGAAAATTTTCATTATTTGTTATTTGCCATTTTTTAATATCGAAAATTTTGTACAATTTGTGAAATTTTACGAAAAACAACTAATGGCCAAAGCATTTTATTGTTGAAATCTTATAATCTATAGATTCACATGCGTCTGGGAAATTAAATTAACATTTAAATTTTTTAATATTTTTCAAAATTCATGTAAATTTATAAATATTGAAATTTCGCGCAAAAAAACCATTCAGCCATTATTTTTTTCCACAAAATTTAGCAGATTATGCAAATTTTAGAAATTTTAGAAAATTAAAATAATACATATATGCATTAATTAATGGATCGCTAAAATTAATGCCTACTGATTTTTGTCCATTTGCACTAAAATTGCACAAACGAAAGGAAAATATACAATTTATCATTATGATTTTATTTTATCATTGAAAATAATTTACCATATTACTGTTATCTTATCACAATGATAAAACTTCATCATCTAATCTGCAATTTGAAACTATTTTAAGCCATTATTTGTCGAACTATTCGTAATTTTGGATGTATTTATTTGATATAATCGGGTTTTATAACGAATTCTATTGGCCTAATTTCCATTGAAAGGGCCTTAAATAAAAATTCTTTATTGAATTTTTGAGAATATGATTTATGTGATTTGAGTTATTGAGGGTAAAATTTTTTTGATCAATTTCCTCATTCTTATGACATTTTTGCAATGATTATGAGCATTAATCAAGTCTCCAGTCTCCTTACATGAAAATAATTAAATTGTTTGGCACTCACAATTTCTAATTAAGTCTATTTGCTATTAATAAAATAAGATAATTTTTGATAGAGCCATTTGGAAATAGCAAAAAGTGAGGATAATTCACCGAGTACCATCCGGACATTTACATTTACAGGTTTACTTCTGCGAGTTACAGATTTCGACGGTCGAAATGATAATCTAAGCAATTAGGTAGAGATATTCAGTTTTCCGATATGATCTGAAGAAAATCGTTTTTTGATGAATCGAATTTAGCTCTGAAAACTATGTTACCATATAAACCATAAGAACCATAAGCCTCAAGGCTAGAAATATATAAAATAAATTCTCCATGAGAAAAGTCGAATTTTTGTAGATATATTCTTTAAAATATTGAAAAATATTTAAAATAAGTTGGCTCTACTGGCTATTAGGACAAAATGTTCCTAAGCTTTTCAATCCTGGAATTAACCAAAGCTATTCCTTTTTTTTTCCTTTCTCATATTTCAAACTATGTGATTTATTTAATTAAATCATCGAAAAAGTCTGTCAAACACTACAATGGAACTATTTTTTTGTAAGATATTTCATATTTTAAAATTTCCGATGAGGTCTGATTTTTCGATAATTCTCATTTTCTAAAGATTATACGGAAGTGAGGCTTGATTGGTTACTTCATAAATTGCTTCATAGGTTTCGATTCCCTTCCCAGACAGGAAACTATTAATAAAATGCGATGACCGATGATGACCCATTTGCACTTCTATTGCCTGGCTCTGCGGCAAAATTTTCCAATGGTCAGCTGAGCTAGTCTAATCAAAAATGCTCTAATCGCTTACTCTCTCTCAAAAGCACTGGCTTGTATTTCTAATACTTTAAGGCTTATAATACTATTAAGGAAAAGAGAATTCCATAGTACGGTGATGATGATGATGATAATGATATCTTATCAATTTTCTTCTTGAATTCCATTGAATTTCACATAATTCCTGCATACGTACATTGATGATGACCGTCGTCGAATTTTTATTGGTCTAACTTTATCAATTAAAGCCATTCGATTTCCTTATCTTAAAGGTCATCAAGAGGTCAAACAATTACAATCGCTCGTCGATCGAACAAATTTTTAAAACTTATTTTATTTACAATTGTTGGTTGCCGAAAAACATAGTTTTTTTCGATATTTTTGTTTTTTAATTTTATTTTTACAAGTGCTTTTAGCCAAAATAAAAATTTCATCGGATTTTCTGGTGTTTATACATTTTTTATTCTGTTATACAACATATAAATTTTTGAATAACATTCACTACTGTTGATTTGGTTGGCCTCCTTTCCTTATCCCCTTTAGGACTATTAGGAGTCCAATCCTTTCGCAGTTGGGAAATAGAAGTGCAAGTGGATCCGTCCCAAGCAAACTATTCTATTTTTATACAACATTATTGCAAACTACGGTTTTTTATTTTTTATATTATACATTTATTGTATATATTTATTACATTCTATTTACATTATATATTGTCGTATTATTTATTATTTTTTAAAAATTTATTTAGAACTAATAGAAAAAATTCAACCTTTTTAAAATTTTTTTCTAAAATCCCCTGTTCATTCTTTAAATTTCCCATTCAACATGTAAGTAAGTGATGAAGTCCACCATTTCTGTTTAAATTTGGTTACACCGCTGGTTATTAGGGCAGTTAGAAATTTTTGGATTTATGGCTACAAATGCACCGAGTTTCACCAGTGGCAAAATTTTTTTTAGCTTCATTTAATAAATTCTTTATAATTTGAAATTTAAGTAGAATTTTTTAGAAAATTTTTAAAGAAATTTTGAAATTTTAAAAAGAAATTTTTAAAAAGAAAATTTTTAAGAAAACTTATGCTCATACTTTAATTGAATAATTTATTATATTATGTTCGGAATTATTTAATTCTTTTTTTTCAATTTTAATTTAATTTAATTTAGATATATTTTTTATTTTATTTTTTATTAATGGTTGGCGGATCACCATTTAGATGTTTGGTTTGTTTCACTGGTGGTTGGTGAACTCTATCCATAGAGTTATCAATCGTCTATTCACCAGAGGAACATTTGCAAATAGTGAGTACAAGTGGGTTATCTCCTTTACGAAGGACATATAAAATATATTTTTATTAGAGAATTTTGCACATTTTTGAAAAATTACTTTGACATTAATTTTTGCGAATATTTGAGGCAGTCTTCAATCTCCTTTTATTCATTATAGTTAGTTAGTTAGTTGTATTGTTGAAATCGCATTTAAGAAAAAAATGGTGCATTTCTGCATCATTTCTTAATTCTAAAACCATTAAATTTTGAATTTCATCAAATATGTCGAAAATTTTCAAAAAAATTCCCCACTCGCCTATCGTGTCCTTCAGTTTCTAATATTTTATATTTTAAATATTTTTATTGTTTTCTTTTTTCTATTTGAGGAAAAATGAAAGAAAAAAGACGAGAGAGTTCATAATTTATTATAGCAAAGATTTATTGTTTTGTGAATACGTCCGAAGCTTTGAAATTCGGAACTTCAGGTCTTTTATAAGTATAAAAAAAAGTAGCGGTTAGAATTAGGATTGGCACTGCTCTGATTATTAGAAACTCTTGCAAGGGAGTGGAATCACTTAACTATAAAAATGTAAGGTGTGTACCATCGCCTTAAAGATTCTTTAATGATAGGTTTATCCTGATAAAATATGGAGCGCGAAGGGAATCACTACGATAATCTCAACCAATATCCACTCGCCTATCGTGCCCTCCCTTCCTTCACTATAAAGTTCATCTTCGAAAATAATGTTAAATGTTGTCCATTTTTAAAATATTTTTTAAACGCATATTCATTAAATATTCATATTTATTCATTGAAAAATTCAATTTTTTTTACATTGTACATTATGCAAATATTTTGAATATTAATATTTATTAAATAATTGCTGGTGCAATTATGACACTGCTATGTTAAAAGTCAGGGATTCTAATAAGAGCAAGCCATTAAAAAGCTAAATTATGCTAACGGTCCATCTGTAGTTTTGTTACGAAGATTCGTGATTCCTTGAAAAAAATTTGACGAGCATGTGGTGCGAGCCAGAAATTATGAACGCTGGCTTCATTGCTTGTTTTATTTGCCTACAATATGGGGCCTATCGAGCTATAGTTGGTATATTAACGTATTTAGCAGGTAACCTACCTGAACGATTACAATCTGAACTTATGATTTTTACTGGAAAAGTGGAATCTTCTAACTTAGTACCAATTGTTATAGCATTTAATGATGAACAGCTAGTGATATATAAAATTTTGTTGTTAATTGACCTGTAAATTCTTCTAAATTTAAAAAATTATCTTTATTTAAACTATTTAAAGAAACTATTTCAATGATTTGAAGATTTATTGTGAAATTAAAATATTTTAAATATAAAAGAATACAAAAAGAGTGTATGGCGGATTTTTATTTTCTAATGATTCACTGATAAATGAGAAATTGAAATTAAAAATTCCAGAAAGTGAATGTAAAGAAATAATGAATATGGAATCATTGTTAAAATAAGGTAGAAAATTAATTTTTATAATATAAGAATTGTGATAAGAATGATAAGGAGACAATTGATCAACCGTCGCATTGAAATAAATCACTTAGAGTATGAACTGTTTTACCAATTAGCAACTTATAAGAAAGTCAATTTTTTAAATTTAATTTTATTAAATTTATTTTAATATAAATTATTTGTGATTTGTGATCATCTGATTATCAAGATAAGACAACTTTATCAGAGAATCGTTTGGGGATAAAACGATAGATGGTTCCACCAGACTTTTAATGACGATTATATTCTGAGGTTTCGAATCGAATTTATGATGGCTTGGCTAGCATATCACTCGACCATCGTAACTCCCTATGCTAAGAAATTTGTTCCTTTACGAATAATTTTCTAATTTTCGCTCAGCTAATGGGAAATATATGACTGTCGATTTATTTTCTAGATGCTAGCCAGCCATCGTCCTCCATCTTTGCCAATACTAATTTATAATTATTCTTAAATCTTTTTAAAGTAAGTAATTATGGATAGAATGGCCAAGTGAATGGTTCACTTCCTCGTATAAGAGGTAAATCTTCGAACCCTATTCTCGGACAAAGGGGTACTTAAGTCGAGTCGTGGAGGTGTTGACAACTCACCGTCAAATACTGCCATCGTCAAATGACTCACTGGTAAAAATTACACTTAACAGCCAAAGGGGTACTTAAGTCGTGGAGGTGTCAGAAATGGGAAACGCCAGTTAATTTTTAATTAACTCGGTGAGCTGTGGCACTGAATTATTTTTTACCAAATTCATATTTTTTGGTTTTTTTTTTATTTTTATAAGCAATTATAATAATAATTATTATTATTAGTTATTTTATAAGCAATTCAAATTATAATTTTTTATAATTTTAACTAAATTATTAAATTATTATTTCATAAAATTTTATGATTAAATTTTTATTTCAAAATATTTGCCATAAAATTATCATTCATCGCTTAAGATATTCCAAGTTTTTACCATAAAAATTCGTTTTTGACAAAACATTTTTTTTTTTCATTTGTATTTTTATCATTTTAATTCCTCGTAATTCATCATTTTTTTTGTCGTTTTTTTTTCGAATCTTTATTTTTGCAAAAAAAAAAAATATTTATTTATTTATTTTATTCATTCTTTAATGATTAATCTAATTTTTCTTTGTTAATTTCCTTTCATAAAAAGATTAAATTTTTCTCGTAATGATTCAATTTGTTTGGCTATAAAAGCAAAAGCAAATGCAAATGCAAACGAGCGAGCGAGCATTCTTCATTGCATTCATTCGTTATCATTGCCGTTATCAGTGTCTTTCGTTCATACCCATTCGTTATCACAACTTAACGAAATTATCAACAATAATTTTATGTTCGTATAAAACCCCATCCAAATAATGGTTATTTTCTTTAATCTATGCCACTAATCTTTTTTTTGACTACTATCAATTTTTTTTTTTTGAGGCCTGTAAATTCTTCTGAATAATTCCTTTTAATGTATAAAATAAGACAAAGAATTGCTGTTGAAAATTAATGTTATCTAATTTCTATTATTTCTGATTGGGTGATAGGTACTATAAAATTTCTATCAGAAGCTAATAAAAATAAAAGTCTCCCACTGGATCTTCCTCCTTATCTAAATTCACCGATCGGCTATAGTATGTGTCCTCAGGACTCACTACATGGAATGACGGTGAACTTCGAGTTGAAAACAGCTGCACTATAGCTATTCGATTTATTTCTATATCCGGTTTGACAGATAACTTTTTAGGCATAAACAGCACCAGATGGTCTTTTTTTTTCCGCAGATTAAACGACTAACCATTTAACATTTGTTAATAAATTCGTTCGTTCCACAATAAAATTAGTTTCTCTTTTTTTCATTCAACAATTACCTTTGATCTTCTGACCTCTCTGACCCCGTGGGGGAATGTTCTGGTGAAGGGGGCTTAACTTTCTCAGTTTTAAAATCCATTTTGCCGGGTGGTGCTAGCGATCCACCTGTAACTTCTATTGCCAGTTGTCTTCTTGGTAAGCATTGATGTGGTCCAACTAGGCCAGTGGGGCAAAGTTTACACACAATCTGAGTTGTGATGGGTAAAAAAATTAATGCAAATATGGTTTAAAATCCCATTAATTCAGCGAAACGATCGAATAAAATCGCCGTTGTATTTACTTTAATGAAATTCGTTGTCTCGGGAAATTTTCATTTGTTAATGTGGTACTTCTTCATTGACCTTTGCTCCTTCCTGCACCCACTGTATTCCCCCTCCATCATGTTCCTCGTTAGCCTAAATTCCCGGTTTGTTTCCTTCTCTGTCTTTCCAGTTCTCGCAACCTCCTTCTGTCTTTTATTGTCTTTCTCATTACCGCTTCATTACCTCTATTCCTTTCAATATTTATTTTCCATCCACTCCATCTCCCCTCACTCGTCATTCTTCCAGTCCACTTCTTCTCCCCTCCCGCACACCGTCTTCCACATTCCCCCTTCCCCCCTCCCTAATTTTCTTATGAACAAAGTAAGGGAATACCTTTTGTGTAACTAAAGTAAATATGTTTCATAACCATTCATTCATTCATTCATCATCAATCAACATTCATTTCATAAAGCACACATTCATTATTGATATATTTACATAATTATTGATTTTTTTTTCATTTTCTGATTTACTGAATTTTTTATCAAAAAAAAAATTATTGATTTTTTATTAAAAATTTATTGAATTTTATAAAATTCTCTTTCAAAAAAATTTTTTTCTCTATTTTTAAAACTTTAAAAATTTAAATTTAAAAATTTTTTTCCTCATTTTTAAAATTTTTTAAAAATTTTTATGCAATAATAAATAAATAACAAATAATTAATTTCAAATAAGTAAATGTAAATAAATGTAAGAAATTAATTTGATTCAATGAAAAAAAAAAATTTTATTTTATTGGTTATTCGATTCGTTTCTTTTCCATAAAAATTTCTCTTTACTTTTCCTCATTTTTTTCTTTTTTTATAAATTTAAAATACATTTATCGATCGATCGATTATTTTTTTTTTGTATTTATTTTTCGTTTTTTTTTTTTCTTCAAATATTTGTGAAATTTATTGAATTCAATTCTAATCGATTTTAAATAATAAAAAATAAGAAAAATTAAAAAGAATTGCACCAAAAAAAAATTTAAAAATTTTTAAATTTAATGGTTAGCGGATTTAATAAAAATTGGAAATGGTGGGTAATGTTAGAAGAAAAAGCCAAAATTTGTGGTGAACGGACCGACCGCATTTGAGGTTCTCTTCAGTTATAAATGATTGGAAGAGGAGAGGTGGGAGGGGAGAAGGGGGAGGGGGCGGAATGGCGCAGCGAGTTGCGGCGTTCCGGCCGGTGAGAGACGATGCTGGGATTCCACTCCCCGCAGGAGTAAACATTTCTTCCAAAAATCCGAGTCTTACTAGCGATTCGTTTGTAGTTTTGTCGCTAGTGATAAAATTTGCCTGGTTCGTTAAGCCAAGAAGAACGAGCCTGAAACCAGAAATGGTGAGAAGAGTTCTTCAAAAAAGAAGAAAATTTCTGCCGGCTTTATCATCGATAAAAGTTATAGAAACCACATTATTTCTCATTACTACGTATATTTTATTTTATGAGGATGAAAAAATTACGCGGAAATTACGTGATCCAAAGGCTTCAAGAGAGAGTGCTTAGGCCGCACCAAACGGGGCCAAGAGGCATGAGAAGTGAGGTTGGGAACTCGTGTATTAGAAAGAGAAGAAATAAATAATAGCATTTTTAAATTAAGCTTTCATTTATCTTTATCAAAGGTTCTGTTAAGGTTCTTATCAAAGTTAAATTTTGTAATCATTGATAAGAATAAATTCGCATTGAATTCGCTTTTTTTTGTTGTAAAATTCATTAAATCAATTGTTCAAATTCATTAAATCAATTATTAATTGCTTTATTTTTTATTAGGAAAAGTAAACGGTTATCAGTTATCAGTTAGACTGCATCCACTGATTTATCAATAAATTAAAGCAACTTGGCCAGACATATGGGTCACCCATCACCCGAATTTTAAAATAAATTTTAGAATAACTATATTTTACTTCACGTAAACTTTTATTAGCAGACCCTCTCCCAAAAAATTATTAATAATTATTTATTTTCCTATGTATTGCGTGTAACTTTTTACCCGCGAGTAAGGGTAATTAACGCGTTTATAGTAGTTTTTTGCGATAACTAATAAAATATTTTAGTAAATAGGAATTTTATTAGATGTATTAGATAAAATGTCATTTTCCTCATCAACAAATCTTTATTCGTCGGATCAATCGTCTTCCGAATATTATTTCATTCAGTGTTATGAGAATGATTCTTTAGAACATTATGAAATTAATCTTGAACGTTACAAAGGTTACTTTTTAAAATATTAGAAATATTTTTTAAAAAAAATTCGCTCAAAAATAGCGAAAATTCTTTTTATTAAATTGGATATTGAAATTTTTTATTTTTATGCATAAATATTTAATAATTTTATAATTTGATTTTTGCTAATTTGAAATTTATTTTTGACATTTTGACATTCATTTCTGACGAATTATATGAATAAATTATTTTCATATTTTCTTCTTAAAATTAAAAACTATTACCATATTTAATATTTTAATATTACTATTAATATTAATAAATTAATAAATTATTTAAATAAATAATTAATAAATAAATTAATAAATAATAAATTATTAATAAATTAATAAATAAATTATTAATAAATAATAAATTATTTCTATATTTTCTTGTTAATATTAAAAACTATTACCATATTTAATATTTTAATATTACTATTTTTAATATTTTTTATTTGCAATTTTTTAAATTTTTTTCACAAAGAATAATTTCTTTAAAAAATTTTTCATTTCAAAAAGCGATTATTTCGAATTTTAAATTAATGTAAAATTTTTATAAAAAATATGATTTTAATAATTATATTATACAAAATTATAAAATATATTTTAGAAAATTCTTTTTATGAAAATTTTAATATTATTTAATATAAAATATAATGGAATTATAATGTAACTTTTTTGATGATTTGTTTTTGATTTGATTTGTTTTGTTTATTTTAAATTAGAAATTTGAAAAGATGAAAGCTAAAAGAAAAAAATATAAATAAAATTTTGAAAATTATTTTCATTTTACATTAAATACCTATTTCATTAAATGATTTAGTAAATATTTTTAATCAAATTGATTTTAATTAATTTCCTAAAAATATTTATTAAATATTAAATATTAATTTTTTAAGTATCGAAAAAATTTTGAATATTTTTTCAATAAACATTTTCTTTTTTTTCGTAAAATTATTTTGTTTGAAAAAAAAAATTGTGATTAGTGGTTTTAAAAAAAATTTTTTATTTTTTTAATGTAGAATTTTATATTTAAAAAGGAAAAGTCATTTTTTTCTTTTAATTAAATATTTTTAAATAAATATTTTTAAAAATATTTTTAAAATATTAAGTTATTGAATTTTCAACAAAATTTATTTTTAAATTTTATTTTAAAATTTCAAATAAATAAATAAATAAATTTTTCTTCAGACGAAAGAGATGCAATACAAAAAAAAACATTTACAAAATGGGTAAATAAACATCTTTCAAAGGTTATATTTTTATATTTCCATTTAATTTATTTTATTTTGTAAATAAATTCGTGAAAGTGATTTAAAAAGGACTGAAAAAGGTGCTCTACACAGCCATTAAGGCCCGGCACCATAGGTTTCCTCTTCGCTGAAAAGGGCCATTAAGGTTGAGCGGCATAGGCCCGATTTCCTCCCAGTTGGAAAGGGTGCTTCAACCGTTAAGGCCCTTAAAACTTTTTGAAATATATTATAAATACTTTAAGAATTATAAATATTTATACATTTAAAAAAGAATATTTAGACAGGTCGTCGTGTCGAAGATCTTTTTGTTGATTTATCAGATGGTTTAAACCTTATTGCACTGTTAGAAGTACTTTCCAATGAACATCTGGTAATAAGTTTTTGTATTTAAAAAAATTTTTTTTAAAAAACATTTATATTCATTCGATTCATTTTAAATAATTTCGCAAATAAAGAAATGAACGAAAGAATAGGAAAACGAGACAAATAAATCTCCTTGATTTTATATTTTTTAAAACAATTGGTTTATTGGGAAAATTTTCGAAAAAAATTAAAAATTGCCTAAATAGCGAAAAGTGAAGGAAAAAAGGAATAGAAAGAAAAGGATTTCCTTCTTTTCGTCGCTAAAACCAACTTAATAAGCTTTTTTGAGGACGAGCTTTTGAAGCTTTTTTGGGGGTGAATATTGGTTTCGAGTAAGATCGCTGGCTCACGTCTGTCCAGAAGAATAATTGTTTTGTCCTCGAAATGCCTTTCTCTCTGCTAAAAAGAGTTTTATTCTAATAGTCAGTTGAATTAGCCAAATCGGAAATGCGATTAGAAGAAAAAGTTTTATTGTAAAAATGTTTTCCAATCTCGATTCGTTTTTTTCTCTTTTTGGTTATCGAAATTTATAAAAAAAAAATTCTAAAAATTCATTTTTTAAGGGTGAATAAATTTGAAAAAATTGTACTCCTTTAAAATTTTTTTATAATTAAAATTGAAAAATTTTAAATGAAATTTTTTTTTTTAGCCACACGAAAACGGGTTTACACGATTTCATCGAATACAAAATGTGCAATATTGTCTCGATTTTTTAAAAGCAAAAAATGTTTGTCAAGTTTATTATTTATTTTTATAAAATTTCCTATAAAAGATTATTGAAAAGCGAGAAAAAAGTTTTCATTCGCTCTTTTTTTTTTTATTTTGAATTTCTTTTAAAAAAAAACGCAATTGCAATGATAAAATGATCATTATCAGCAGCTATTTATAATTCATTTATCATTAGTCGCATCATTTATTATCAAGGTTGATAGCCGAAATGATCATTATCAGAGGAAGATATGCTGTTAGGATATGCGATTGCCGAGTGGCACACATATGCGACTCCTGTCTTTTACAGGAATAAACCTAAACCTATTTTAACAGACACAAAAACGTCATCACTTCTCTGTACTTTCATTTTCTAGTGATTCTCTAGCAAAGGATTTTATCCTAACAGTCACTGGAGTTAGCCAAAAATCAGAAATGATGATAAGGATCGTTATCAATAACAATTTTATTTTCGATAAAATTAATTTATAAAATAAGGAATATTCTAGAAAAAAGAGGCTATTGCTTATTTGTAGGATATATTTTCAGGTAAAAACAGTAAATATACGGCCAGAAGATATCGTTGAAGGTAATTCGAAATTAACGCTTGGACTTATTTGGACAATTATCCTTAATTTTCAAGTTTCGATAATAAAGCAACGACAATATGAAATTTCAAATAGTCAGGTGAAGGATTTGATTTTATATTTATTTTTATTTATTTTTTGTTATTTTCATTTTACATCGTTATTCGTCTCTTTCTTCCTATTTTCTATTTGCCATTTATTATTGCTTAATTTTTCTTCTTCTTCATTTTTTTCATAAGAATTCTTTCCTATTTCATATTCAATCTTTTTAATATTTTTAAAATAAAATAAATAAAACAAATGGTTAGTGCTTACTCTTTCTGGTTAAGTTAATTCAGCTGCTTGTTAGCATAAATCGGAAATTTTTGCTAAGGAATTACAATAGAAATAGAAATACTGGTGAAGTCGTTCGCGTGGATTTTTACTGGGATTTTTTAATGACTAATTTATTGGCTATCGATTTGTGAATAAATTTAATTTTAATTTTAAAAATAATAGAAGTGAAAAATTAATTTTAAAAAAAATTCATAAAAATTAAATTCATAAAAATTCATAAAAATTGTTAAATTCATAAAAATTTCCTATTTATTTTTTTTCAAAATATTTTCAAAAAATACTTCTTTTGAAATTTTCAAAAAATACTTCTTTTCAAATATTTAAGTATTTTTTCTGGTCTTTTATCACTCTCCTATCTTACAATTTTGTTATAAATAATTTCTTTTCTAAATAGCATAAATGAAAATTTGTACCGAAACATGTTTACATGGATAATTTTAATAGTAACAACCCGTTATTAGCAATAATAATAGTGGTTTTGTTATATTGGTAACGTATATTTACTTCCTGTTTGCCGTCACTTCCTATCGCTTAATACGGAGAAAAGCAGAAAGAGAATTGATACGACATTAGTAAAATGTCATTTAGGCAGTATGGTAGAATAGTGGTAATATTGCTTGGATTATCGTTTTAAGTACCAAAGTAACGCATAGAGAAAATTTGAATGGAAATGGCGATTCATATTTATCATATTTCTCCAAGATGACCCTCTAGCGAAAATGTCATCCTAATAGTCATCGAAGCGAGCCTAATGAGAAACGGTGAGCGTTAACAGTCAACTAAACCAGCCATTGAAAGTGGTGCCTCCTGCTGGAGTCGCATCTATTGTCACTGATTCACTGGTAAAAGAATCTCACCATAATAATATTTATTAGTCAGTCAGATCAGAAGTGTGCTGTTGGAAGAAAAGAAATATTTACAAAAATATTTAAAATGATTCATCTAAAAATAAATAATATCAAAAAATTTTTCTTTTTTCTTTTAAATTAAAATTAAAATTAGAAAAATAAAATTGATGAATAAATATAATAAACGGTTTATTGAAAAATGGAAAAATTGCGAAATAATTTTTATTAGAATTGAATGAATTGAAAAAAAAAAAATTATAAAGAAAAATAAATAATGCAGTGGAAGTAAAAATGAAGTAAAAGAAGAAATGAATGAAGGAAAAAAGGAAGGAAAAGGGGAAGGAATATATGAAAGGAAGGTTAATGGTAATAATAAAAAGGAATGTGCAAAAAGGAGGAAACCGGTTTATTTAACCGTGATTAACCGCCCTTTTTCTCAATTTTAATTCCCTAAACAACATTCGTTTCATTCATTCATTCAGTTTTGTATTGGTCCTTTCAACTGTAAAAAGAATTTTTGTGAAAGAATTATTAAAAGAACTGTACGAAGGATATTGAGAAGAACTGTAGAAATTTTTATAAGAAAGGGCTGAAATCGAGCGAATCAACCAACCAACCAACCAACCAACCAACCAACAACCAATCAACCATAGTCATTTTTAGAAAACAAATTATCTTTCGTAAAACCCCGTTTCTTTTCTTCCCCGCTATTGAAGTAAAATAGTCGCTGTCCTTTTCTCCTTGCAATAATAATAACTATTATCAAAATCGTCAACGTCGTCGTCGTCGTTGTCAACTAACTTGCGTCTTTTCTCGCTAAAATTATTACTTGTCTGCACACAGAACTGCCGAAACTGCTATTATTATTATATTAATATTACGATTTATATTTGTTGAATTTTCGATTTGTTTTTGCCATTCATTTTTTTTTTTCCTTCATAAAATTGTCATTTATCAATTATCATTTATCTTTACTGACGCTGCTATTGATCGCTGATAACGATAATATTAATAATAATAATAATAAATAATAGTAATGTATAAAGTACTACGTTCATATTCGAAAAAAGCGGAACGTAAACATGAATTGACTCGTTCAAATCAAGCAAATTCATATGGATATAGTGCAAATGGTTATAATACGGGATTATACGGAAGAGGAGTTGATGAGAATATTTATGGTGATGAACAGCAACAACAAGTAGCAATTGATGGAAGAGAGAGGAATGAATGGAATGTAGGAGTAGGAGGAGCGGAAGGAAGAGGAAAAGCATTCTCTGAGAGTTCTTCATATGAAGCAAGAGAACATTTCGAACGTAAAGTTAAACGTGTTAAAAAAACACGTGCTGAACGTGATAGTACTAGAAAATCGAAAAAGAACAAAGTTAGTTTCATGATTTTCTTTCATTTCATGCCTATTTTCCTTCTTCATATATCTCATTCACATCTTTCTTTATTCTTGCGATAACTTCGTTTTCCTTCTTCAAAGACATGTCTCCTTTCTTTTTTCATGTCTTTTTTTATTCTTCATGCGACATTCTTCTGCTTTTTTTAAAGATTTCCTTTTTGTGTATAGAGTTATTCAAAAATTTTTCTCATTGATTTTCCTTTTTTATTAGGAGTAGAAAATTAAGATATTTTTATTATCACTAAATTAATAGAATTATCCTATTAAAATTATTTATTTAATTGAATTTAATTAAATAAAATATATTCCATTTACAGACAGAAATGTTATTATCGCCACCACAATCAGTTAATAACATTGATATGTTATCAGCGAAAGATGCGTTATTAGAGTGGGCACAAAATGTTACACGTGGTTATCCAGGTGTTCACGTGAAAAATTTTTCAACAAGTTGGCGTGATGGCCTTGCATTTAATGCTATTTTACATCGTTATCGGCCAAATAGCATTAATTGGAATAAGGTTAATTTTTTTTTCATATCTTCTATCGTAGTAGTTATAAAATTGTGATAGTTATTAATTGTTGGCATCATGATGGTTATCTTTTCTTATCTGAGAAAATTTTTTGAATGGATTATCCCTGTCACAATTTGTCATCAAAAAGATGATGATGATTATGTAAAGTAAACTTTACCCGAATCATTGGCAGAAGCCCAAATGATTACTACTAAGTGAATATCAATATCAATAAGATTCGTGATAATGAATGATGATTTTTGGTGATATTTGAAGGATATTCTGGTGATAACATTGATAGTGGTGATAACGGTGATAAATGAATATTGCAGATAAGTGATAGTAATGTGAAAGCACAAGATCGTCTTAATAATGCATTTAATGTTGCTGAAAAAGAATTCGGTGTATCACGTTTAATTGATGCTGAAGATGTCGATATTGATAATCCGGACGAAAAAATTATCATAACATATCTTTCATCGTTATACAATGCGTTACCACATTCATCGTTATTGTATAAGGTTATTTTTTATTAATATTATTTATTTATAATTTTTATTTCATAATTTATATTTATATTATTTATATTAATTATTATTTTATAAAATAAATTTTTTTATAAGCATATAATTTAATTAGTAAAAGTTTAACAAAATTATTAATATTACTAATATATAAATTATTTGTTAATATTAATAATATATAAATTAATTTATTAATTTGTATTAATATTATTTTAAATGGGTTTTTTAAACAATTTTTAAAATTTTTGAAAAAATTTATCTTTTCTTTTTCTTTGATTGGTTTTTTATTGGATAATTCTTATATTTAATTTAATTTTTTCGTTAAAATCTGCTTAGAATAATAATAATCAATAAATGTAAAATTATAATATAAAATGTAAAAGAATGTTTGAAAATTAGTCTTAATTGAAGGCTATTAACCTCATAAATATACGAATGAATGATCGTCGAATTCCATTAAATTATTATTTTTATCGAAATGTCTTCGTCAATATTTTTATAATTAATTGGTGCAGTTTAGAAATAATTAACAATAAATAATTTATAATTTATGTAATAAAAATCAGAAATAAATGGATAAGGAAAAAAATAAAATAAAAATAAAAATTTAAAAATAAACGAATAAACAATATTTGCAATTATAAAAATTAAAATGATATGTATTATGCGGTTTCACAAAGAATCGATGGATTTATCGTAAATTCTAACAAATTTTTATCCGATTATAGTAACTTTAGAAGTACCATAGATCGCCAGGATTCATTATGTTTTATTCCCTACCTCTCAGAGAGAGAGAGCTTCTCAACGGAATAATCTGAAATTATATTATAATAAATAATTATTATGAGTTTATGTTATTACTATTAGATTATAAATAATTATTGTAATTAATTGCAGTTTTAAAGTATTTTCATTAGTATTGTTAATAATAAAATTAATATTTTTGTATTTATATTTATTTAATTTTTTTAATTAAAAAAATTAAAAATTAAAAATTTTTTAATTAAAAAACCACTGTAAAATAATAAATGGCAAATTATGCTTAATTTCATTAAAGGGATCATTGTCGGATATAATAAGTCGACTTACTCGCGGAATTGGTATAACCAATGAAAAACTCGATCATATTCTTCAAAGAATTGAGGAAACTGAAGTAAAAGGTTCCGTTTTAAATTTGAACATATTTAAATACATTTATTATTATTATTTAAAAACATTTATTATATAAAAATAAGAATTCCAAAAATTTTTAATTATTATAATTTAGGATTATTGAAAATTTTATTTGAATTTTACAACAAAAATATTTTATTGTTAGCAGTTGGGTGAAATCGCTTATCTCTCTCATTTTATTTATTTTATTTGTATTTATAGTTTTAATCGAGAAGGTATTTGTTTAAATTTAGGATTAAAAAATTTTTTGCAGTGGAAACGTTACGTACAACTGACTTACAGCGAACTATCGATATGATTATCGATGATTTGAATTTACTTGAAACACCAATTCTCGAATTTTTCGATGATGTTGAACAATTAAAGCAAAATAAACACCCAGAAACTAATGACTTTTATCAGCAGTAAGTTTATAGTTTATCATTAACATTGTTTTTTTATACTTATATGGTTTGATGCTAGTGATTGCTGACGAAGGAAACTATTCCAATTTAAAAAGTGAACGGTAAGGTCGAGAGATCGTGGCACTATATTTTGCAGGAGAGGTATCCTGGAAATGGACCAATGGATGAATCTCTAGCCGAAGTTTTTTATGATAGGCTTATTTGTTGGGAGCAAAAACCGAGCTAAAATGAGTCTCAGCTACAGGCGTCATTATTGTAGAAGACGGATTTTTTATGTTTGTGGAAAATATTTTCCTAGATGTAGTTGTTTTAATTGCTTTAGAGTATATGGACTTGAACAACGACGTCAGTCATATTTGACGAGAATTCGGACACAATTCATAACAAAATTAGGCCTTCGTTCAGAATTACTTTTACGTGAAAGTGAAGAACGACGTGAATCGATTCGACGTTCAACGTTTAATCGTGTTGAAGAGTGCATACAATGGGTTCGTACACGACTGGTTAGTTTGCTTTATGCATATATAAACGTATGCATATTGTTAATTATTTTAATTTGGAATTAATATATTTTTTATATATACTAATATATTAATATATTAATATATTTTTGTTTTTCAAAAACTTCTTAAACAGGACAAATTATCGGAAATGGAGTTTTATCACGAATTAAAAGAACTCGAAAATATGTTTGAAGAGCATAAAATTGATAATCATGATATTCAAGATTTTCGCCAGAATGTTGACGAATGTATTGCTCGACAGGTTTTTTTTTAGATTTTTTTAAAAAATTACTTGTTTTTATAATTTGTAAAATTTTTTCTTTTTCGGACTATTAGCAGAGAAGAATTTTTCAAATTCTTAATTGAAACTGATTCTTCCAATTTTTAAATAAAAAATAAAATTTTAATTCAAAAAAATCATTTCTAGAAACAATTTATTAATTTATAGGCAGAAATATGTGCGGAAGATTCACATGAATATTGCGAATTACTAACGACTCTGGAAAGTGAGTATCAACAATTAAGGGATTTATCGGCTGGTCGAATGCTTGATTTAGATACGTTAATCGCTTTTATACGTGGTGTTGAACAGGAATTAATTTGGATAAAAGAACGTCAGGAAATTGAAATTTGTCGTAATTGGTCCGATATTAACCAACTCGATTTGCCAATGCTCCATAATTATTATAAACAAGTGAATTTTTGATTATTATTTTTGCGCGTAAAAATTTTTTAAGTTTCTTAGGTTTGAAGATTTTTGAAATTCTTAAAATTCAATTAATAGTATCCGCTAAGTTGTAAAACCGGAAATTTTTTGTTTATTTTCTTAAATTTTATTTTATTGTTTTAATTAAATACAATTTGATAATTATAATTAGAAAATAACGAAAAATCTTTTTTTTTTGAAATTAAATGAATGCATTTTGATTGATTTCTGCTATTTGAAAACAAGTTTATAAAAATTTTGTCATTTAATTTATAGCAAAAAAAATTGAAAAGATTGAAGTTAAACAAATGGAAAAGACATTGGGAAATAGAAGCATTCACCAATCAACAAATTAAACTCGTTTTCTCATTAAAATAACAAAATTTTGTAGAAAAAATTAAGAAATATTTTTGTATTTCATTTATTTATCAATAATTATATCAATAATTGAAAAAAAAATTAATAAAAAAATTACAAAAAATAATTTTTATATTTTTTATAATTATTTTTTCGTTTTTACGATATTTTTAATTTACAGCTTCTTCATGAAATTGAACTCCGCGAACCGATATTTAACGATGTTCATAATAAAGGAGCAGCATTAGTGAATCAAGGGCATCCAGCAAATTACGTGATTGAGTCGTATTTACGTGAAATGCAACGACAGTGGGATATATTGCTTTCACTTTCCAAATGTCTTGAACAACATTTACGTGATGCAAATAATTTGAAAATGGTTAATAATTTTTTTAAAAAATTAAAATAAAATTTAAATATTATTTTCTTTATTAAAAAAAAGATTAAATATTTTTAAATTTAATATTTAAGTTTATGGAAGATGCGAAAGCTGCAGAAGAATGGATGTTAAAACAAGCAGATTTATTAGAAAGGAAATATAGTAGAAATGATTTTGCATTGGATGAAGGTGAACAATTACTTCATGAATTGGATGAAATAAATGATTTATTGAAGAAATATCATAGCCTTTTAATGAGACTTACTGATCGGAGTGCTGATATATCACCGTTATGGCAACGTGGTGAACGTGTTGAACAACCGATTCCTGTCACAGCTATCGCAAGTGGATATGTCGTTCATGAGGGTTTGTATTAAAATTTATTCATTTTCAATGGTAGCTAAAAATAAAACAGCTTCATTTGCGAGGGAAATATTCATAATTCTTGCTATGATTCGTTTTTCTATGGTTAGTTTGATGTTGCTTTATAATCATTCCACTGACACCTTGTTTTTAAACTGGATTGAACAAAGGTAGAAGCAGTGAAGTTCATTTGCGTATACGCAAATGGTATAAATTTGGTATAACATGGTATAAATTTTTAGATTTTTCATGAGATATTTTTCTTCATTTATTTCATTTTTTAAAATTTTTAAAATATTTTTGTAAATAAATTTTTTATTGTAAATATTATAGAATCATAAATTAAAAATTATAGAATCATAAATGTAAATATAAAAATTTGTATTTCTTGAAATTTATAGGCGATGAATGTATGTTAATTGATAATTCACATCATCATCCGTGGGTATTAAGCGGTGGTCCTGAAAATACCAATTTTTCGGAATATTCCGTTTTCTTTCGAATTCCACCACCTGATTCTCGCCTCACCACTTATCTTAATCGTTTACATGCCAATTTCGATAGACTTCGACGATTATGGGATAAAAAACATCGATTAGTTCGATTGAATATGGTGCTGAATACAATGGGACAGATTCGGTGCGTGAGTTGCATTTATTATAAAAAATAGATTTATTAAAAAAAAATTTTTATGAAAAAAAATATAAAATATATTATTATATTTTAGGATATTCAAATATTTTACTTTAATCTATTTTCATTCTATAATTCTAGTGGATGGGATTTGGATACATTCGCGTCGATTCCAGCCGATGAAAGGGACGCAATAATTAGAGCACTAAATGACGATGCACAAAAATTACTCGCTGAATTAGATGCAAATGATCCATTAGCGATTCGACTTCGTGAAGAATTGCGATTAACCAATGAACATTTCTACGATTTATTGAATCAAATGAATCGACCAAAAGGTAATAATTATAGAAGTCGCAAAATCCATCAATATTCTATGATTTATAACAGTAAAATAATATGCTTTTAGAACCGAATACAAGCAGTCAATTCGATGAGGAAGTTGCGAAATTATTGAATAAATTAAATGAAGCAAATCGGAAATTAAATGATCGTGTTACGCAGGTTTTTTTTTTTTAATATCAAAATATGTTTCATAAATTTTTATTTGTTTTTTCTTATTTTTTTTGAAATTTAAATTTATATTTTTTTAATAGAGTATGCCACGTTCGGTGAACGATTTAGAACGCCTTATTTTGGAACATAAAGATTTTGAAGAAGCCTTGCAAGGATTAGATGTGGACATATCAACAGTTAACGAGCTTTTTCGTCAACTCGCCAGTCCAACTCCTTCGCAAAGAGCTAATCATGATCATTTAAATGGACTTTGGGAGGATATATGGGAATTGTCGAGGATGTACGTTGAACATTTGAAAGCGTTAGAAGGAGTTATGAATGGCATAGTTGAGGTTATTTTAATATCCTTTTTAATTTTGGAATTTATTGATGAAAAATAAATTATTTCATCTAATTTTTTGATTTTTTTTAAGGTGTCAGATATTTTGCGTCAACATGAAATAACATTGAATTCTTATGATGATTTACCTGCATCGCTCGAACGTCTCCGTGGTGTTCATTCGCAGTTATTAGAAATGAATATGGTTCTTCAACAACAACAGAGTATTGTCGATTCTCTTAATCGAAATATTGCGTTATTGCGACAACACGCATCACGTACACGTCAATCTTCAAAGTTAGTTTGAAAAAAATTTTTTTTTAATAAATAATTATTTTTTGAGGAATTAAGGAATTTAAGGAAATTTTAAGGAGTAAGAGACTAAAAAATTTTTATAGCCATCCCGATGTCGATCGTCTCGAAGATGAAATACAAAACTTAACGGTACGTTGGGAGAATATTTGTTCGCAAGTGGCGGAAAGAATGAAAAGTGCGGAACGCGCATTGCAAATATTAATGATCTATCGTCCGGAATATGAAAATGAATTGGCTTGGTTGGATAAAGTTGAAGAAACAATTAACAGGTAATTTTTTAATTTCATTTGCTTTCTTTTTTTAATGATATTTGTGATAAAAAAATTTATCCCATGCAAAAACACTTATGATTATATTTCTTCGTGTTGTCTCTATTGAAATACTTGTATCTATGCATGCATGCAATGCATATGCAATGTGCACGTGTATGTGCGCATGCACATACGGGCCCAAATGTTTCTGTGTGCTTTATACGTAGTTTTATTTAGTTTGTACGCTTATGTGCTTCGTTCTTATTTATGGCCCTGTGTTCTTTTGCGAGTGTCCATTTTTGCGTAAAAAGGACAGCCTGGAAATTGTATATAATAATATAAATATTCAAATAAAAATAATTTACATTTTCAATTTCTTTTAAAAAGAAATGTATCCCTGGATTTAAAATTTCGCTTTGTTTTTTTTTACAAATTTTTTATTCTTAGTTACGATGAATTTTTTAATTTTAATAGTTTATAATAAAAAATTACTCGTTATTTTAGTTTTCCAATAAAATTACGTTTCATTATTTTAAGTCTGCGACGACCAGAAGATTTATTGCCTGAGCAATATCAACAGCAGCTCGATCAACTTGTTGCTGATTATAATCAGCTTCAAGAAAGAACGGAAGCGATAGAAAATGTTAATAGGGAAGGCGGAAAATTCATTCGTGAAGCAAAGGTAATTTATATTTTATGAAAAAAATAAGGGTTCCAAGATGATTTTATTTATGCATTCATAAAGAAAGATTTGAACAGGATGATTTTTTTTTAGAGTTACGATAGTCGTTTATCGCAATATACGGACAATATAATAACTGTTCATGGACCGAGGATAAAGGATGAATTTCGTCGTACCCAACCGCAACCAAAGAATGGTGCTCAACAAGTCACCGAAGAATTAGAAAAGCTGAATCGCCGTTTTGCCCAATTGAGTTCACTTATTTTAGAAAAACGTAATGTGATACAGGTGCTTATACAAAATTGGAAACGAAAAAAGCAGGTAAGTTGTCTTTTCGATGACGGAATCGAATATACTTTTTACTAATTAAAATTAAGAGAAAATTAGATTCCATGCTAGAAATTCCATAAATAAATAGGATAACGTCGAGTATAACAACAAATTGCGCTATGCGAAAAATTTTTGGTTGGTGACCAATATTCTATTAAAATCGAAACCAACCGATAAATGACTAAATGCATTTTCTTTCATCGCTTTTCTGGACCTTATTTCTTAGTGTTAACAGTTTAATTTTATATGCGTTTTAACCAATGGCGCTGTTTTTTTTATTGCTTTTATTATTTCCCGAATTTATTATTTTTTTTCTTTTCATTATTTTCAGCATCATTAATTAAATAATTAATTAATTAATTAATTAGTTAATTAATTAATTAATTAGTTAATTAATTAGTGTTTAATTTATATTTTCAAATATTTTAAATAACAAATGCACAGCATGTTTCGAAAAAATTTGCACATTTAACTTTTGCTAAAATTCCAGAATTTTTTATTTTCAAAATAAAAATATTTCCAGCGTTTTTATATAGTTTTTAAATCTTTTCCGCTTAAATTTATGAAAAAGTTTTCTTTTCAATAAATCATAGCGCCTTTCTTAGATGTAAATTTTCCCACTCATTTACCGTTTTTTTTTTCGTTGTATAAAGAAATGAACGAGAGAATATAGTTTTTTTAAAATATGGGATAAGAAAAAAAAGTTATGCAGGATTGAGGATCGGTTTTAATAGGTGAATTAATTTTTTTCAAAAATAGATTTCATTTTCCTTGTCCAAGTGATGCAGCCAACTGCGAATACTCAGGTCCACAGGTGATTTTGTAATGAATGGGTCTCATCATAGGAATTACAAAAAACATATTAGCCTAGAAAGATTTTATTCAAGCGAAAAGTCTTAATTCTTGATTCTTCTGCTATATACTTTTCTTTTTTTAATTTCTAAATGAAATAAAATAAATTTCTAAATAAATAAATAAAAATAGAGTTGGAAAACCATTCGCAAAAAAAAAAAAAAAACTACTTGCAGTTGTTTCACTTTGTATGTGTTTTCTTCCGTGTGATACTCGCTTGCTTCACGTTTTAGAGATCGGTTGGTTTGGATGAATCGAAATAGGCGAAATTATATAATACGCGCTATCGGAATACTTGACTGAATATCCTGAATATTCTATTCTACGGCACTATCCCTTCATTCATCGCACAAAAGCACTCGTACACATCATCAACTAGATTGCACTTTACAGGAGGAAGAAGATCGATTAAGAGCTGAAGAAGAGGAAAAACGTCGTCTTTTTGAGGCAGCAAGACTTAAGGCATTAGAAGATGCAGATCGTTTACGACGCGAAAGGAAGGCTGCTGAAGATGCAAGGCGTGCCGCAGAGGAAGCTGAACGACTTAGACGAGCTCGTGAAGCTGCTGAAGAAGCGAAGAGAAGAGCTGAAGAAGAAGCAAGGAGGAGAGCTGAGGAAGAAGCAAGGAGAAGAGCTGATGAAGAAGCAAGAAGACGGAAGCAAGCCGAAGAAGATAGATTAAAGAGAGAGGAAGAGGATAGGAGAAGAAGGGAAGAAGAAGAAAGAAGGAAGGCTTTAGAAGATGCTGAACGACGAAGACGAGAAGAAGAACTTAAGCGTAAAAAAGAAGCTGAAGATGAAGAAAGGCGTCGTCGTGAGGAAGAACGACGTAGACGTGAAGACGAAGAACGTCGTAGACGTGAAGAAGAAGAACGCCGTGGACGTGAAGAAGAAGAACGCCGTAGACGTGAAGAAGAAGAACGTCGTAGACGTGAAGAAGAAGAACGTCGTAGACGTGAGCAAGAGGAACGTTTAAGAAAAGTAAGCTATTTTTTTTTTCTTTTAAATTTTGTGTGAGCATTCTTTTTTTAGCTGTTATTTTTACTTCAACTTTGTTTTTTTGTCATTTTTAGAAAGCACCACACCGATTGTTTTTTCTTAGAACGATTTTGCATTTTTTCTTTCATTCTTATCAAAACTTTTTTCATCCTATAACAATAAAATTTATAACTAATATTTTAATTTAGTTGAGTGATAATAAAAATTATTTATTATTTATTAAAATTTCGTAAAAAATATCGAAACGCTAATTTTAGATGCCAGAAATTCGACATGGAATGCAACAAGCAATTGTGCCTGAGGGTATGGAGGCAGAGGAATTTGAAGAACTTAGTAATGTACCCGCTCGAGCTACAATAGCTGAACACGAAGACGAAATGCAGATGTATCAAGAAGAGACCATAACAAAGACACAGTTCTATGAAATGGAAGGCGTACTTCATAAGCAGACTGGTGAAATTCTTACTTTTGTTGAGGCTGTACGTCAAGGACTTCTTGATCTGCACTCAGGTGGTGGTGAATTTTACGATATTGTCTCTGGTGCTAGAATAAGTTTGGAGAAAGCAGCGGAATTGGGATATATCGATGGAGGTTTTCACGAAGTGTTGAATGCTCATCACGGGATTCGTCATCCAGAAACTCAACAAAGTCTTTCATTGCTAGAGGCAATCCAGATTGGTCTCTACGATCCAGATATTCGACAGCTAAGAGATATAAATACAGGCGAAATTTTATCGATGTATGATAGTATATTTCGTGGTATTATCACTCTTGATACTCAGCATAGGCTTTTAAAAATGGGTGTACTTAAATTACCACCAATGTCTTTAGAAAATGCGATTGAACAAGGAGTAGTAAATCCAGAAAGTGGGCATTTCACGGGTAAATATACTCGAGAAATGATGCCTTTGAAAGAAGCAATTTATAATGGCTATATTCAGATAAAATCTGGAAAACCAAGTCCTATGATTGCGATATGTCTAACGGACTGTATACAACTTGAGCTTATTGATGCATTTTCTGGCGAATTTAAAGATAAATTTAGTGGTGAAAAAATAAGTCTGCGTGATGCGGTTTCTAAACAAAACAGTCTAATTAATCTTCATGTTCCCGAAATAATCCGAACCGATGAAGGTATTCGAGTTACGCTTGGAGAGGCAATCGTTCGTAATGCAATAAATACTCGTCAAGGCAATTTTACAGATTTGCAAAAAAGTCAAAGTCTTTCTCTTCAGGAAGCTTATTCACAAGATCTTATCCAGAAACCAATGACTTTGACTGAAATTAATGCTAAGGGTCTTATCGATTCTACAAATAAATTTATTGATGGAGGTACAAAGCATCGATATTCTTTACTCGAAGCTATTGCCGCTGGCCTTATCGATGCAGAAGTTCGGCACATTGTCGATCCCGATGAGAAGGATGTTATCTCAATTGCGGAAGCCTTAGAACGCGGCCTTTTAGAACCCGATGGAAATATTGTGCTTCCTAATCAACAGAAAATTTATTCGATCGCTGAAGCGGTTAGTGAAGGACTACTCATTAAACGTGTTCGTCATACCATTTTTGATGTAAAAGGTATTAAAAATACCAAAACAAAAGAGAATTTGACTTTTAATGAAGCCGTGGAGGCTGGTGCAGTTATTTTACAAGCAGAACGCATTGTTGATCTCGCTAATCACGACAGTTTTTTGCTTGCCGATTCGGCTGGTAAAGATCTTATAGATCCAGTGTTGCATGAATTATTGAGTACTCCATTAGGAATAAAAAATCATTCCGGACAAGATTTGTCCGTTTTTCGAGCAGCCGCCAAAGGTTTCATTGATCCACTGAAAGGTGTGTTTATCGACAAAAAATTGAATAAAGAATTAAATCCGAAGGATGCATATGATGCTGGTTATATAACTTTACGTGGTGCTTTAAAATTATCAGCCTTGTTCGACATTCATCCATCTCTCGTTACGCCTGTCAAGAAAGTTGACTTTAAACGTAGGATTCATCGTCCAGGAGCGAAAAAATACGATTTGGCATCAGATCAGATAAAAGTTACTCTCGCAGAAGCAATGAAACAAGGGCTTGTCGATTCAAAAACACACCGATTCCGACAAGGTGAGACTGAAATGAGTTTTGAAGATGCTCTCAGTCGAGGATTAATTCATCCATCAGATGAATGGATTGTTCCTTCAAAAAGTGCTGGAGTAGGGCCAACTATTGAAGAACGTATAAGTGAGACGGTTTCTGAAACTGGTCAGCAATTAGCGCCCAAATTCTACCCTGATAAAAATATCGAAGAAACCGTAACAACAATTAAGCGAATTAAGAAAGCAGAAACTACAGCTGTAGGCGGCCCAGGTGGTGTTTCTGTTTATAGAGCTATTACTGGTGGTAAAGGAACGATTGAAGTTCCTATTGATGGTTACCATCTTAATGAAGCTGAAAGATTAGGCTACATCGACTTAGCAACAGGAATTATCGTTCCTCCGAATGTGGATCGGACGCTTTCTTTAGAAGAAGCCTTCGAATTGGGAGTAATTAATAGTAAGAATATTAAAGTGCTTGACCCACAGACAGGAACCTTTATTCCTGTCATTAAAGCTATGGAGAAGAAAATTATGGATAAGAATGGTTTTGTCAAAAGTGGTGATCGTATGCTAAACTTGCAAACTGCAATTGAACGTAAGCTGATAAGTGTGGAACCAGAGCCGCCATCATTACCATCAACTTCTCCGAAGAAAATTATACAGTTCTCAGCCGGTACAGGTGCTATAATGAGTTTCCGACCAGTCGGTACTGCAACCGTTGATGAATCCGAACAAGCGTGGTCATTTGATTCAACCACTGGCGAATTATTTGATCATATTGGGGGAGAACGCATTTCACTTGATGTTGCCCTTCGTTCCGGTAAAATAACCACGGACGATCTTCGCGTAAGAGATGCTCTAACTGGTAGAGAAATGTCATTTGAAGAAGCTGAAAAATGGGGAATAGTTGATTCAAAAAATCTTTATTTCTTTGACAAACAAGACAACAAGCGATATTCATTGACTGAAGCAGCTCAGCAACATCGCATTTTTCCAACCGGTGGTGTTCCTGAAAATGCTAGTGATGCTGTACATACTACGTATAAAATCCAAAAACGCACAGAAGTCTCGAAAAAAGAAGCAACAACAAGTGGCCCAGCCGCCTTCATCGATCAAACACTTACCAAAGCGATCGACTGTGGTTGGTATGATAAAACAAGTGGCAGATTTACGCATCCAGATACTGGCAAGCAAATGAGTCTCAAAGAAGCCATAATAAAAGGCTTATTCAACCCATACGGAACGACTATTATTGATAAACGTGGCCAGCGTGAATTATCCTTGCTTGAAGCCATTCAAGAAAATATAATTAATGATAACACTGGCGAGTTGCTGGATACATCTACCGGAAAGTCTGTTGATCTAAAAACAGCCATGCAAGAAGGATTAATTAAAGGATGTAGTGTTCCTGATAGTCTTGAAGGAGCGATTGTAAGCGGTAAATTAGATTTAGCTACAGGAAAGTTTAGCACACCGGATGGGCATGCCATTACCCTCCAAGAAGCAATCAAGTCTAATCTAATCGACTCAAAAAGCATAGTAATTCGTGATCCAGCTACTGGCGAAGAAATGACATATTCAGATGCAGTTGATAAACAAATATTGAATCCTAATGAAGGAACCGTATTTAACAAAAATACATATGAATCGATATCTTATCCACAGGCTTTAGCAAGAAGTGTATTAGTGGGTGCTGGATCGAGACATTCTCAAGATACACAGAAACGTACTCATCCTCCTCGTCTGATTGAGCAAAAACTCCAGCTTACACCTTACGTCCAACCGTACGATCAAAAACAAATTGTAAGCTTAAAAGAGCAACGTTCGATTGGACCAGGAAGACAAGAAATGGTCGATCTTGGTGGTGGTAAACAAGTTATGGTTAAAGTTGTACGTGGTGAGGGTGGAATTGAAAAAGGAGAATATATTGATCCACTGTCTGGAATGAAATTTACTATTCAATTGCATGGTGATCCATATGTAACGGAGACCAAAACTGTTGTTAAAAGTACCGCGCAAGTACATTCAGTACAATTGGAACCTCATGCAGAATTCGTTGGAATCGATAAAATACGTGATAAACGAACTGGTCGTATAATGTCGTTACAAGATGCTCAACGCCTTGGTATTGCACAAGTTGATAAGAAAGGAAAACAAATGACAAAAACTTATTCAGTTTTTCGTTCAAATATTCAGAATGCAATAACGAAAGGAGTTGTTGATTCGCATGGCGAAAAGATCAGTTTAGAAGATGCGATTCGTGCGAAATTAATCGACATAAAGAATTTGACATATCTGAATTCGAAAACAGGTGAAGCATTAACATTCGCTCAAGCTGCAAATATGGGACTTCTTGATGTGACATTGTCTGAAATTCTGCCGAAAGGTGTTTGCCATCCAGCGAACGGTGAAAAAATCTCAACTGAAAGAGCGATAAATCTTGATATTATTAATCCAAAAACGGGCGAAGTTCGAAATCCATTTACAAAAGAGAAACTGAGCTGGCTGGATATTTTGAAGCCTGTCTATGCGAGTTTAACGATGGAAGGAGTTTATGATCCAACGAAAGGCTATGGCGTACCAGTTTCAAGTGCTCTGATAGAAGGCCTAATTGATGCAAATACGGGGCAATATTCGAATCCAATAACATTTGAAAAAATTTCTCTCATGGAGGCAAAAAATAAAGGACTTATTGATGAGGAAACCTATAAGGCAATAACGGAACCATTTTTGATTGATTTTAGAACGAAGCGCAAATTGAATTTAATTGAAGCGGTAAAAACAAAATTAATTGATCCCAGAAATCGTACAATACAATTGGATGAAGGTTTAATTATACCAGTTGCTCGTGCAACCGCTGAAGGTAAAATTCCACGATCAATTGGTGAACGATTGAAAAAAGTCGATAAATTGACTTTCGCTGAAGCATTAGGAAAAGGATTAATAGATGTGGCGCAAAATAAGTTCATAGATCCGGATTCGGGTCGTCCTATGTCGATAAATCAAGCGATAGAAGAAGGCTATATCGATACAGGAAATGTTGAATCAATCGAGGGATCGGATCAACGAAATTTAGCGAATATTTTACACTCAGAAGAATTTGATGAAAATTCTGGACGTATTCGTGATAAAAAATCCGGATTATATTTGACATTTAAAGCGGCTGTCGAACGTGACATTATTGATGGCGATTCATTATTTCATGATATTGACTCGAGTCATACGATGACGATTCGAGAAGCATTAAATCGTGGTAAAGTTGACGCAGATGGCAAATACGTCGAAATGAAAACAAATACGAAGATGAGTCTAAAAGATGCAATTGCATACGGTCTTATCGCATTAATTCCATCACCAATGCAAGCGGCACAAGCCGTAACTGAAGCAGTTAAACGCCGAGAAACTGAAGGCTATAAATTTAAAATTGGTGCTGTCGATGAACGAAAACCGACATCGGTTGGACCGCGCTTTAGAGAAGAATCGACTGTCATAAGACTTTCGCAGCCACATAGAGTAGAACCAGGTTTGTCAGTAAGAGTAAGGTCAAGCTCCGAAGCACAATCCACTGGAAGTCGTGCTCGAAGCTTAATCGATGATCCACAAGCACTTGCTGATTTGCAACACGAATTTTTAGATAGTTTAATTAAAGAACAATTTGATATTGAAAAGCAGCTCATAGAGAATCCAGCAACTTCAAAACGAGTTTCTATACGTGAAGCAGCCGAATCTGGTTTATTAGATGTTGTTACGGGAGAAATGGTACATCCTTTGTCCGGCAGGCGTTATTCTATTCCTCGAGCAGTTCATATGAAATTAATTGAGCCAGATGTTGCGAAATGTTTAATGGAATCATTAAATCTATCATTAGAAGAACTCGGTCAGTCAGCTTCTATAAGTCTCGACTCGCCAGCTGGTCTTAGTCCATCTGATCCAAGTGTTAAGGTTTGGACAAAAACTGTAAGTTGGCATGGTCAACCCTCTGAACTTCGTCATTCAACTGATCCATTAGCTCCGTACACCACTTATACTTCATCATCGTCGACGAGGTCCTATGATGCTCCATCGTGGGCACGACAAGATCATTAATAAATTTTTGTATAAAATTTTTCACTTCTTTTCCCTAATAAAATTCCCTTATTTTTTAAAAATATAATAATATTATCCTGGAAGAAGTGCCTTATAAATGCGCTCAAATATTTGTATTTTTTCCAAGACAATGAGATTTTTGCATTTTTTTTTTTAGTTTATCGAGATTGATTCCTTTCAACTGCCTTATTAATACAATGGTTTTTTTTTGTTTGAAATACCTAATTTCTTTATGTTCCTAGTGGTACACCCGGTTTCTTTTTTTCTTTTACTGTTTGTTTAGCAAGGAAGAGATGAAATTTTTTTTTGATTAGTCCTCGAATTCTTTAGTATATTATGATTATCTTTATTATGGTTTATCTTGTATTTATCATCATTATTATCACTTCATTTTTGATATCTCCGACTAATCACTTTCAATTTTTTTCTCTTTTTTTTTGCAAAATGTTTCACTTAAAAACGAAGTGTTTATTCGGATTTTTTTTTTTTTTTTTGTTGATAAATTTGTGAAGAATAAAATTCTTTTTAGTGAAGAACTGTGGAAGCAAACAAAAATTCATCCTTGTGTGGTGCACTCCTTCAACTGGCAGTATGAGTTTTTTGCCCTTTGACACGAGTAAAACAGGTGCTAGTAAGCCTCTTATTAGAAGCAAAATAATGGCTGGTGAGTACCCACTTATTCTTCTATTTCCCAGTAAATTCATTAGCGAATGGCTCATCTAAAGACCTCAACATAATAGCGACCGGTGAAATGGGCTAAGATTAAGAGCTTGAAAAGGGCTTCCTTCCTGCATGATATTTTTTACAGTTGGATTTTTTTAACGGTTAGCAGAATTTTTCATTTTTTTAGAATTTTTCGTTTTTGAATTTTTGCGCAAAAAAATTTAAATTTTTAAAATTTTTATGGGAAAATTTTATGCATGTGGTGCACTCCTTCTGGCAATTTTTTTTATTTCTCTGAAACTGATTCCACAAGTAAATGTATAATTCGCTTAAAATGCATGGAACATACATACACATTAAAAATAAAAGGAAAGAATTCTTTTCGTTGTTCGAACTAATAAAATTTAATAATCATTTTATTACTTTATCAGATATCCAGACAACTGATAAGACTGATGAGGGACTAAAAGTTCTGAGCTGCTGCGGGAGTATGCGATTTTGTTGCGTATTCCATCTCACCTCATTTTCAGACTGAAGATGATATTTGATATCCATTGTGATGGTAATATAGATAAAAATAACCACATAGCAACAATGCGATTCCCTGTCAAGGGAACTTTATAGGGTGCCACTATGAAAGTTCGTTAGGCCAAAAATGCTCTTAGGCTGTGGGGTTATATAAAGTGTGCTGTTGGATATATTAATTATGTATCGATAGATCGCGGCATATTTTAATACTAGTCGAATATTTATTTTTATTGAATATTTGGTTAAAATAATATTGCACTAGGAAAGATGAAGAAGAAAAAAGTGTGACTGAAATCTTGAAATACTATGGAAATATTCTTAATTCGTAATTTTAGAAAATTTCAGTTTTTTCCTCACTTTTATTCAAGTAAAAATTAAGGGCTTTGCTGATTTCCATTTTCTAGAAAATTGCTTAACATACTGGAATTTTGTGATACGTAAAAATGCATTTAGTCACGTCGGAAATTCGGTTTCATGAATTCATGATTCGTCAATGGCATTTATACGATGAATCTATGTGCCTATCGCCCGTTCTATGCGGATATATTTAAGCTTATAAATTGCGGAATGGAAGAGCAATAATGAAGAATTTCAAAATTTACATAAACCATGCTAATCGAAAAGCTATAAAAAATAGATTTTTCCTTGATTATTTTATAAAAACTTATTAAAGGATGAAATACACGAGCAATGTTTGCAACGGCAAGAATTCATGTCGGGCATATTAGAAACGTTGAATGAGATAACTTCGGCTGTGTCGCAACGTTTTTGCTTCGTTACATCAACTGAAGATGCGACATTGGCGTACGATCGTATGCAGGTTTGTTGGTTTCTTCTTTCCTCTAAAAAATTACTTGTAAAAGAAAGAATTAAGTTTGATTTAAGTTTGATTTATTTCCTTGCTTTGAATCTTTGACTTCGGTTCGATTCTTCTCGCTTGACAGAAATAAAATTGCCATTGGAAGTAAAATTTGAGTGGATTATTTGGCTACTAAAATGAATCTTCGAAGCGAAAAAGCCTCGTTTTGGTATGAGCCAATCAAATCAGAAATAACATATGGAAGTTTAGAAGAAAGAAGATTTCGCAAGGAAAATCTGGAAAATCTGGAAAACAAGAAAATCTTTAAATGTGATGAGATTTTCATTATTTTTTTTTTTCTTTACAGGAAGTGCGAATGCAACTGGTTTCATGGTCGACGAAAATCAGAGAAAGTATCGATGAGGTAGAACGATTGTGCATTGATGGCGCTGATTTACTTACGCCACAACAATTTCATACGCTTAAAGAACAACGAAATCGTCTCGAAAATGTTTATAATCAATTATTGCGACATACTGATAAAATTATTGAATGGTAATTTTTTTAATATGTATTTTTAAAAAATATTATTGCAATATTAATTTATTATAATTTATAATATGATAAGAGATATGAGTTCACCGTTTAACGAATTTCAGCTTAAATGAACTGGCAAAATTTTTATTGGAATTTACGAATGAATCAAGCATAATGCATTCACTGATAAATGAAAAAACGCGAGAAATTGCGATTATTAAAGCAGAAAGTGGTGATTTAAATTGTTATGAAATGTCGCGAGCTAAAGCAAAGGTTAGAATAAATTTTTTATTTTTTAATTTTTGCGGAAAAAAAGAACCACAAAATTATTATTTTGAAAATTATGGAAACTTTTCGATTCGATTTTATTAAAATGTAAAAGTGATAAATATAATTCGCTGGAAACTCGATTCTTTGTTGAAATGCCTTATACTACTTGTCAGGAGAACCAGAAATGGAACCAGGTTTGCTGTTTTAACTGGGGAGGGGGAGAGAAATATGGACTGATTAAGTAAAGAATGGTTGTTTAGGCATCATTGGAAGAAGTAATATCAAGTGAATACCGTATTAAAGCGATTTCATCTCTATCATCGCGTATTCAAGAAAAATTAGATGCATATCTTGTTGAAATGCGAATACAATACCCCGAAACTCAGTTCACTTCCGTCGATATACATGATTTATTAGATACGCTGACCAGATTACAAGTTTGTTTTACGATAATGTTAGAAATGTTTATTTCTTCCAATTTGAGTGGTTTCTATTTGGCTAATACTATCTTATCAATTATCTATCTATTATCAACTATCAGTTACGATTAATCCGTTAGTTTCTGAATTTATGGCACTTAATTTTCCGAAATTTTCTGGTAACATTAAGAAATTTTATAAAATTAAAGGTACATCAATTTTCTTGATCAATTGAAGTAAGGAAAGATAATTGATAAAATTGCAGAAGGATTATGAAATACTTTTGCGATCGTGTCATGAATTAAACGCTTTCTTAAATAAGTTAAAAATATGTAACGCAACTTATTCGGATAATATTACAAAGGCTGAAAAGTTAATTGTTGATATCGAACATAGTATATCATCTATCGAAGAAATAGCTCGAAATAATTCAGTTGATGTCGATAACGCTTGCATGTTAGTCAATTTTGATAATTTTAGGAAGCGAGAAAGAAGAGTAAAGCTGACAGTGACACAACTTGTAACCTATATTTTTAGTTCGATATCCATATTTCATTTTATTTGCGAATTTATCTCTTATTTTTATAGTTTAAATGAATTAGAAAGTCTACAGCAAGCAACAGTTGATCAAATTGCTCTCAACGAAAATGTTTCTCGGTCGGCATTCGAATTGGATAATGCTTTAGTTGGAACAGATGCTCATGATAGAATTGTGCTTGAAAATCAACAGAGGATTGATGATCTGGAACGAAGGTTTTTTCTTTCTCATTAATTCCCTCAATTTATTCATTTATTTTTCTTCAAATTTCTTTGCAAATCAAATTTTTTATTTTTCCAAGACTTTTATTATTTTTTAAACAGAGAGAATTTCCTTCAAATATATTTAATAATTTTTAATTGGTTTTAATTATTTGTTAAAATTAATTGTTATTAATTTATATCTCTATTTTGCCTTTTTTTTTTAAAAATTTATATATTAAGGCAGAAACGTGTGAGGCAACGTATTGAAGAAGATATCGATTCTTGGAGGAGTAAAATAGCAAAAAGTGAGGGTTTACGTGAAGGATTAGCTGGAATATTAAACTGGCTGGATGACAAGGAAGAGCAATTATCCAACGCACCTTTACTCCCTCTTTCAATTGATAAACTTGGCGAAATGGTGAGTTTTTTTAACAAACATTTTTCCTGGTTTCACTGAGTAGGTATCAAAATTTGATACAAAATTACAAAGCGTTTCAAATAATTGTTTTTTATTTAAATTATTTAAAAACAATAAATGTGAGAGTTCAATGTTCCATGTTTTTTGATCGCTTAGAAACCAGTTTTCCCGACGAAATTTTTTTAGTATCGTGACGATGAACTCGCTCAGAGGGAATTAACATCTCATGAAAATGTGTTAAAAGATTTAAGTGAAGAAATTGCAAAGTTGGTTTCATCGAATCCAAATAGTGCAAATCGCAGTCTCGCTGATCAAGTTGCCTTAGCGAAGAAAAAATTTTCCTCATTATCAGCTATATCGAAGGTTCTTATTTATTTATGTATATTTAAATCATTTTCTTAGAAAAAAAATTGTTATTCGTATATTAAAATCTAGTTTTTCATGGCAAATCTAGTTTTTGGATAGAGAAAAACTTCGAGTTCTCGATTTTTTGTATTTATTTAACTTTTTAGAATTAATTCTTTTCCTAATATTACAGGCTCAGGGTGACAATCTGTACGATTTGCTTATAGCGTTGAAGAATATTGATAAAAACAGCAAACTTCTTGATGAAAGAATTGAGATTGTAAACGATAAATTTTCTCGTGTTTCATTAGCCGATACGGATTCGATAGTTAATATTCGTGCAGAATTAGATGATATAATCAGTGATTGGAAGGAAATTCAACAACAAAACAATTGGATTCACGCTGTTCCAAATATAATCGAAGGCTCATCACTTGAACAAAAGGTTAAAACTTTTTTTTCCGAAATTTGTTAAATATTTATAATCATTTTCTTATAAATTTTACTTATTATATTAGAATTTTATAATAGTTAATATTTCACTATTTATAGATGACAAAAATTGAAAATGCCGTCGATAAAGTAATTTTGCGCGCAAATGACTTAACTGAGCAACAGAAATGCCTTCTCGACCAGCGAAAAACATTCGAAAATTTAAAAAATGAATTCGTTTGTTGGCTCAAAACCGAAGAAAATGAAATTAAAGGTTTGCATATTTTTTTGATGCCCAGTGAATAATTTTTATATGTGAATCGCATCCTCATAGTTATAATCCGTTGAATATATTTACTTAACAAAATATGGTTTCAAGGGGCATAAATAATCATCCTTGAATTTCCATTTGCTGATTTTTGAATTGATATTTATTTTGTTATTTAGCGCTTGGGCGAATTTCTTGCAATCCTGTTGAGTTGGATGCGCAGAGAAATGCTTGTGATAAGTTAAAAACTGATCATCAATGCCATCGATTTGATTTGGAAAAACTCGATGAACTTGGTTCTAAACTTGTTGAAATTGATATTGAAACTTTTGCAAAGTAATATTTTGCCATATTTTAATTTTATAATATTTTAAAACTTAATGAAATCTCTATTTTCTAATTTAAAAATTCAATTTTTTTTTGTTCAGAACGAAATCGAAATCAACAAGTGGTCGAGTAACAGATGCGCAGGCTACTACAGTTTTTCGTGATTTATCCTGTTTAAGGCAACAATATGATGGAATAGGTCAAATGATTAAAGCACGATTCGAAAAGATAAATTCAACAAATGAAAAATTTTGTGAATGGGATTTGGCGAGAGACGATCTTTCTCGCTGGGCGAGAAATGAATGCAGGCTTCTGGTCAGTCTTTTTAGGCTAATTATGCCATATTAGGCCATTTGTAAGTTGTGGGGGGCGATTTTTCAAACTTAAATTTCTCATAGGATGTTTTGATAGCTATTTTTTTTATTTACATATTGTGGTACTATAAATATAAATGTGGTATCTTTCTTGTTTTTTTTAAAAATTTAAAAAAAATGAAATTTTAAGGATACGGAATGTCCAGTCGCTCTTAGTATGGATGATGCATCAAAAAATATTTTAAAACTTGAACGACTGGAAAAAATTTGTTCTAAGGAGAAACAACCGTTGATTGAAAATATTCGATCAAAAGCTGCGTTATTAATGAACGATTCTGAATTATGTGATACTCATCTAATAGAAATTTCTCAGGCAGAATTTGAAACTCATTGGTCAGCTCTTGAAGATCAGATGACCATTATTAAAAATCGAACAAATGCTTGTAAGCAACTCATACAAGGTAAGTTTTTTTTATTTTTTTGGAAAGAATTACTGAATAGGCTGAGATATTAAATGTGGAATATTTGTGTAGATTACGACAATCTCGATAAATGGTTGAAGCAAAAGGAACGAATGGTATCCGTTATTGGCGCTGTAAGTGTTGATCCCAAAGTGATTGACAGCCAAGTTTTGCAAATCGAAGTTTGTCAAGTTTATTACTTATTACTTTTATTTTACTTTTATCGGTTATATTTATAAAAAGAGGAAAAAATAAAAAAATTGCAAATTTCCATGCCAAAATTTATGGTATGATATTTTAGATATTACAAGGTGAAATTGATGATCAGAATATGCAAAGAAATAAGATAAATGAAATAGCACATGAACTTGTCACATCTAACGACGCGAATTCCTTACAAATCGTTAATAGAGTAAGAATTTCTTTATTGGTCTTTTTTATTGGTCTTAAAAATATTTGTCAGCGTAAATACTTTTGTAAGGATTTTATGATTTTTTATGCATTTTTATTGCTTATCTAATGTGCCTAACCTCTTTCTTTTTAGATTCTTACTGCAAACTTATAGAACTTATAGAAATTTTTTTAAATGCTTAACTTGTTGATAACAAATAGAAAGTAATGTGGCTTGACTTTGTGAACCAAAACAGTAGTAATATTAACTAATTTTTTCAAACATAGTTGTCAACATAGTTAAAATTTATCACACTTAGCTTATATTTTTTAGATGGATGCGTTAAATCTTCGATGGATATCACTTGAAGAAAATGTAAAAACGATGAAAGAAGCCTTACAAAAAATAAAAAATATTAGTTTGCAGTTTGCTGGTTTGCATCGAAAAATTAAGTAATTTTTTTAGGATTTTTATTTTTATAGTATTTTTCTAAAAATAACTGTAATTCTAAATAATGTCTTTTAAAATATTTGAAATTTTTAAAATTTTTTAATAAATTTTTATTTTCAATCGGTATGTCATTTTCCGAATTAATTACTTCTTCAAAATTTATAGATTATTAAATTATTAAATTATTGTATAATTATATTATAATTAAATTTTTATTTAATTAAATTAAATTATTAATAGATTATTATATATTATAGATTATTAAATTATAGATTAGATTTATTGGAAATTCACGAGAATATCGAGAAAACTGGCCGTTCTGCTTTGACCGATCAAGATAATTACAATGAACATGTGGAAAAATTCGATTTTCTAACTTCTCAAATTGGTGAAGTGGAAAAATCATTAGGTCAATTAAAAAAACTTGATGAAATGATGACAGAAATATCCGATGATCAAACGCTACACGCTGATGTGCATGAGAAAGTGAATTCAATTCAACAATCTATTCGCGAAGCAAATATTAAGATAGGTTTGGTTAATTAATATTCATAACTGTCAGGTTGATTAAGAAATCTAATATAATGGGGAAGCATTATGGTCGAGAGATGTATTATTTAGGTTATCATTTCAAAGATCGTGGTTCTATCCCTATTTCTGACAAATCTACCATTAAAAAATCCAGTTAGCACTGAGAACTTAAAAATGTTTTTAGCACCAAATAACTGCATGGTAAAATTCTCTCCTTATAACCTTTTGAGTGAGGTTTCTACCACCATACTTTTATTTTCATTGATAATTTTATTTTTTCCAAAGGATACCGAAATACTGAAGCAATCTTTGTTTAACATTTAACATTTAACATTTCAGAAAGTTTAAAAACTGCCGTTTTGAATTCAAAAGCGGAAGAAGGAGCAACAATGAAAGAAATTGAAGCGAGGTTAAAGTGGATTAGGGAAAATCGAAATCGTTTAGCTGAATTAGGACCAATATCAACTGATCCACGAACATTACCGGAACAATGCAATCAAATTGAACAGATTTATCAAGAAGTTTTGGATAAAGAAGGAGAAATAACGTTACTTAGGTAAATTATGTAGAAATTATCAGTTTTCAGCCTATTTACTTTCTATTTTCTCTTCTATTCTATTTGTTTTTTTATTTCACTATTTCATATTTAATTAATCAAATTGGCTTTAATATGAAGTTTATCATTGCAGAGCGAAATTGGGAGATCAGATAAAGAAAGCATCAAATTCAGCTTTAAAATCGATTGTTGAATCCATAGTTAGCGAATGGAATCCATTACTCATTGATGTTAAATCAAAAAAGGCAAATGTTGAACGCACAACTGATTTGGTTAAACAAATCACCAGCTCGTTTGAACTATTTAATGCTAAGCAAATGCAATGTAAAGCTTCTATGGAACAACTGTCGTTAAGCAAGGTATTCGTTTGTATTATTATATTCGTTTCTAACAGATTTATTCCGGATGGCATAATTTTGTTCGTTTATGGCGATTTTATTTCGATAGGAATAAATTCATCATTATCATTGGCTTTATCATTGGCGTTCTAGTGATTGCTTCTTACACTATTAGCTAGTTGAGTCAACGTTATCAAAAGATGAATGGTGTTAGACGAACTTTCATGAGAAATTTAAAGAATTCTATTGGTGCAATGTCGCTGAATACAGTATGTTCCTTAAGCTAACACCATGATTTGCATCTTGTTCAATCCATTAGAACATCCGAAAAAATGCAGAAAAATAGAGTTTCTTTTTCAAGAAAAATATATTTATTTTTTTAAAACTACTATTTAAGGATGATAATTCAAATGAAATCTTTGAATTGGAGCAACAAATTGAGCGACAAAATGTTGAGCTGATTAGTCTTGAGGCTCTTGGACAAAAATTGGAAGAATTAGCTGCTGGTCCATCAACAAATAAAATCAAACGCGATATAGAAAACGCTATTAATGATTGGAAAATACTTTCAAGAGATGTTCGAAATGTCACGGCGAAACATATGCAACAGGTTTTAAATTAGTTTTCTTCTGTACATCGTCCCATCAGCAAATATGTTTTAGCCTTAGCCTTATTGCAACCTACTCCCACGTGTTTCATCGACTTTACAGCTGTCTTTGGTTCATTTGATAAAAAGCGCTTTGGAGGGTCATGGAATACGGAGGTGTTCCAGAGAAGATCATTCGACCCATAAAGGCATTATATGAGCGTACGTCGGCGCAGATTTGTGTATATGGGGAACTGACAAACTCCTTCGAAATAAGAACTGGTGTCCGTCAGGGCTGCATTTTTACTTCTACAGTATTCAACTATGCGATAGACTGTATAATGGACACCGCTTTTAGCACTCAAGAGGTGTCCAAATTAGTCCAGAGCATCGTATCACAGATCTTGAAAACGCTGATGATGTCATTTTTGTTGACAATTGTGACGAAGCGCAAGTAATGCTAAATAACGTATCAGAAGATGCAGCAAGAATAGGACTCAGGATTAATGTATACAAAACAAAAGTCTTTTCGTCTTATGTACAAGAAGCTGATAAAATACCTCTTTTTGTAAATTCATTGCCGATTGAGGAAGTTCCCAATTTAAAATACCTTGGGTCCACTCTAATACGAAATGCATAGGCAAAAGATGATAGTATAACTTGGATCACGGCAGCTATGAATGCGTTTTTCCGATGATGAAATCTTTATGGAGCGATCGTCATCACCATAAAAACGAAAGTCCGCATCTATATAGCCGTGATTCATTCGATCTTGCTACATGGCTCTGAGACATGACCAATGAGAGCAGAGGATATTTCGAAGTTATCTGCCTTTGACCACTCTTATCTAAGGTATATTTTACGGGTTCGCCGAGTGGATAAAATCTCACAAGATCGCATCCATCTTCTTTCAAATACCACTTGCATTAATAATGTTATCATAGAGCGTCGCTTTCGTTAGGGCACGTTCTCCATTATCCACCACAGGAGTTCTTGACGCATATTTCTTTACTTGCTAAATCGTGTGATGGATGTTATCAAAAACGTGATAGGTTAATCAAGACCTGGACTGATACGGTCAAGAAAGATTTTGAACGCATAGGTGGACCAACAATTTATGGATTTAGACGATGGAAAAAGAAATGACTTCTATTACTGTCGACGATGGCATCAGACCGCGCCGTTTGGAAACGTCTTATCCTTGTAACCAGCGGAGCCAGCCTAACCAGTAATGACTGTTAGAAGAAGAAGAAGCCTTAACCTCGTCGTCTTTTTTAGGGATTCTCAAGAACCATTCATTGCGATATTTTCAGAAAGAATCTCTTAATCGATACGAGAAATGCAAAGAAGATGCAATGAATGTACTTCATTCAGCTGAAGAAAATTTGAAAAATTTAACATATGATAAAGAAAATAATAAATTGACGAAAGACGCCATCATAAAAAGTATTTTTTTAAATTTATATTTATTTATTTAAATTTATATTTATATTTTTTTAAATTTTAATTAAAGTTTTTTTAAAATTAAAATTTATATTTATATTTTCTTAGTTTTTTTGAAAATTCTTTAAAAAATGAAAATGAATTTTTACAGAAAATAATAATAATAATATAATAACAAAAATAATAATTTAATAATAATAATTAAAATAATAATTTAGCGTTAACTGATCTGGAAAGCATTTGGCAGTTAAAAAATCGAGATTTGAATGCGGCCACGAAAGAATTACAAAATAATGCATATTATGATGGGAATAAAAATTTGGATGATGATGTCGTAAAACTTGAACAATTTTATGCGCATCTTACTGAATCATTGCATGATCTTCGTGATGAAATCGAAAAGAAGAATGATATTTTCGCTCATTTCAAAGAGGATATTCAAGAGCTAAATAAAGATTTTCGAAAACTAATAAATGTATTTTTTATTTCAACATTATTTATTTTAATTTAAGATTTATCTTAATTTTTTTATTATTTCTACTAATTCAACTTAATAATTTCTTATAATAAAATTTTAAACTTTTTCTAAAGATTGAATTGGAACCTATCGCACGAACTGGCGAGGAATTGCAAAAACAAAGAAATGAGTGCGAGAAATCTCTCGAATTACTCGACGATAAAGCGAAGGTTAGTTAGTCACTTTCTTCATGCGAATGTCATTAATATTATATTTAAGAAAAAAGGAAAGTTTCACATTAAAATTTGTAAGAAATTAATTTTATGGAAAAAAAAGAATCATTGTCGAGAAATTTCGAGATTACTGCTGTTGTTATCACTTTATCATTCAAAATATTATTGCTTCATTGTTGTGTTTACTGTTTATTTTTTTTTAGAAATGTGAAGAATTAAATGAAAGATGGAAGGAGCTTTCTGACAATGGTGTTATTAATGCAGCCGGAAATTTAATGGTTTTAAATCAATTGGATGATATCAAAGATGATATAAACAAGCAACAGCATGTGTTAAGCCAACGCAAACGAAAGATATCAATGATGGAGCAAAGTATCACCAATAATCAACGGTTCGTTAAAAGTTAGATACGTAGAGAAAATGCTATATTGATATTTTGAAATATAATGCACTAAAAATTGTTAAAATTGTTAAAAATTGTTAACACAACGAGTTAAAAGCAAAATCCTTGTATATCTTGAATTATACAAAATTTGTGAAAAAATTTAATTATTTATGTCAGCTTTCGCTGTTCAAAAAAAAGAAATCAAATTTTTCAGAGACCTGAAAATAATTACTTTTTCTTCATGGAATGACATGACATGAATGATATGAAAAGTAATAAAACAGTAAAAATTGTGCCATTAACATAAATAATTGCCTCGTTTGCACCAGCCATTGAAAATTAATTGCATTGCATTGTAGTCGCTCAGAATTAAACCCGTGGGTAGGCATCCGTTATATGGCACTGTCAAGGGCATTTTTGATATTTACGATTAGTGAATATGCAGATTTTCAATTTATAAGGTTCCCTAGAGAATCATTTGCATGGAGTTAGAAAGTTTGATATTGTCAAATAACGGATATATTAAGTAGTAAATGAAATTTTAAAAAACTTTCCTACCATTTTAATATTTATTTTAATATATTATTTTTTTTATTGCTGAATTTATTACTATTTTTGCATTACTTTTATTTCATTATTATTTCATATTATATTTTTATGTTGTTTAACAGCTTCGATTTCAGTGATATTGACGCGATCTGTGGAGATATAAATGATTTATTGAGTGATGAAATGTTGCTTGGACCGATTAAAACCGATATAAATGAATTACGAAGCCAACAGGAAAGCTTGAGACAATTCAGGGAAAAAAAATTGCGATCTGTTGGCGAACGTGTCCAAAGCATTACTGATAATTGTGAAAATTTAATGAAAAGTGCTGAACCGCAAGTTAATGTTGGATCATTGGTATTTTTTAAATCCATTTTTTAAATTTCGTATTTTTATTTTTTTGTAAATTATTTTATAATTATGCAGGAAGTGATAAAAAATAAACTTATGGACTTGTGGAATGATTTAAATGGGCGACTTGACGAGCGAGAAAAACAAGTTTGTTCAGCGATTCAGAAAGTTGGCGATTATACGGACACATATAATTCATTAATAATTTGGTTACAAGATACGGAAGAATCGATGGCAAATCAGCGGCAACCATCTATTGAACATAAAGTTGTTAAAGAACAAGCACATGCAAATGACATTTTTCTTAAGCATATCGAAGAAAAGAAACAAAGGTTTGAAAACAAAGGCAAAATGGTTTTTCAGTGTCATTCCTAAAAGATAAATTTTAATTGCAAATTTATGAAATTTACGAAATTTTTGAATTTTTTTTAAGAGTCCTCACCATTAGTAGTTAAACTCGCTCCACTGACTTGCCACACTAAGCAATATGCCAGGGATTCCCTTGGCAATAGAAATACAGGTGAGTCGCCAGCATCACCCGCATTTTAGAGTTTACTCCTGTGAGGAATCGAACCTCAGCATCAGCGCTCCCAATCGAGCAGCAACCCACTGAGCCATTCTTTTCTCCATTCCATGGACTTAGTGATAATCAAATATTATTTTATCAATTTTTTAAGTATTGATGGATTCAAAGCAATGATAGATAGCCTTGGAAAAATATCAACAAACGATTCTCAACAAAAAGTTATGAAGGATAAATCAGATGAAATTGTTGGAAGGTATTTTTTAAAATATATATATTTTTATATTTTCTTGTAAAATATTAAAAATCCAAGTATACTGGATTTTTTGTTTTGTCGGTTTTATGTGGTTTATGACGATGTTTGGCTATATTAAAATTTTTATAAGTACAATAGACATATGGCACTAATACTAAATTTTATTAGTTTTGGTTTAGCCAGCAAGGAGTTTTGTTTGACATATGGTTCAGTGATATCAGCCGAGTATTTTTACCAGAATTACTATCGGAATTCTCTTTCGTAATTTTATAGGTATGGGAAATTAGTTGAGGATGCTTATAAACGAAGGAATCGGTTACATGAAGCTTTAGACTTGACAAAACAATGGTCCGAAGTTGTAACACCATTAAAAGTTTGGCTTGAATTCGCTGAAAAATCACTTCAACAATTGGGAAAAGTCCCGACGGAGGAAAAACAATTAAAAGAGCAGATGGATGCTCAAAAAGTTAATTTTCGATGCTAAAGATTACAAAAGATTTTAATTTTATTTTGTTATATGCTTATTTCTCTTTTTAATTAAGGAGCTATTAAATGAAATTGAAAGAAAACGTCCAGAATTCGACCTGATTATTGATTTATATCCACAGTTAGCGCAGTTCACTTCAGTTGATGAAGCTGCAGAATTAGAAATAATTGCCAAATCATTTGCTGCTCGATTTCTTGATTTATCTACGCGAACTAATGAATGTGGTGATCTTCTTCACCAGGTTTCATATTCTCAATCATTTTTTATCAATTTTTTGAAAAATAATGTCTTCCAATGGGTTCTTTTCTTTTTTCAGTTTACATTTTTTGAATTGGCCTTTTGAATGAGGTTTTTTCACTAAAGAATCTTTTTGGAGTAGAATTCCAGTTAGATTTTAGCTGGTTTTCACTTTTGGCAAATTTATTTTTTTTTGAAGAAAAAAGAATATTCTGTTTTGATGCATAATTTATTGCAGGTCGCTGAAGAAATTTACAAATTTTTGGATCATACTAATACCTTAAATGATTGGCTTGATAATGTTGAAGATGATATGGATAAGTTGGAAAGTATTTCGATATATCCGGAAGAACTAATTGAACAAAGCTCTTTCTTAACCGAGGTATGTATTGCTATTGTTGTTGATGTTTTCTTTTATGAGATCTAAACCACCACTAATTAATTTCTAGTTGGCGTTAGCAGTAACACAACAAGAAGCACTTGTATCGAAAGTAGTTGAAGATGGTCGCGAATTATGTCGACAGACGACAGGCGATCAAGCTATTGCTTTGCAAAGTCGCATCGAAATTTTACGTTCTCGTTATACTGAATTGGCGTCGATAACTGACACGAAAATTGCTGTACTGAGTGAAGCATTGCCACTATCAGAGCGTTTTCACGATGGCTGTGAAATTGTTCAACAATGGATGGATGCTGTCGAACAAGATCTTCAGGATATAGACCAGGTAACTTATCTTTTTCTCTTACTTTTCACCATCTTCCTCTTTTACTTTGTATCTTTTAGCCAATTATGATTATTAGAAATATTTTAGGTTCCACTAGAGGTTCAGTCAACACTAATTTCTCAAATAGAAGATGATCTTGGAAAATGGCGCCTCGATGTTGACGAAATTGGTGGTATATCGAAGCAGTTACAGCGATTGTGTGATGCACCTCGTGCTGATGAACTTGAAGCTCAAACTGATGATCTAAGTCGTCGGTTTAGTCAACTTGCAGATCGGGTAAATTTTTTATTATAAAATAATTTAAAAAGCTTAGCCAATAGTTTAGTTCTATGAAACTGAGTTATGATGGGGTCATAGCTTAAATGCATTCATAATTCCAGCTAATCATTCGTCCAGCGAGATTTGAAAAGGTGGTATTTCTATATAATTTATAATGGTATTTGAAGATATTCAGGTTACTCGCAAGGCTGAGAAATTGCTTTCTGCTGAGAAACAAAGTCGACAAGTTCTCGATGAACTTGATTATCTAAATGAGTGGTTCGCAGATGCTCGTGAAAGGCTAATGAATGTAATCTTTTCTATTACCATACATTACATTATCCATCTGAATGCATTCTTTTTTCTCTTTTCTTTAATTTTTTGCCATTTTAGATATTCTTTATTTATATTTTATTGATTTGTTATCATATGCCTATTGATATTTCTTAAATTAAGGCTTCTGCTCCCGCTATTGATCCTGAATATGTTAAAAAACAGCTGAAGAATCAAAGACAAATGAATGAAGATATAGCGATCATGAAAGCAAGGCTAAGAGATGCAGCTGCTGATGCGCGAAAAATTTCGCGAGCCTTAGGTGATGAAGTCACTGGTCAAGATTCCTTACTAGCTACCAAAATTGAGGTCTGTTTATTGTGAATTCGTTTATTTTTTCTAAATTTTTTTTTCAATTTATTTAAAACGATTCTTTTATTGGATATGCTTAATTTAGTCAGGAAGAAATTTGTCAGCGGATGCAGCACGTATGGGCGAAGATCGTCTTGCAGATCTTGAGCAAGCTTTAGCTTTATGTCAAGAAGTCGATCAATCATTTGGTGAATTGCATAGTTGGCTAGAAAAAATTGAAAATGAAATTGATAATTGTCCTACTGTTTCAACAGGCAATCAAAGAGAGCAACTTCTAAAACAACAAACGCATAATGCGGTATTTTCTTCTTTTTTCAAATATCAGTGGATTTTAATTACTCATTGAAAGAAGGATTCACAAAAATTTGAAGCAAATTATTTAGGAGTTACAACTGTTGGTACAATCACAAAAGCCCTTAATGGATCGTTTCCAAAAAACGGTTAATGCCTTAAAGGAATTATGTGATGTTGACGATGGTTCACAGTTAGAAAAAATAGCTGAAGGAATAGAGGAAAGATATGAAGCAATAAAGGAAGCGATTAAGCAGCGTGCAGAGGCGCTTGAAACAGCCATAGAGCATACCAGCAGATTTAGCGATCGACTTGATGTAATTCTATCAAATCTTGGAGGAACAGCAGCTCAGGTAATAAAATTCCCATTAGTTTAATTTCAATAACGCTGAAATGATTTTTTAAAATGATTTTTTCACAGATTCGTAACGCGGATTCGATTTCGGCAGATCCGGATCGTATTCGTTCGCAGATTTCTGACAATATATCATTGATGGAAGAATTGAAACATAAGGAAGGAGTATTATTATCAGTGAAAGAACAAGCTCGAGAAATCATGGAAAAAGCTAAATTGAATGATACTGCTGTAGATGGTAATTTTGTTTATCGTATTCGATTTCGTAGATTTGATATTTCATTCACTGATGATTTTTCATTTAGATATCAGTGCGAAGATCGAAGCTCTTGATCATTTGTGGTTGGAACTCAATGGAAGTCTATCCAATCGAGGAAGTTTGTTGGAAGAAACACTCATCAAGGCTGAACAATTTTGGACTGAATTACAAAAATGTCAAAAGGCCGTCGATGATCTTCGTTGTGCAATTGAAGCCATACAACCTGCAACTGGCCAGCCTTCTATAATTGAACAACAAAAAAATACTCTTATGGTATGCCACATGTTTTTTCCCGTAAAAATTTTTTTCATAAAGCCTCCTCTCCATTCGTTATTTTAGGTGATCGAAGGTGAAATTCGAGAACATGAACCATTGATGATGCAAAATTTGCGTGTAGCTGGACAAGATCTTTGCGAAGTTGTAGATGCTGAAGAACGGTCTTATGTTGAGCAACAAATTGATGTTGCGCAGAATAATTGGGCTTCTATAACTGATCTTTTTGTGCGAAAGTAATCCTTGAATAGTCTCCAATTTTTTCGATGCTTTTCAGAAATTTCCTTTCTAATCGTTCTGTTTTTTTTAGAAATACTGATTTGATTGATGCCATGGAAAAAGCAATGGATTTCCATGGTTTGTTAAATGAAATACTTAATTACTTAAGTAATATGGAAGGAAAGGCTGCAAATCTTGCTCCAGTTTCTGGAATAAATTTGAATGAAATCAGAGATGAGGTATATCTTTTTTTTTCTATAAATTAAAAAGAACGTCATCAACGGAATTTAACGTTACTATCCTTGATTTTTCAGCTCAACAAAGTAAATGAATTACGAGCATTACTCGATGAAAAGGCACTACAAAAGGAACAACTTAATCAATTGTGTGCTGGTTTATGTGTTGGCGCTCAAGTGAATCATTCATCTGCTATTAGAATGCCTATCAACGATTTGAATTCGCGTTGGAATCGAGTTAGTCTTATTTTAAAGACTATACGATTGTAGCGGTCGTTAAAGCATTTTTATTTTGCGTCATTCTTTAAGTTTTAAATTATTTGCAGTTATATAGTTCACTAAATGAACGGCAACAGCAAATGGAAAGGGCTCTTTTAGAAATGGGGCAATTTTCACAGGCTTATGATCAATTAATGAAATGGATAGAAAAAACGGAAACTGTCCTAGATGAAGTAAATTTTTATTTCTCCCTTTTTCATTTTCATTTAAAATTGTCATGTTTCATGTGAAATCTTTGCATTTTTATTTGCATTTTTGCATTTTGCAGATTGATCCTCGTCCAAGAAATTTGAAGCAAGCAGAAATTGAAATATGCAAACATAAAGTTGTACAAAATGATATTCTTGCGCATGAGGGAAGTGTTGATACTTTAAATTTGGCTGCTAAGCGAATACTTACTGCTGATCCGAATTCTGCATCTATTACTCAGCCAAAAATCGATGCACTGAATGCACGTTGGCACACGCTAGTTGATAAACTGGAAGATATATGGGAACAACTAAATGAATCACGAAAAGCTGCTGAAAATCTTGGCGGCGAAATAGATAAATGGTTTCTTTGGCTTCAAGATAAGGATGCTGATCTATCACATGCAAAAGCTTGTGGTGGATTGCCAGAAACTGCTCTCGCTCAGTTGGACGATTTTCTTGTTTTGAAAGCCGAAATCGAGCAAAATCGTGCCGAGTTAAATGCTCACATTGAAAATGCTGAAAAATATTTATTGGAGAACTTCGAAAATGGAGATACATGGGTGGCACAACGTGAAGTACAACTGAAAAAGAAATGGGTACAAGTGCAGGAAAAGATGATTGATCGTGAACAAAAATTAAGAATAGCATTAGCAGATGCAGAGGAATTGCATAGCTCAATGGCTGTAATGAATGAATGGTTATCGTCTGCGGAAACTCGATTGGGAAGACTACAACCCGTTTCGCGTATTCCTGGAACTCTGGAAAAGCAAATTGCGGAACAGTCGTCATTCCAATCAGAAATATCTGTTCATCGTGAATTTATGACTGATATACATAGTAAAGGTACAAAAATGCAGTATTATTGCGAGAAGAAAGATGCTATTCCTATAAAAAATCTTTTGGTATCAATGAAGCATCGTTTCGACAAAATTATCTCCCGTTGTACTGATCGAACAAAGCAACTCAATTCGGCTTTACAAGAATCTCAAATATTTTTCAGTGCTTGTACCGATCTTATCGAATGGATTGATAGAAGCACAATATGGCTTAATGAACAAACCGTGCAGGTAAAAATTCCACTTTAAATCATTCACCTTTATAAGAAAAAAAATTCTAATTTTTATTCAGGTAACGTCGGGTGATCGTGTTAGAGAAGCATTAAGCAAACACAAGGAATTCCAACAAGAATTGAATGATAAGCAACCGATTTATGATTCAATTTGCAAAAAAGGTAAATCATTATCGGAGCACGCTCCTCGCGATGAACAAAACAGTCTTAATGAAATTATCGAAAATTTACGGAAAAAATGGTCTCAAATTTGTAGTTCTGCATTGCAGAGGTATTTATTTTTTTAATCATATTTTCTTTTCTCTTATTTTAATATCTCAGCTGGTTTACTTTTAATTATTTTTAAATTTTGTGTAAAATTGCCCCATATTTTTTGCAACCCACCATTTCTGGCCAATGGTCTAAATACTGTTAATTAACTTATGAGGTGGAATTCTTTTACTAGAAAGAGCGAAATATACTCTTCAGCAGGAAACTAATGAATTTATTAATTAATGGAGTCATAGGAATAAACCTGTCGAAAAATCCGCGTGATGCTAGCGGCTCAGCCGTACTTTTCTCTGCCAAGGAATTCCTTGGTATTTATCTACTACAATAAGTCAACGGAGTGAATCTAATTAATAATGGTGAGGGGTGGTTGAAAAAGAAGTAATATGGAGTAATTTCACTCTTTTTTTCATAATAGCAAATAAGTACTATTCTAAAATAATTTTAGGCAACGTGATATAGAAGAAATGCTTTTGGCGAGCGGAGAATTTGATGAAGCCTTATCATCGCTTACAGAATGTTTAGCAAAGGAATTGCCAATTCTTCGAGAAAACGAGAAAATTAATGTGCATGGTGACTTGGAGACTGTAAATCAGCTATTCGATGCGCACAAATCTCTTTGTGAGCAAATTGAATCTCGCCAATCATCGATGGAATCAGTTCGACGACGTGCTGAGCAAATATTCCAATGTAAAGATGATACAGAATCACTGAAAGGTCTTCAAGAAAAACTTGAAAAATTGGATGTTGATTGGACTGAATTCAATACACTAGCGAAACAACGTAGCGCTCGACTTGAAGAAGCTTTAAACGAGGCAAAGAGTTTCGATTGTGAAGTGCATTGGATTCTGGAGTTCTTACCGTGTATAGAAGCACGAGTGCGTGCAAAAGTAAGTATAATTTACAATCTCGCATCAAGTAAGTATAATTAGTAAGTATAATTTACAGAATCGCTGAAAAAATTCATTTTTCATTCTTTCTATTATTTTTATTTTATTTTATGTATATTTTAATACAGCTTTTGAATAATTTTTGAGTGAAGTGAAATCATTTTGCTTGCATAACGTTCTCCTCTTAAACTTTGTTAAATCGTTTAATATCCCCTCAAGCACCTTTTTATATTTCTATTGCGCAAATTTCCTACAAATCATTATTCTATTTTCCAATTCCTCTTACGTTACTTTAATATAATCTGATACTTTAATTTAATAAATCATATCGAATAGAAGAAATTTTTAGAGTAATATTGTCGAGGACGAAAATGAAATTTTGGAGCAGATGGATGAGATTGCACAAATTCGTAAACAGATGGATGATGAACAATCACGAATGGATTCAGTTTTAACAGCTGGTCATAATATTCAGTCTAAATGTCATCCAGATGCAGAGCAAAATATGAGATGTTGGATTCGAATTTTGCAAACGCGCTGGGATGAAGTATCGCAGATGATTGATGGAAAACGAGATGATCTTGAGAAGGTCCTTTTGTTTGACATTATTTATTAATATTATTAGCATTATCTTTTAATAATATTTTGTTTTTTTCATTAGAATAATTTTAGCATCTTAATGAGCTTCGCAATCAAGAATGCCTAATTGCTGACCTGCTGAAATTTATCAGTGTAAAAGATGCTGAGCTTAAAATTTTGGATACTGGGCCACTGCCTGAGGATTCTGATGTTATCAAAAGGTTGAATTTGTTATTTTAACAGTTCTATCTGGCGGATAATATTTTTCAAATATTTTTTTAACTTTAATATTTTAATATTTGTTTATTATACCATTAATTTTTCTAAAATTGTTCTATTGAAGATTGATAGACGATCATGAAAACTTCGAAATGGTTTTACGTGAACACCAACCACAAATCGACGATGCAACGAAATCGAGAAAGAGAGTAGAAACGGAAATCAAAGCTAGAAATTCGAATGTATTTCCAAGGTTTACATTTTATAAATCATTGTTATAGTTCGAGTTATTTTTTATTTTTTGTGATTATCGATAGAATTATCAATTTTTTACATTATTTAGGCGTGAACGCTCTATTCGTCATCCGAAGTCTGAACAGCTTTCTGATCGTTGGAAGAAACTGTGGATAGATTCAATGGATTATGGTCGTAGACTTCGTGAGATGAAGGAATATTTGGATGAGGTTATTGTTTAGTCATTCTCATCTTTTTTTATTTTTCATTTAAATGATTTTAATAACGATAAAAAATGATGCGGTGATAAACTCTAAATATTTTGTTATCACATTTTGTTATGGGGTGCCTTAAAAAATATTTAAAAAATAGCATTATTTATCATCAAAATATCATCAAATATCATTATAGGTTAAAAGATTAGAGTCATTTTCTTTCGAAGAGTGGCGCCAGCGATACCTTGAGTGGACAGATTCTGGAAAATCGCGTATCTCAGATTTGTTCCGGAGAATTGATAAAAGTGGCACGGGGCGAGTACCACGAATCGCATTTATCGATGGAATTATTGCTTCAAGTTTTTTTTTCCTCTTTAACTATAGAGAATAATCAAAAAATCGGACAGCAATTCTTTATTTTTTTTTGTTTCTTTTGATTCGATTAAGTGAAATATTTAGAGTTTAATACCACACGACTGGAGATGCAAAAAGTCGCTGATGTATTCGATAAAGGCGATGGAATGATTGACGCCAAAGAATTTATGTCAAAACTGCGTTATGATTATAGAAAGGTAAACTCACCTTTTTGTGTTTTTCATATAGAAATTAGTAAAAACACATTAATAATGATTAATAATAATTATTCTGTTCTATTTTTATGGTAAATGAAAAATTTATAAGGGAAAGAAATTTTCAGAAAATGCCATCGAAACAAAAGACTGACGGAGAAAAGATTAGTGAAGAAGTTTTACGGCAATCTGAGCAGTGCAATTGTTATAATCCATACAAAATTCAGAAAGTGGGAGAAGGTCATTATCGAGTAAGTAACCTATTGTATTGTAAATTTCATTCATAATTTCAATGGCCAAAATTCAGAATCCACTTTATTTTTAGTTTGGTGATACTCAAATAAAGCGAATGGTTCGCATATTGCGATCAACTGTTATGGTTCGTGTTGGTGGAGGTTGGGTTGCTCTTGACGAATTTCTCCATAAGCATGATCCATGTAGAGGTAAAGTTTTCCAACATTTCTATTTTCAATTTCTGCCTTTAGTATGATTTGACAAATTAATTTTTTAACCGCTGATTTCTGAAATTAACGGTGATCTTCCTGTTTTTTTCTCTTTCATTACATTAAGAACCAAAATTCCTTGAAAAAAAAAATTGGTGAATCTTTCCACAAATCATTTGATATTCGAAAGTAGTAAAAAAAGTTCGTTCTAAAATCGCTTGCATATATATTGCATTTATTTATTGATAGATTATGGTTTTTAATGAGAAAAAAAATATTTTAAGCGAAAGGGCGCACAAATATCGACTTACAAAGATGTTTTTACGATGATGTTCGACCTGAAGGTGCTTATGACACCATGGAAGTTTTTACAAAGACAAGTCGTTTAACACCGAATCGTGATACACCGTTGCTGAATTTCTCTGATTCACTAATGTCAACTCGATATAATATAACTCCCGGTCCCATTACCAAAGTAAATTATCATTGAATTTCGCTTTCACTCAAAAATATTCTATTCTCTAATTCGTCTAATTCGTTAAATATTTTAATTAATTTTTAGATTCGCGAAAAGACTGAACGAAGTATGCCAATGTATAATCCAAGACGTGCTTCAAATTTTTCGCATAATTCTCCATTAATTACTCCTCATTCTAGTAGAAGACAGAGTGATGTTACACATGGTTTTTTATTATTTTATTTGCGAATATATTTTTTTTTGCTAAAATATATAAATATTGAAAAAATTGTGGATCGATGAGTGTGGTAGTGGTGGAATAGTTAGAAAAGATTCTCCTTTATACAAGTTGAAGAAATCTTTAATAATAATTTAAAAAATGGCAAGCCAGAAACAAATTGAAGAAAGGATTGCTTAATGTGCAATAATAAATATGGTAATATTATAATATATGTTAATATTAAATGAATAGGAAAAATTTTGTCGGTGATTTTTGAGAGATTCAAATTTGATTCCTACAAGAAATAAGCACATTGCAAATATTTGCCTCCAATATTTTCTTCTGCATGTTTCGGGCTTGGTTGGTTCCACTGGTTTTGAAGATGTTTAGATAATATTTCTGCCTAAAAGTGGCCAACAACATTAAAATGATAATAAAATGTTATAAAATACTAAAATTTTATCAAATTTAAAAATATTCCAGGATCTCAAAGTGATATATTTAACATATCGCGATCGGATAGTAGATGTTCCGATATCTCGGAAAATTTCGAAAGACCCACAAGAATTCCTTCATTACGAGGTAAGAAGGGAATTGGCTATGGTTACTCTTCGCGAACGAATTCACAATCGCATTAAATTCAATTCAGTTTTTTCATATCATCCATGGGAATTTCTTATCATTATCACTAGTTTTGTAACCAACGGGTTATGATTACTGTTGTGCTGCTTATTTTTATGGTTAATTTAATTATTTCCTTAAATCAAATCAGTTTATTTTTTTTAAATTTTAATTGAATATTGCTAATATTTATTGCTTTCAATATATCAAAAGCAAGAATTCTTATGAAAACATTTAATTCTGCTAGAAATCATTGTTATCATTGTTACGAATATTATAATCATATTAATCAGTTCCACAGTCTTACAATTATTTTACAATCTTCCCCAGCCTGCTCTCCTCTTTCTTGATTGATTATCCCTTCTCCCCTCCCCTTCCCTTTCTCTCTCTCTTTCTCCTCTCCCTCAAAAAATACTTTTTGATTATTTTGATTTCAATGTTTTTGTTTGCCCTTTGTTTTTTTTTCAAGACAGCTATTTTAGCTTTCGAACAATGAATTTCGATATTACCGTTAATTCGCTATACCGTTACTCACTTATTTCGTTTTTTATTCAATTTCATTTGTTATAAATCATTTAATTTTCTCGATTCTTTTTTATTACATATTTTCAGCTTAGTTTATAAGTTTAAAACAACCCTCACAATATTTTTATATCAGTGAAATGCAAAGAAAGAAGTGCTTTGTGAAAGATTGTCAGACTATCATATTAGGCTTTCTAAATAAACCAGTTGAAACCACCACTAGGACCACGAAATTTTACACTTCTATGGTTCTTAATCCCCTAATCCTAGCGGTTCTATGGTTCTTAATCCCCTAGCAGTTGTCATTGTCACAGTGGTGGATGGTGAGGATTTTGTATCCTCAACTCTCCCGGTATTTATAAGAAATCATTAAAGTTTTTAAAGAAATGACTATAGAGAATTTACAATGCAAGGAAGTAATTAGTGGAAAATAAAGTAAAGATTAATAACTGATAAAAAACGAAACTGTAGAGGAATTTCGATCAACCGTGAACCGTGAATATTAAAACCTATCGTCCTGCATTAGCCTTTTTTCACACAATTAATGAACAAACAGAACCATCAGTAGAACTACACAATTCTCATAAAAAATTTTTAAATATTATATTTAAATATTATATTTAAATGAAATACAATTTATTTCACCCGAATATTTTTATCCAAATCGTAGATTTTACAATACATGGAAGTAATTAGTGGAAAATAAAGTAAAGATTAATAACAACGATAAAAAATGAAATATATCAACAATAATACAATAAAGTTTTAGAGTATTTCAAAAAGTTCGATTCGAAATGACAGACCAAATCTTCCCAACTTAAGGATGAGACACAATTTTGTATTTCTGACACAAATCATAAAGGCTAACATTTCGAATTATTACAACTGAACAATAAAAAAGAGAAAATTTTTCAACTGGATCTGAGGTAAATACAGTAAAAAAAGAATTAGGAAGATATTATTAACGAATTATGGCTAAAAGATATGCTTTATTACGGAGTGGTAATGGAGTTTTCAAAAAAATATTACTATTCGTAAAACAAAACTATAAGGTTTGGCATGAGTATTTTAGTGAAGATTGGGGCCCCCAAGAGAATACAGAGAGGCTTTGTAGGCCTTCAACAATACAATAAAGTTTGAGAGTATTTCAAAAAGTTTCGAATCGAAATGACAGACTAAATCTTCCCAGCTTAAGGATGAGATCGCATTTCTGACACAAATCATAAAGGCTAACATTTCGAATTATTATAAACTGAAGATATTATAAACTGAACATAAATGAGAAAAATGAGAAAATTCTTCATCAAAATAAAGGATTAAAATATAAAAAAAGAAAAACAAAAACTGAAAAAAGTGCAGTTGCAATTGGATGGTAATTTCGATAAAAATTGGTAACAATATTAGAGAAAAATTTCATAACAGTATTTGAATTCTTTTTGATTAAACAGGATTTCATATGATATTTTGAAACTTCAACAATTTTTACATCGACAAAATGGCCTAGAATTGACGCATCATCACCTGGCACTAAAATTTGCTCATAAGACTTATTATGCCCAACGTAATGGATCTTATCAGATGCCTGTTCACAAACCAAAACTCGATGTATTTCGCCAATCCGAGTTTCTCCATAGCGACTGTATGAACGAAATAAAGCAGACATTTGCGAAGTACGTCGACGAGCCTAAAGTAAACCTGATATAACTCGTTATAGACTTTTAAATATTTTTAAATAAAAATTCAAGTTTTTGAAAATGGATTAACAGAGAAATATATAATAGAAGTAGAAGTCGAAAAACCTCAACAGTATCAATCTTTTTCAAACAAGCCGCTGGAGTGCCTTTGCGCGGATAAAACTGATTAATAAATACAGAAGGGAAATGATATTTTCTGATAAGTTCCATGCTTTCTTCAAAATCCTCCACAGTTTCGGTGGGAAAAGCACAAATAAAATCAGTTGCGATATATATATTTGGAACACTAAAAAACACTGAACACTGAAAAAACTTCTTAAAAAAATAAATTAAATGTTAAAGTAATCCTAAAATAATGTTTGTACAAATTTTCAAAAAATAAAAAAATATTTAAAGGGAATTATTACTTGGATAACATATAATCCATTACAACACAGAAATCAGCGCAATCATATTCTCGTTTCATATCCGATAAGACGGCATCACTCGCTGATTGAACTGGTATGTGAAGAAATGAATAAACTCGGGGATGATTGAGAATTTTAGCAACTTCCTTCAAAATACTATAATCAAATATTTTATTGAAAGAAAAATATTTAATTAATTCGATTTATAATTCTTTTCTTTCGAAACGAAAATAAACTCTTACTGGAAAAAAAGCAAATTACCTCAAGAAAATCTAATATATAGGGAGGATTCGTCATTCCAAGACGCATCATACATCCTTCTGGTATCACTTTAACCAGAGCATTTAACAAATCTGGCAAAACCTGTAATTAGCATCTGTACAATGTATTTTCCTTCAAAACATTATATAGGAAACAAAAACAAAAAATTTGAAAACAAAAAATCATAGAAAATTAAATTGAATGAGCCATGTTTAAGAAAATAATAAATTACCATCCCGATATCACGACCCCATGCGCCAAGGTCCTCCGAGGTGAGCCAAATTTCACGACAACCATCACTGAACGCAGACTGCGCTTGCTCAACTAAATCTTCCAGAGGATAACTAACAAGATCGCCCCGAGCGAGCTTTGTTTTACAATATGTACACCGGTTCAAACAACCCGTACTAATTGCAAGTACCTTTAAAATTAAAACTGAATCAAGGTTGCAATCAAAAAAGACTGAGCAAAAATGAATTTTAAAACCATAAATAATTGAAATTTATTATTTTTAATGTACAGTTGCTTCATCTTTCTATATATCAAAATTCCAAATTTCCACTTTATGATAAATTCATATAATTTCAAAAAAAAAAAATTTTAACCACCAAAAGCTCATAAACCTACCTCTATCAAAGCATTTCTCCTCATTTTTGGCAAAGCAAGGCGTTGATTGGGTCTTTTGCGAGTTAAAAGGCGAACACAGTTTCCTTCAAGAGTTGCTTCGACAACTTCAACAATGCGATCAATTTGTTTAACACCAACGATAGATAAATTTTTCAAAAATTGAGCATTTGGTTCAGCCTGTAAAATAATCTTCCCAGAAAATCAAAAAACATTAAAAGACTTCATGACTTGATAAAAATGATAAAATAAATTGTATTTTTAATTTATTTTTGACATTGATAGAAAATAAAAATTTAATTTTCGTTTTTTTTATCGAAATTTTTAGGAATATTGGACATGTCTTGAACAGATAAAAAGAAAAAAAATTGGAAAATAAGGTTCACTGAAATAATTCACTTATTATTACCAAGTTAATTTAAAAGAAAAATAAAAGAAGCAAACCTGTGATACACAGCCAGCAACAACAATGAATTTCCCCATATTTTGAGCTTCTTTGACGAGATTTTCCAATTGTGTTTCTGATGGAGTCTTTACGGTGCAACTATTTAATAACCAAAGCGACGCACTTTCCTCAACATTTATTTGTTATTAATTCAAGTTCTTTCTTTTATGTCAATGAATGCAAGGAATAATTATTGAATAACTTTTTCGTTTAAATGCGAAGAATTATTAATTAAATAATTCAGTTATCTTGAAAAAAACACACTGATGAAATTTCTTGCCTTGGACGATGTTATGTGGTAGCCAGCGGCAGTAAGAAGACCAGTCATATATTCAGAATCGCTTGTATTATGAGCGCAACCCCATGTTTTCACAAAAATACTATGAGTTCCTAGAAAAAATTTGCAAAATTAATTGATTGAAATTGGTGAGCTAGTTAAAAAATAAAACACGATATTTGCCATCATTTTAATCGATAAAGAAAAGGTCAATAGGTAGACTGATGGTTGCAGTGGTAATATACTGGTAGATAAACCTATATTTCAAGTCAAAAGAAAAGAAGAGTCAAGTCAAAGTCAAAAAAAAAACTTTAACCTCTTTGCATTCGTCAAATTTCTATACGAGAGATTTCTTTTCTCATTTCTATCAATTTATACAGTTATGGCAAAATCGACAAAAAAAGAAACAAAATACTTTAGAAGAAAGAAAATGCAAATAAACCTGGAACAAAACTATCGCCCTCAAAAAATATATTTTCTTGTTTTAACCGTCGTTTCACTTTAACAATTGCCATGCTCTCCTTCTTTGCAAGCGGAGCGAACAAATCATCTTCGATATCAGCCATATCTTTAATTTTTATATATATTAAGTCTAACAATAGTATCATTTGCAAATATTTATGAGCTAAGGCGATTAAGGGGTTTTTAATAATTTATATTCGAAAAATTTTAGCATTCCGAAAAATAAATTAACATAAATTAAAATTAACAAATTTATAAAACAAAATTTTTTACAATAATTACCTTTATATTAAAATGAAATATATTAAAAAATATCTATGCGAATCATTCGATAAATTTGTCACCATTAATTCTATAATAAATCCAAAATGTTCCCCAAAAAGTGTAGAAATACTGAAAAAAAAAAAAACATAGAGAAACCTTAGCTTCGCAAATAACTATTAATGAATGCTGCACACAATTGCACTTCTACCTTCGAGTGACCCTTTGGTGAAAGAATCTTATCCTTCCTATCTATCCTAGCTAACAACTAACTAGCGGGCCAACACTTCTGGTTAGACTCCATTGATCGCTAGCAATTTTTATTAGAACGATAGAAATATGCATGGCTGACCACTATCATTCAGATCTTTTAATCACATGTCCTCCTCCTATCTGCGGGGCGGGAGGCACCTAGTAAGCCTAGCACAATCGGCCAAGCCAGAAATGGTGTACGACTTATATAAAAGGTTACAGACCTATATAAAAAATATGCCTTGCACTTCCATTAGGCTGTGCCATATATTTGATCGAATACAAATTTCCACTGTGAAAGCTATAATCGAATTAATTTATACAATCAAAATAGTCAATAAAATCTCAACAAAATCAAAATATTGCATGTGTATAAACCACAATCACCTGTAAAAAATAAGGAAAACCAAATAAATAAATAAATCTTTTTCTTTGATCAAATAAATAAACAAAAAATTAACAACCATTAAAGACTAATAAGCGTATCTTAAAGTGATTAGATTTTTGAGGTATTTTAAATTAATTATGGTTGAATCATTTACAAATTGACTAGAAAATATTTTTTAAAACCCTTCAAATTATCAAAAAAATATATTTGAAAGGGAAAATCGAAACATTTCGTCTTTTTTAAAGAAAACGAATGAACTTAAAATAGCAATTATCAGTGACTTATCACAATAAATAACTTCAGCTACTGTCGTAAGCCACTTATTTTATTCCAGTCGAAATGGTATATATTTTGCGTATGCCCATGAGTAAATAAATATAGATGCGAAGCCCTTAACCAAAGTTAATCTATTACTGGAAAGTGAAATGAAGTTAGCTGGTGGATACATACTGTGGTGAACGACAGAATAAACAAATATATGCAGACCGACTAAAATTATAAGAAAAATAACAGTGTAGTCTAAAAGTATAGTCGCAACTACTCGGATAAAAATTCGCTTAAACAAAAATTAATCACAAAATAACGATATCGCACTTTATCGAAGAGAATGAAAAAAAAATTGAGATCAAAAAATCGAATAATAATATGGTTTTGTACAAAACTTCTTTTTTCGCCTATTCTAAAAAGTCTCCAAATGTTCCAATTTTTTGGTAATATGTAAGAATACAACTTATTCACGGCTTCAACCTTTAGAAATTGACTTTGATCAAAAAGACAATTAATGGCAATGAAAATAAAAATACTACTAAATATTACTGAAAATATTGGTATTGTTACGTATTTTTTTCACAATACCAAATAAAAGTGCATTGAAAAAATAGAAAGAAACCGGTTAATATCGCAAAGACAATGGGTTATTAATAAATAATTATTAAAAGATCTAATTTTACAAAAAATAAAAATACCAATACCAATACCAATTTATATATGATTAACATAGAATTACTACAAAAATTCTTTCTCTCAAAATTCTAATTAATAAAAAAAAGTGCAAATAAATAAAATACAAAAAGGAAGCGGAAAATAAAATAAATTTGACAAAATAAACAAAATTATAAATTAAAATACCATTAAGTTATGGAATGAATGAAAGATGTATCATAGTGAAGAATAAGAGTCTTAATAAAAGTCATTTCACGACGTGCATTATCAAATATAATCCGTGGATCATTACTACTACAACGTAATATATTTGGTGCCATTACCATTGCCAAATTACAAACATCCATTTTTGTATGAAACACTGTTTCATCTTCCGCCAATAACTAAAATAAACTCAATAATTGTTAAATCAATAATCAATTATTAATTCATAGTAATTAACCAAAAACGATCGTAAAATTTGTATTAAAACTATCAACAAATAATGAATGTATATAATTTTATTATTTATTACTTTATTTTGTAGACTGATTTATTTCAGGCTTATTTCCAATAGAAATATATTAAATATAATATATTTTACGAAAAAAATTACAAATATGTATCGATATCGTAATAACAAATGATAGAAATGCAAGCAGTGAATAAACTAATCAAATGAAACTCGAAACCATGACAAAAAAGTAAAAAAACCTGCAAAAGATCGAGTAGCTTAGCAAGCACCAAGCGATTGATAGTCGGAAGTAATTCGACAATGCGACAGGCTTCTTCAGGTTGGTCGCATACCGCAAGACATCGCGAATAAAACAAATCAGGTAGAAGAGGTTCAGGCAATGATCGAAGCCATAATTTAAGCAATGCAGCTGGTACATGTGCGTCTCGCACAACAGGAATTAATCCACGATCTAGTCGTAGACGAGCTGAAGAAAAAATAAATCGATTTCGATTTATTCATTTCTAACTACCAATTATCATCGAAATATTTAGCACTAAAAACCTGTATGAATATGATCAGGATTTGCAGGAACGCGAAAGAGACCTTCAGTATGTTGACCATCAGAAGATATAATAAGATCAATCAATGTTGTCTCAAGCCACGGTAAAACTCTAAAACAATGATTGAAGACGGAAATACTCCTGAATCTAGCAAAATTTAAAATTTTATCAATTTTTCCAAATCATATATAATACACAAAGAATTAATAAACCTTTCTGGATATTTTTCAGCCTGAAGCTCCATAAGTTCTTCCAATGGAGCAGAAAATTGTGGCGGGCTGAAAATATGAATTCGAGACTCTTGTATTAACTGTAGCGTAGGCTTCTGTTTCATAGAAGATGTACGTAAAAGTCGACGAGAGCACTGAAGTGCATAATGAGATATTGGAACCTAAAATTTCTTAATAATGGTAAAGATGATAAAAGCGAAATAATCATAACTGTAATATTAGAAAATAATCGCTAAATTAGACCACTGAAGAAAAAAAACAAACTTCAGGTGAATCGAGTAGGCGATCTGAGTTTGCATCGATAAAACGCATCAACCGCTGTAAAATTTCCTCAGTGGATGGAGTCATAAATGTCAAAAATATGGCAAGCAGTTCCCAACCTCGCCTCAGCGAATCACATTTCTCATTTCCAGTTAATTGTTTGATTAGTTGACAAAATAATTCGTCGCCAAGAACCTCTTTTGAAGTACCCGATTCACAAAGAGATAGAGCCAGCTGAAATATGTATCTAACAAAATAAGGATATATAGAAAAAAATGATGTATCCTCAAAATTAAAAGCATTATAAAATATTTAGCATATTGTATTGATTGCCGAAGCTCGTGGTTTCGCTCCCAAAAACCCCTCTGTATTCTTAAAAATTATTAATGGGTTATACTTGTTAATATCGTATAAATTACTTAATAGGTTCATTAAATTAAATGAAAGGAGAAATAGATATTTTTTAATGAAAAATATATATACTTTTCAAAAAAATTTGTGGGATTGTTGAAGAGATTTATTACAATTTTACAAATTTAATAAAGGGGAATGACACGCAAATTCGTGAAGCGTTCCAAATTTTTTTGGGGATAGAATGGCTCAGTGAGCTGTTGCTCAATTGGGAGTGCCGATGCTGATTTCCTGCAGGAGTAAACCTGTACAAAAATCTGGGTGATGCTGGCGACTCACCTGTATTTCTATCGCCAAGGGACTCCCTGGCATATTACCCAATTGCAACAAGCTAGTAGAGAGAGTTTAACCAGTGAGGACCCTTAAAAAGAAAAAAAAAATAAAAATAAAAGGGAATAATAAATAAGCAGGAAACAAAAAACCAAATATTGGTATTAGTATTAATTATAAGAAATCTCGTAAATTGCCAGGATTCTGAGAATTATCAAATTATTCTTTGCAGAAATAAAATTCAAACTGGACGACAATTTATAACAGTAAAGAAGGTAATTTTGTCTTCAACAAGATGTTTAATGCGAAAATAACATTCAATAATAATAAAATAAATAATACCTGATCAGGAGAAGTTTTCGATTTTCGATCACCCATATAACACTGAACAAGTTTAAAAAGTGTAGGCGCCTCTTTTTTCAAGACTTTATCATCCAAGCACCCTGATACAGGTGATTTAATAGAATCTTTTGTCCAAGAATCAACAATAGATTCATTCGAGGTTTCAATATTTTTCGTAGTCTGGCCAGAGCTTACAACTTTCTTTGCAGCAACATCTTCAACAGGAAAACGATTGTTGACTGGATTATTAACAATCGAACTTGGTATTTTGAAGGATGAAGAGTTATAAGATGGTGGCTCAGCAGATGAAGCTGCAGAAGTTGACCGAAAAGGCATCACAGGGACCATTGGTATTGAAGAATCAAGCATAATTCTAGGCCTAATATTCGATAAATGGGAATAAGATGAACGGCTTTCAACAGAATCATCTCGGGATATATGCCCAATCATTGGTGATCCGCATTGTACATTTGCACAATCTCGATTAGAATAAATATGCATTTCCTAAAATAATTTTTGAATCAGAAGAAATGTCGATTAGAATAATTATTTATTCATATTTCAACTTAAAAAATATCAAAAATAATTAAAATCATCAAAATATATCAATAGAATAATAAAATAATTATCAAAAAATTAAATCAAAAAGAAGAAAAATAACTGAAAGACCTGAAAAGAATTGAGCAATGGAGAAATGCATGATGAATTAGACTGTAACGGCAAGGGAGATGATCGATGTACACGTCTAGTTAAAGATGAATGTGGTGAACTGAGACGCCGTTGGGTCGTAACAATACCAGCTTCTGGCGATATATTCTAAATTTTTTGTGATACAGAAGGTCCATGCATTCAAAAAAGAAAAAAGAATTCAAGAAAATTTATTGTTAATAATTAATTAACATAATTTATTTTTATATTTTTACATTTAGAATTTTCACTGAACTTTCAGAGTGAAATTATTTTGAATATTATCTATATGCATTTTGCCGAATTTAAGCCGAAACAATGCTTATCATTTAGCGATAAGACGCATTAACAATAAGGAGGAAGGAACTGATCTTTATAGAAACATTCATTGAAAAAAATTTTTTTTAAAAAAATTTTTTCTGGATCGCCTTAAAAACAATATATATATATATATATATAACAATATATATAACTCAACGCATTAGGGCAATATATATATATATACATAACAATATATATATATATAACAATATATATAACTCAACGCAACCCTGGCCATAAGCCATGGATTCTGCTATGTGATTCTAAAGAAGCATTCTCATCCTCTTTTACCGTTGGAGATCGATTATCTCTCATCTCTATTTCCATTTTCAAGTGATATGCTCACGAAAAAAAATTTTGCCATGGTTGCGAGTGGAGATAGTTAAAGCAAAAATAGTATATACACTTAAAATAAGAAACACTCAAATTAAAAAATACTTGGGCAAAAACTGTTCGTGTAAAAATCCGATTTGCCGATCGGCGCTCTTCTTTTGGTGATGTTTGCGTTTCACTATTACGTTTAGTTTTAACTTCAGTTGTAGCTGATGGTGTATTTCGTTCATCAGTTTGTGAATGTGAAGGAATTTCCGTATTTTCTTTTAATGTCTTAAACAAATAAAGTAATAAAGGTTAAGTTATTGTTAAGTTAAACGTTAAAAATTGATTTCTTCTAGAAAAAAATGGCAATATTATTATTTCACCTTATTTTTCAAAAGGAAATGATATATCTATATTATATCTATATTTGAGAAATTAATGATATAATAGATATTAAAAGTATATTTTAAGAATCACACTTTTGAAAGCTCAATTGGCTTTTCTCGAAAAATTAAAGGTGCCTCTGCACGAATTTAACGACAAATTCACTTCCACCAAGAAGCATGAAATAGAACTAATGTTCAGTGTGAACTGAAGTAACCTTCCTTGCTTCTAATCAAATTTTAGCAGGAAAATAAAAGGGATTTTCTAAATAACTGGAAATAAAAAAAAATATTAAATGAATATTGTTTACATTCCCATAAAAACTATTCATTAAAAAGAATAAGGAAAATATAACTTAAATTCTATGAATGAAGTTAGAGTTAATAAAGTCAAATTACGAAAACCGCCTGTATCTTCAAGTGATTATCTAACGAAAAAACCTTCAGTATAACAGCACAGTCAATGGAAGCAGCCAAAGGTGATAAGATGAAAGAAAGAAGAAAAAGCTAATAAAATATAAAATAACTAACACGATTTAAAGAGAATGTAAAAAACAAGAATTATGGAAAAAAATAATGGAAAATATACCTGAAGTTTAGCAAGTGGAATAATATCTGAATTACATGGACGTTGCCAAACTGTTTTCATTGAAGTTGCATTATAATAATAAAATCTTTGCGTATTTGTATCAAATAATTCCCACCATTGATTACTTTGAGTTCGTTTTCTAAAAAAATTAATGGATAAAAGTAAACGGCCAAATAAGAATCAGGAAATTTTCGAATTTAGAAAAAAATTGGGTTCTGTCAATTTAAAAGAGATCGAAAAGTTTAGAAATGCTTTTTTCTAATGGTATCGTTAAAAATAGAAAAGGGGAAACTGTAAAAGGGGAAGAAGAAAGATTATGATAAAATAATAAAGTAATAATAATAAAAATAATACATACACAGGTACATCAGAAGGAATTTCCCATGAACATTGACCGGTACGAAGATTTGCATACATATGTTGCTTTGTTTGAGGTTCAACTATTTCTACCCATTCAATTCTATAATAAATGAAATTTTTAAGCAATTTTAAAAAAAATTGCAAGGTCAAAATGTGAAAGGTTAGAAAGATCAAAAGGTTAAAAGATCAAAGGTTGAAGACAAGTAAAGAAACAAGATTTGAGAGCAATTTTACAAAAACGAAACATGAATCGACAACAAATAAAAAAATATTAAATTAATAAAAAAAAACCCATTTGGAAGTGAAGAAGACGACGCCGATGACGACTGTAATTGTAATGACTGATCTTCTTCCATTCCACCTATAAAATCTAAAAAATTAGTACAAAAACGATGCAACCAAGTGGAATTAGCCTACCAGCGTGCCACTATCAAACTAATATTACTATATTACTTATTACCTATTTGCTACATAGGACAAAACCTAATAATACGTTCTTTATTGTCTTCGTAAAGGGTTAAAGTTCATATTTGGTTGATAAACGATGCGCCAACAGAACACAAAACGAAAAAAAAAACGAAATTCAACAAAATTAATTTCGACATTTGAAGAAGAAAGAATCAAACTCATATGAATTTCCCAAACTAAAGAACAAAATACAAGAACAAAATAAAAAGGGGGAAGAGGAGGTGATAAAAAATGGGAGAGAGGGGCAATGGAGGGGTTGTGGAGGGGTTATCAAAGAAGGGAAACCTGAGGAACTTTTAGCAAAGGTATGGTGACTGTTAGAAGACGAAAAAAATTGAAAGAAGTGAGAAAAAACTTGCTAAAAAGTAAACAATTACAACAAGATAAGTGTAAATAAGTTATTCAAAACGAAAAATATTTAAATACCTTGTAAGCCACAGGTGATAACTGAAAATGGAAACCGCAAAGGTCAAAGGGTCAAACTGAGAACCAAATGAACCAAATAGCACCCCCTCCTGGATAGGAAAATAGCAAGAAACATTAAATGCGATGATAACAACCGATTTTTATTCTCTCTCACTTTTTCTTTATTTCTCTGCTGTCTCTTTCTTCAATAATCAATATTTATAGCACAATATTGCATATATTTGTATAATCCCCTTCTTCCCCCCCCCCTTTCCATTGTCCCCCCCCCCCATATTTTCCCACCCCTCAACCACTATTTATATCTCACCGATCTCCATTATGAAATTTGTTTTTGCTGCATGTCATTACCTGCGGCGAAGTTTCATTTTGTTGTAAAGATATTCTGGAATGAGAGGAAAAATAGAAATGGAAGGAAGGAATTATGACCTTCTATTCTTTCTTTGTAATTGAACAAATAGTATTTTAAAAAATTGGCAATCGGTGACAATTTAGCATAGTGAAATAAACTCCCGGGAATAAACCTTGTCACCAAAGTCACCAAAACTTACAACCTAGCGATCCACTCGCACCCTCAAGTAGCTTTTCGATGAAACGTTTATTCCAATATAGAGTGGAGTAAAACCCAACTAGGAGTGGAATGATGAGACAGGAGATATGACACTGATTAAGACTGATTACTGCCCGACTGCAATGAATGGACAGAAAGGACTGAGGACAAAAAAAAAAATTGCAAAAATTTTTGCTAGTTTGAATTCCCGCCATTCGACAGTAAAAATTGGCTCCCTGCCAAACGGTTTAATTTTTTTGGAAAAATTTCCTTTTTAATTTTATTTAATTTTATTAATTCTTTTTTAATTAATTTTAATTTTTATAGTTAAAACTTATAATTCGACAATTCCGCGAGCGCTTTTGTCAGTTTCAACGTTTTAAACTTCGAGCAAATGCAATTAAATTATTTTGCGTATTCGCCAAAAATTGTCAAAAATATCGAAAAATGCCTAAAAATTGCCAAATCGCGAGTGTAAAATTTTCCCAGTGAATTTTTGTTTCTATAAAATTGAATTTCGTTATCGAAAATTTCGAATTTATCTTTTTCAGTTTATTGGAATTTTAAGAATAATTACAATGGCATTTGGTGAAAACGTTTCTATAAAAACTTTTAAAAGAAAAGAGATTCGAAAAAAATTTAAAAAATTAATAAAATTGCAAAAAAATGCTCACTATAAACATAAAAAGGTTTTCTTTTATTTATTTATTATAAATTTTATAATAATTTCTATAAAATAATTTTACTTTTTCTTAATGAAATGCATAACGGAATGGCTGTATCCCGTAGTGCCGTAGCGATAGTTTAACAGTGGTGGTGCGAGCTGTTAGGCGAAGAGAGCGTTTTCTTAACCTCTTTCATATTTTTACCTTCCTCCCATTTTGGAACTTCGTTTTTTCCCAAAATTTGTTTTTTATAGGTGGAAGATTTAATTTACGAAAATAAACGCGTTAATACAGTGAATTCAACGAATGCAAAAAAGAAAAAGAAAGACAAAAATAAAAAAAGGAAACATCGAAAAAGCGAAAAAGCTAAGCTAAAAAATGTAATTATTTTTTATAATTTCTTCATAATGAATGAATTATTCGCATTAATTTTATTTGTTCATTTTATGACGAATTGCTAATTAAGGCAAAATGTCAACATTTATATTTCTCTCAAGCGGTGATTATTGCAGGTTAAGCAATTTGAATCTTATCTAAAAGAATAAATAAATAACATTTTTTATGAATAATGGATCAGTTTAAAGGACAAAGAACGGCGAGGACGAGAAATGGAGTGGGATGAGGATGAGCGAGAGGCAAAATATTACTCGAAACTGTTGGGTTATAATAAGAGAAAAAGCAAAAATATGCCTCAGGTGTTCAAAGCCGAAGGGCTTGATTGTGCGTTTTTTCTGTTTGAAAATTTAATTATTTGGAAAAATTCTGTTTTGTTATAGTACCATATTTCCAATAGAATTACATCCTTTTCATGAATGTTTTTTATTCAGCTAAAAGTATTCTTACATTAAAATAATTCAGAAGAATGCTCAATACATGATATTTCGAAAGATAAAATTTTTGTGACTCTTTTTTATCTTTTAATTTTTATGCTATATTTTTTCAGACTTGCTTAATTTACTCGATTCTGAATGGGACAATGGTAATGATTCTGATGGCAAAGAAAAAATTCAAGGTATAGATGATATCGCTTGCCAGGAAAAATCTGGTTCGGACATTTCAAGCAGTTGTGGCGATGATGAAAGGCTCCCGAATGCAGGCGATCGTGTATCTGACCAGGTTTTTATTAATTTATTATTATTAATGTAAAAATTAGTGATTGATTTTCTATTCTTTCACTTTTCTCCTGTTTTTTTTGTTATAGGATGAAAGTAAGACGGAACAACATAATGATTTTGAAGAAGATATTTATGGTCGGCTGCGTGACAAAAAAACTGGCAAAATATTGAATGAAAATAGCGTTAAAAACAAACTGGTTGAATTAGAAAAATTTGCTGTTGATAGTGAAGAAAGGACAAAATTAGAAAGAAATTTGCGGGGCATAATAAATCGTCTAAATGAACAAACGCTATTAGTTGCCTTGAGGAATATTTCTGAAGCCTTCGCAGTCAATGGACATAATGGTATTATGTTTTTTATTTCTGCTGATCTTGATTTTTTAAATCAAAATTTCTCAAAATTTCAATTAAATTTGTAGATTCAATTAAATCTTTCCATTTAAAATCCATGAAAAAATCCAAAAAATTGTTTTTTACATTTTTTTGTAAAAAATAGATAAATTTCACAATTCGCAAATTTTTAATTTATGAAATGAATATAATTTGGCACAAAGAAATTCAGATTAGAATTCGTTCATAATTTTGTGAGTATTTTTGTGCATAATTATTTTCCCTATAGATGTCAAGCAAATTCTTTTCGAAATGATTTATAAAAGTATTGTGGTGGCATATCGTCTTCCAGATCGTATCATCATTGAATATGCTGTATTACTTGCTTTAATACATACCAAAGTTTCTGCTGATATCAGTTGGTTTTATTTGAGATATTTAATCTAGAATAAAATGATTTAATCAATTTTTTATTGCTTTTTTGCTTATCTTTAGTTTATTTTTTTGTTTTCAAATAATTTTGCAGCTTCTCACTTTATTGAAAAATTCATACTTGAATATTTGAATGTAGTCGATTCGCCGCCAGAAGGCAAATGCATGGAAAATTTATCAATATTACTGGCTCATTTATATAATTTCAGGGTATAATGCTTTTTATTTTATATTTATGTAAATATGTTCTACAAATATCTTTAAAATTCGATGTTTCTTCTGAACTGACATTGATAAAATGAATTTGTCGATGTTAGTGAAGTATTCTGATAAATAAACTTATTATTGTAACTTATTTCAGGTTATCAAAGCAATTATGATATCAGAAATACTTGAGCGATTAATGGCTAATGTTACTGAGAAATCTCTTGAATGCTCAAAAATCATATTAATTTGTTAGTTAGTTTTTTGTTAGTTTCTCATTACACTCATTATTAATCAGCTTTGTTTCTGCTGTAATTTATGACGTAATATTAAGTAGCAAAATGATTTTTTGGTTTTTTCATTATTATTTTCCATCATTTCATCATTATTTTTTTGACTAAAAAAGTTTAGATTGTGGTGCAATTTTGAAACGACGAGATTCTGATTTTCTTAATAAATTTCTCTCCGATTGTCAGAACACTATATCTCATCTTCTAAACAGTGGATCACTGAGGTGATTTGTATTCCATTTAAAAAAGGAATTAAATGAAAATAAATATAAAAATAAAAAAATAAAAATGAAAAAATAAGGGTAATTAAAGCATAAAGCACTTATATATATTCGATTGCTTTTATACTGGCCATTTTTTTTTTTTTTTGAATTTGATTCATAGATAATGAAGCACTTGAAACTGTGCCTCCTAAATTTTAAAAGTGGCTTCAGCAGATTCCAGGAAAAACATCAGCGTTATCTACCAGAGATTTCTATCTGTACAACTAGACAGGAGTTAAAATACTACACAGAACTCTCAGTATCCCAGTTCTCTGGTAGAGGACCAAAGGTTGAGGTTGATCATTATTACCCACGGAAATGAGAAAGAGATTTTTTTTTATTGGCCTTCATTTTATTTTATATTTTATAATAATGGATGATCATTTGCAGCCAACACAGTCAATTTTTAGCGGAAGAACTATTGGAGATCAAGAATAACAATATAAAAAAACTCACTGATACCTTTGATATTTCTTTATATGAGCATTATTTGAATATATATCGCGGTCTTACAAAAAGTTAGTTGATTTATCTGAAAAAATTCTCCTTGAAAAAATTTGGGATTAAACTTGATTAATTGATTGATTAGTTGAAAAAAAATTTAAAAAAGTGGAATGGAATTTCACTTTCTGCAGAGAAAGGAAAAAAATTATGATTTTTCTGAGGGCAACAATTTTTGGAACTTAGTCAATGAGTTATATGGTTACGTCATTAGCATTCATTACTGAATTTTTTAATTCCTTGTTATAAATCTTTCAAATATTTTAGAAACTAATAGGGAGAATGAATTGGCAATGAGCGTTAGTGACATAATTAATGCTGCGGAACATGGGCGTTGGTGGCTGGTTGGATCTGCTTGGGTGCCTTCAGGCGATTCTACTGTCGCTGCAGTTGAAGACAGTGGTTTAAATTTCGCTGAGCCCATAATAGATTTGGCAAAACGCTCGAGAATGAGTACGTCCACAAGGAAGAAAATATTTTGCACTTTAGTTTCATCCAGGGTACTAATTTTTTTCTCAATGTGTAGAAAAAATTATAAGAAATAGCTGATTTAATTTATTTAGGATGAAGTGGATGCGTTTGAAAAATTGATGCGATTATCGCTAAAAGGACACCAGGAACGAGAAATTATTTACATCAATATACATTGTGTTCTTCTAGAGCCTTCTTACAATCCATTTTATGCTGCAGTGATCGAACAGTTTTGTTGTTTTCATAAAAGATTCAAGGTTTTGTGTTTGGTTTTTGAATAGTCCATGCAAAAATTTAGATGAAAAAATTTAGATTTTACGTTGTCTACATAAAATTTATTCCATGGAAAGAGAGAGGAACAATAGCGGGACTCATATTTAAAATTTCAGCTTACTCTTCAATATGCTATTTGGGACCGGATAAAAGAATTATCGAGCATGGAAATGTGGCAACGCACTAACTTGGCATTGCTTATTGGTGAATGTATCATGAAACGATCTGTCGGAATTACAGTGTTGAAGGTTGGTTGTAAATATTTAACAGAAATTCGAGCAAAAATATCTAGAAATTTTAAAAATTCGAAATTTAGAAAATTTTTCCACTTTTATTTGTTTTAAATAATTTTTTTTCTTTTCCAAATTATTTTTAGCATTGTTATTTTTTGCTTTGTTTTTTTCTTTTTTTGTATTTTCTTATTTGAAGATTTGTTTTTTCAGTATAGCAAAATTTTAAAATTTTCCTTATTTGATATTTGTTGAATATTTTCATGGTTGTATTCCAATATTTAAACAATAATTTTATAGATAATTGAATTTGGAATGATTGATCAAACTACAACGCAATTCTTACGGCAAATTCTACAGCACATATTGGCGAATAGTTCTGAAGATTCGGTGGCTGATCTATTTAAAATAATAGTAAAATCATCTGATCAACGATTGTTTATTCAAGGGTTGCAAATATTCATCCAAATGATGCTACAAACGAATGAGTCTGATGATGGATCCAAATTTTATTCTAAACTTAAATTTCTTAGTTCTATATTGGATGATGATTCAAACTATTGAAAATGTCGAAATTTTCATATTTTTCGATACATTATACATTCAACTGATTGAAGGTCTTTTTTAGTGAATGAATCTGTCAAAATTAAGACTTTTGTATGAATGAATGAAAAATAAATTTTTTAAAATATTTTTTTTAGAGTTTCTTTCCAATTTGCATTTCTTTCGTTACCATCCTTACGAGATCTTCAATTTTTATAAATAATTTTTTTAATTTTTAGTTGTTATTATTATTGTTGAATTGTTTGAAATAATTGAATATTGAATTTGTCCAAAATATTATTGTATATTATAATATTGCTCGATTGGCAATATTTTTTCTAATATTTTTTCCCTTTTTGTGATTTTTTTATAAAATAATTTTGAAATAAATTTTGTAAATCTACTGTAACATTTTATTTTATAAGCAAAAATCAACTGAATATGAGATGAAATAAGAGATGAAAAATTTCTCGTTAGCTATTAGCAAAGCAAGGAAAATATTAAATAAGATTTCTTGGCATTTGAATAAATCTATTTGGCAAAGCAAAGCAAGAATTTTTTGAATACTATAATATTTTTTAAAAAATTTTAAGTTTTTTTTTCAGATTCTTGCAAATTGTTGAGGAATATGTGAAATATTAAATTTGACTGTTTCTTAAAAGAATCTAATTTTTCCTTCAATTGTAATCATTTGTGATTTGATCGATTTATCAGTGAACTATTTAAATTGGTTCATACAAACTGCCTTTTTAATCGGGTAAAATTCTTTGTTTTTTCCAACTTTTATTATTAATTATTATTGTTTTATTATTATTTTAAAAAGAGAAATGAATTTATAAATGGAAAAAAGAAGAAAAATTTGCGATCATTGTTTATGAAGAATTTATTCGATATTAAAAATTTTAAAATTAAATATTAAAAATGATTAAAATTAAATCAATTAATTTATAAATGAATTAAATTTAAATTTATTTATTTAAATTTATTTAAAATTAAATTATTTATTAAAATCTAATAATTCAATTAATTAAATAATTCAAGCAACATGCATTACTTTTGATTTGGCTTGATTGCAGGTTGAGACGCTCCTTCGCTAAAGGGTCATTTCGGGGTTTAGGCTTAGAAGGTATAGGTTGGATCCTCGAGGACAATCCTTGCATCATTTTCAGTGAGAGTTCTTACGCTCGTTTATGGAATAAGGTAGTCGAACTTGGACAGTGCAGTTGCAACATTTCACTCGCCTGTCGTTTCCTTTTGTCAAATATTTAATAAATTTTAAAATTTTTAATTTTTTTTAAATTGGAAATGAAAAATAAAAAAATATATATAAAATAAAATAAATAAATAAAATAAATTTTTTTAAAAATATTTCATTTTTTTTGCGAACAAAATAAATTTTTAAACGAAAATTTTAAAAATGAAAATTTTTTTATTGAAAAATTTTCATTTTTTATTAATTTCAAATAAATTTTATTTGTAATAAAATCAATAAAATCGATTGATTTTGAAGGAATTCAATGTTCACTTAAATTCTTTTGAAACGTCTTTTAATTTATTTATTTATTTATTTTATTTATTATTTTCGTTCTACAAAATCCAAGTTTTTTTTTAATTTATTAATTTTAAAATTTTTTTTCAACTTTTTTATTTATTTTTTATTTTATCTAAAAATTTATTTTTCTTGTCGAATTTCTTTTTTTTTCCGAAATTTTTACGAAATAAATCAATAAAAAAAAGATTTGAAATATTTCAATAAATAATAATTGGTTGTCATGACAGCCAACTTTAATCTATTATTTATTTATTTATTTATTTATTATTTATTATTATAAAATTAGGCGGGGAAGGATAGCCGAGTGGGCTTATTGGAGATTTGAGGATATCGTCTCAAGCGTCGATGAATCCGATTTCCGACGAGACTGCTCTTTCCTGTCGCTCGACTGATACTTGGAACTCCCTTATATTTTCTATTATCAGAATGGCGATTCCTTTGCAATAATTTCTCATCAAACTAACCGCCACTGAAGCGTATTTAACTAAAAATGATGAGCGCTTTCCCACTTTTTATTTTATTATTATTTTTATTTATTATAATATTTATAATATTTTATTATTTTTTTATTTTTTATTATTACATTATTTTATTTTTATTATCATTTATTATTTATAATTATTTATTTTTACTATATTTATTAATTATTATTGTTTATTAATTTTATAGATTGAAAAGAATGCAGCGATTTGATTATTTTGATTCGAGAAAAATAAAATAGCAAAAATTTTAATCTTTAAAAATTATAAATTATAATTTTTTTGAAATTTTTAATATGAAAAATTAATAAAAGTTTTTTTTTTCTTATTTTTTATTTTTATTTTTACAAAATATAAAAGAGGAATTAGCGATAAGTTTTATAGAATATTGTTAAATGAGATAATTAGACAAATGAGTAATCATTTCAAATTTTTTTAAAAAAATCACACAAAAAAAAAATTTTGTGTAATTAATGGTTTTGCAACGATGGTTCATCGTTCGTCCAATTGATTTAATTTGAGATAGAAAGGGGAGATAAAAGTTAAGAAGAGAAGAGAAGAAGGTGAGGAGGGAAGGGACGGGGAGGAAAAAGAGTAGGGGGAGGGGAACTGGGAGAGGGGAAGGGGTGGGGAAAAGGAGGGGAGAGAGGGATAAATCGAGAGGAAATTTGCGGTGATTTTGGAATGTATGGTTTGTGCTGGCTACATATTTGTTTCGTAATGTGAATAAACCGGCTGTCTGTCACCTTTAATTACTCAATGTCACCTCTTCACTCATTTTTTGTCACCTTTATTCGCACTTCGTCAGCTTTCAGTTAACTACGCAAATTAACGAAGTAATGGAATAAACTAGGAACGTGTTTTTCTGTGATAAAACAATAATTAATGGTAACTAACGATTTATTCGGCGCATATTTATTATTTTCAATAATAAAAGGATAAACTGGTTGGTTAGGTAAGTAAATTAAGATAAGAATTCTGAGCTGACGTACTGTGCGGTAGCAAGGCGAGAGAAACAAAACTCGAATGGCGATAGGAGTCCACAATCAATCTATTGGTGGTGCTTTCTCTATCTCTCTATCTCACCGCATAGATGCTTTTACAGATAGTCTCTTTCCGGCACCTTTTTGGTTTCACTTTTGGTTCCTCGGTTTGAGGCGCTTCTTCTTATACTCGCTTTCTGTCTTTTCGCTTTATCGTCATTTAATTTCCTATAACGTTTTCTGTTTCGTCTCACATAAAAGTTTCCGTTTGGTCCAGAAATTGTTCCAAAAAGTTTTTTTTTTTTTAAAATATTAAATCGATTGATTTCCTCTTACAATAAATCGAAAATTTGTGTCAGTCTATCGCCAAATTCATTATCGTTCATCGCATACATTATTATTGGTTTTATAATAAAAAATATTGTTAAAAATAAAAATAAAAATTAGTTTATTTATTGATTTTATTGTAGTTTTAGTTGCTTATTGTTTTTTCATAATTTTCCTATTTTATTATTTATTTATTATTGGTTTCGTCGATGCTGATGAATAGTCGTTTTTCATTCTCCTTCTTTCCTTTTTCTTTCTTTTTCTTTTCCTTTTTATTTTCGTATATTTTAAATTTTTGTTCCTTTTCATCGCTTATATCCTTTTTTTTTCGCTAATAGATTCAAAAAAATTTCCTTTATCTTATCTCTTATTTATCAATCATCTTATCACTCACAGCACTTATTATCGTTGTCGTTGTCTTATTTCCGCATCAATGAATGATTATCGCTATGGATGAAATAACTTACAAGTCTTTTCTTTCTCTTCTCAGTTGTTTTCTTCAATTTTTTAATCGTGTAATAAACGTTTCGAAATTCCGAAGTACATTTTGGATCTTTTGGATTTTTTTAGTTCTTTTTTTTTGTCACCAGAAACTTCATATATTCCAACTTTTCGGTCATTTATCACAATTTTGTTTTTTATTATTATTTTTCTGTGAAATTTTACTATCCAACTTTGTTTCTCTCTAACATTATTTTCGAACATCGCCTAATTTTTTCGCTTTTTTTTAAATTTGGCTTTTTGATAATCATAAAAAAGTCTTATCAAGAACTTATCATTAAAAAGCTTATTTATATCAAAACTTATCAAATTATTGAAGTAAAGTAAAAATTATTCTATTTTTTCTTTTTCTAGCAGCAATTCATCATTTCTATTATCGCCGACTATAATTATACTAAGGCGGCGGCGGCGGCGACGATTTATCAGCGCCATCGTACTTGATTCAAATATTTGTCGCCGTTGTTGATTATTGTTCATTACAAGTTATTTATGAGCGTTAAATCGTTTATGTTCATAATTATTTTTCGTTAATTATTTCAATATTTTCAGGAAATATTTATAAAATCAATATGATTTATTAATATTTTAAACGAAAATTAACATAATAATAAATATTGAAAAAAAAGAAGAGTTACAATAAGATGCGGTAACGTGTAATGTGACGTAAAGAAATGTCAATTCATATCAGTGATAGTCGAAATATGAAATTTAACGAAGAACCTTTCGAAAAATTTTATGAAATTGCTGAAGAACTCGGAAAGTTTGTTTTTTTTTTATTATTTTTATTATTAATATTTATTGAATATTGATAAATTGATAAATATTTAAATTGATAAATATTAATAAATTAATATTTGTTATTAAATTATTTTATATAATTTTATTTATCAAATATAAGTAAATAAGTGAGTATTTTCTCCATAAGAATCGTGGAACGGCGAAGGCAGAAAGGCTACTTTGAGATCGGCCGGCTTCCACTTATTTGGGCCTCGCTCGTGCCGTTTTTACGTCCTTCGTTGGACCATTTGTCGACTTCATTTGATCATCTTTTTGTATTTTCCGTATTGCATGAGCCAAAGCTTCGCTTTCTTTTTTTGCTTTCTTTTTGAATGTCATCATCTTCTTGTGTATTTGAATCTTTCCTGCTGATTTTCTATATTGGTATGCCACTAAACCACGACCAGGGCGCACCACTCTGAACTCATGAAAACTGCCAACCTCCTTTTTATTGCTACCTGTTTGATTGGTTGATAATTAATTTGTTGGTAAGGCAAATTAACTGTTGGTTCAAATCCATTTTGCATTTTTACGATCCCTGAGTGGTCTTTGCTTTCGCGACAATAAGTAACTAGTAAGTGGTTAGCTGTCACCATTCCTTTTCTATCTTTACTGGCTGTTAGTCTTCACAACTAGAAAGTCAGGTCATCACTTGGCGATAGCTGGGTCATCACCACTGTCTGGATTTTTTTGATTGATTAGATTTTTGCTGTCGGAAGCAATTCTAGTGTTTCCTACAGTAATTCTGCCAATTATATTTATTTATACATATGAAAAATTAATTTTTTTAAGAAACTATTAAAATATTTTTATTTTGAAGTGGTCAATTTGCTATTGTACGTCGTGTGGTGAATCGAATAACAAGACAAGAATATGCAGCAAAATTTATTAAAAAACGACGTTATGCTACATCACGTCGCGGCGTTTTACGTATAAATATCGAACGTGAAATTACTATCTTAAAATATATTGCTGATAGTGATAATAATAATGATAACGGTCAATATATTATTAAATTATTCGAAGTTTATGAAAATAATAACGATATCGTTCTTGTTTTAGAACTGTAAGTTTAATTTTTATTCGTAATCTTTTTCTTCGCGCACCATTTCGATTCGGCTGACTGTAAACGGCAAAAGATAGAATGTCAAGCAGATTGTTTCGATTAAAGAAAGGATTCATCAAAGGTTCACCTTTCTCGCCTTTTGACCGAAATGAACCTCTAATTTCAAAAGGAATCCTCTTGACTCACCTATATTTCTATTTCCATGCAACTTTCTTTTGTGAGGATTTCATCCTCAGATAGTAATGGATTTTACTGGAAAAAAGGTTTCACTGAGGGTGAGGCATTTCCAACTGGTCTGATCTAATGCCATATCTGAAATTAAATTATGTTTATCAAAAAACAACAATTTTAATAAAGATTTAAATGATTTAGTGATGCTGATCTCATCACTTGAACTAGGATTGTACACCCGGTAGAAGTAAATCCGTGGTGCCGCTAGTAGTGCTTCTACGGCATGGTGATTCTCTACTTGTCTGTCTGGTCCAAGAAGCCACCGGAGCGAGTCCAACTAGCAACTGGTGAATGGAAAAAAAATGATATAATTTTATTTTTAGAGTAAATGGCGGTGAATTATTTGATTATGTTTCCATGAAAGAATGCCTCAATGAATATGAAGCATCGATATTTATCAAGCAATTATTATTGGCATTAAAATTTTTACACCATTTGCATATTGTACACCTCGATATTAAGGTTCACAGTTTTTTGTTTAATGGATAAATTAGTTATTTAAATTGAATTTTATAATGGATTTACAATTTTTGAATCCAAAGTTTTTATCAAATTTGGGAAAAACTAAGGAAATTAACTAAATTTGAATAGCAGTATCAATATATTTTTGACTAATTTTCATATAAATATATTTTACATTTAATATATTAATATATTTTTCATTAAACTGCCTATTTTAGCCGGAAAATGTGATGCTTGTTAATAAAGGCGATTTAAAAATCAAATTAATCGATTTTGGTTTGTCAAGGAGAATTCTGCCAGGAACAATAATAAAAGATATGGTTGGTACACCAGAATTCGTTGGTTTGTTTTTTTTTCTTTAAAAAGATTTTTATTATGATTATTTAAATTTTCCGAAAGAAGATGCATTCATTTTTCCTTGATCCCTTGTTTGCAAAAATAAATACAATCTTCTTTTTAAGTTCATTTGCAAATAAGAAATAAAATTGAGTTTAATATATATAATATATTATATATATATTATATATAATATATATAAAAATATATATAAAAATATATTCCAAATTTTCACTCTTAGAATTTTCTCCCATTCGTTTTTTTCCTCAATTCTCTGAACGTTTTCCAATTTATTTCCAGTCTAGCTGGCCGTAATGACCATAAATTTGTGTAGCTCAGTGAATTTCTTGTTAGAGAGTTGCTCGAGGAAGTAGGCCACCCGATGAGAGATCTATCTCTGTCAAGTTAACAGAAATAGGGTCCATGCTTCTCGCCCTAAGGTTGGCAGCATACTGCTCAATCCTTTGTGCACCGAAAAGATTTAATTTAATTGATACCTAATTTCTTTAAATTTTGATTTAATTAAATTTACAGCACCAGAGGTTGTGAATTATGAACCATTAACAACAGCGACTGATATGTGGGCATTAGGAGTTGTTACATACATTTTGTTTGTTTTTCAATAAGTTATTTGCTGATTTTTTAAATAATAATCTGATTATGCCAATGATTATGACTATTTAGAAAAATTTAGAGAAATTAAGATTTATTTAAAACCAAATTGATTGCAAAAATAAAATATTTTAAATATTTTAAAAAATATTTAAATTTTATTCTCGATATTAGTCATAATAAATTTTAATTTTATTAAATATTGAAAATAAATGAAAGAAATAATAAAATTAAATTTAGATTGAGCGGTGGATCGCCATTTCTCGGTGAAAATCGTGAAGAAACATTTATAAATATTTCAGCAGTTAATTATAATTTTAACGAAAAATATTTCTCAAAAATATCACCTCAAGCTAAAGATTTCATTAAAAATTTATTTGTTAAAGATATAAGGAAACGTGCAACTGTTAATGAGTGTTTATTGCATCCATGGATTCGACACGTTAGCTCTTTGTTTTTTATTTTTTTTCAATGAAACTATTATTTATTTTATTATTTATTATATATTTATATTATTGTTATATTATATTATTATATTATTTTATATTTTATTTATATAATACTTTTTATATTATTGTTTTTTATTGTAGTTATTGGCCTAAATTAGAGATGAAATAGGACAAAATGGGATGAAACTGGTTGTAGCAAAATATTAGATTAAATAAATTTGTCAATAGATTTAATTATTTTGTATCAATTTTATAAATTTTCTTCATTTTCCATCAATTCTCCGTAAAATTTTATTATATTTTATTTGTCTTTTGTGTGGAATATTTAAATGGTTTTTTCAAATATTTAAAAATTTTCCTTCAGATTGCAACATTGAGAAAATTATTAATTTATTTTATTTAATTTATTTTATTAATTAATAAATAGCATAAAAATTATAATTTGTCAGCTTTTTTTTGAGCTTTAATAATTTTAATCCATCAGTTTTTATTTTTATTTTCATATTTTCCAGTTAAAGGCTATTAATTGTTGCCTTATTTTCAATTCTTTGCAATATTCTTGTTATCTAATTATGGAACATTTTTAATTTAAATGCTATTTAATAAATAGTATTAATAAATAATAATATAGTATTCAAAAGACAACTTTTATTTTGCAAAATCCAATTTAATCAATTTTATTTTTTTGTAAAAAAATTAATCGTGAATCAAATTTTATTGATCATATTTCATTAATTTTATACTAAAAATAAATTTTAGGTGGATAATTATAATTTAAAAAATACACTATTAGTGAATCAAAGATCAGCCATACCATTCGATCAAATTCGCAGTTATAAAATTCGATTAAAATGGCAGGTTAGTGTTTTTTTTCAAATTTCAGATTATTTAAATTTATTTAAATTCAAAAATTTTTTTCAGCGTGCGATTGAGATAATAATAGTTTGTAATAAAATGACAGCAAATGCACGATTATTATTGCAAAGTAAGAATAACAATAATCAAAGAACTTCTCGATTCGATCCAGTTAGTTCTTTTTTTTGCCATTTATTTTATTTTCGCGAAATTTATGAAAATATTTTTTTTTTGAAAACTTCCCTGAGCATTACGTATGGATTGGTTGATTGCAATAACTACTGGAATAAGGCACTTTCTTCGGGATGAAGCTGCAGGTTAGGTTTCAAGAAAAATCCGAATGATATTGGCGATTCAGCTATACTTACCAAGCAATATTCATTATTTAATGGCCGAATTTTCAGGAAAAATTAATAGTATCGGCGATATTAATTGCCTGTGAAGAAGGCAATTTAGCTGGTTTACATCAGCTAATTAATCTACATAAAGTTAATCTTAATGCTGCTAATAAGGTTCGTTTTTTCTTTAAGGAAATAATAAATGAAAATTTGGTGTTGAGAAAGAAATTGGAAATTTTATGAATCGCTCGACTGAGTAAAGCTCCCTTAAAATGAATTATTTATTTTATTAGTCTTTGTTTATTCCATTGCAAAATTCGATTATAAATTGATTTCGTCATTTTGGGATTTAGGCTTATCTTTTATCATCTTTCTGCTTTTAGTCCATTTAAAAGTTTCATTAAATAATTATCAATTATATTTAATTTCTTTTTTGACAAATTAAAATTAATTAATTGATAATCTTAGATAGGTGAAACATGTTTACATATTAGTGCTAGTAATGGTTATTATGATCTTTTATATTATTTATATATGAAAGGTGCATCGTTAACAATTTGTGATTATCAAGGTGATACACCTCTATATTATTCGATAAGAAATGGACATATCAATATTGTCGATTTTATTATTAGTCAAAATATTGATATTAATTATGTTAATAAGGTTTTTTTGCGATGATTTTTTTCAGAATAATCTTTTTCAAAAAAGAATTCAAATATCAGATAGATGGGATGAAATTTAATTAATTAATTAATTATTGTTTAATTATTGGTGATTATAGAAAATAATTATTGAAAGTTCGAATAAATCTCGATCGTTGGACATATCTTTTTTTAATAGTACCATAGTTTTCCATAGTTTCACTTGTATTAGGTTAGGGCATATCTTAATAACAAGTGGCCAAGATTTATTCAAAATCATTTTTTCAATAGTTATCTATAGATTTTAAATAATAAAATTTGATAAAGTAATGAATTAATAATAAATCGGAATTATTAATTAATTGATAAAATAAATGAATAAAGAAGGTAATAATAAATAATGATAATAAAATTTTAAGAATAAAGAAACAGCGCTTCATATTGCAACACGATATGCTCAATTAGAAATTGTATTATTATTATTACAACGTGGTGCTAATATCGAATTACAAGATCAGGTTTATTATATTTTTATTTTTTTAAATGTGTTTTTATTTTTCTAAATTATAATTATTATAAATTTTTACTTTTAATAATTTGTGATCTTATTTGTATTTATAAATGCATCGTTGGCAAGACGATTGCCACGGCGAATCAAGATTGGCTAGGATTGGAGTTAGGGTAGAGCACTAGTGTTTAGTTGAACAGCGAAAACAAAAGGAGATAGAATGGCTTAGATTGTTTGAGAGATGCCGATGCTGAGGTTCTAGGTTAGATATGGCAGGATTGGGCCTATCGTTCAAAATTTCGGGTGATACCAGCCGGTGATTCATCACCAAACCAAATGGCTCTTTTATAAAAATCTTTTGGTCCAACAAACCAGCAGAACGAGCCTAACGGGTCAATGTTGGGCTCTTTTAGAAAAAAAATTCGACAGTTTGGCGACAATTGAACTTGATAATTTCAAAATTTCTGTGGATATTAACTGGTTACGTCTGCGTTTTTCTTCTCGTTGCGTTTAACATTTTTGATTTGACTGACTAACATTAGGAATAAAGCTTAGAGGGTTTTTTAAGATTAGAAAATAAAGGTGAGTAGCGAGGCTTCCCTGATAAACCAAACTATCTTATTTGTCCATTTTGGCTAACTTTTAAGCTTTTGTTGTGATAAATTTTTTTATTCTGACTTTTAGGATGGTGAAACAGTTTTGCACATATCAAGTTGGCATGGTTATACAACTATTCTTTCTGCATTTTGTAAATACAAACCTAATCCAAATATAATTAATAAGGTTTGTTTTTTGCTATCTTTAATAATTTTGATGCGAATTCCAGTTTAAATTTGAAAAATTATTAAGAAGGGGAAGAAAGCAATTATAGAAAAATTGCTGAGTTGTTACCCTTTTACTTCGGAAGAAATTATTTACAATTATTTTTTTTCGATTTTTCTGGATATCAATTTTTTGAATAAAAATTTCCATAGCTTTTATAAATAAGTGAAGGGGAAAATAACTAAGAAAAGTAAGGGGGAAAAGGTAAAAAAGAGGGAAAATTAAGGGAAAGAGTGGAAGAGAGATCAGATAAAAAGTATGTAAGGTTTTAAGAGCGATTCTTGGAGAAGGTTGTTTGCTTATTATATTCTTTAAAAGAGTTTTATTTATAATAATTATTTATAATTTATTATTTATTATTTTTGTATTTATTGATTATTATTGATAACAATAACTAATTAAATATTAATTTAATTAAGCTTTATTTTACTTTGTTGTCTATTTTATTTTAAATAAAATAAAATAAATAAAAAATAAAATTAAAATAAAATTATAAATAAAATTAAAATTTAAATTTTTTAAAATTATTATTTTATTAAAATTATAAAACTTATATGAAATTAATATTATAAGCTAATATATTCTTTCCTTTTCTTCCTCTTCCCATTTCTTTTTTTCCTAATTATTTTAAAAAAACTTTTGTTGGATTAGATCTATTTGAATCTTAAAGCTTAATAATTTTAAATTTTTCCTTTTTCCTTTTTTTTGGAAGAAATAGGACAATCTTATTTAATAATAAATATTTCGTTGGCTAGGTAACAGTGAAGAAAATTTTTGGGAAATTTTCGCTTTCGTTATTTCCTTCATATAATCGATATATTTTGTGCTTATTCCTTTTTATTATTCCTTTTTATTATTTATTACAAATTTTTTTTCGAAAATTAAATTATTTAATTGAATTATAAGTGAATTAATTAATTGAATTAATAGGAAAATATTATTGGCATTTTGCGATTTGATAAGAATTATAAATTTATTATTTTTTGTCAATTTATTAGTATTACTTTTATTAGTATTATTTTACTTTTATTAGTACAATTTATTAGTATTATTTTTTGTCAATTTAAATAAATATAGTTAATATTTATTAGAATAATTAATAGAATTATTATTAATTAAGAATTAAGAATTATTAATATTCATTTTATTTATTAGAATTATAAGTACTGTATGAAATATTATTGTTATATTTTTTATTATATTTATTATCATTTTTTATTATCATCAAAATTGCTTCAAAATAATAATTATCCGCGCTAAATACGGTCGTTATCATTAAATCCTCGTTTATGTTATTAAATCTTTATGTTTATTCAGTGCACTCTATCGATTGTCGTCTTTTATTATCCAGTAATATTTCTAATATTCTGATTATTTTGATAAGAATAAGAACGAGAAAAATATGAGTAACGAGAGAATTTCTCCATATGGTGTTAGTAAAGGAGAAAGTAGCAGAAATAGCAAGGATATCGAAGCGATTCATGATAATAGGGATGTCGGCACTGATAAACATCTTAACAAGATAAATGATTATGATCAGTTAATGGATTCATTCAATCGAAATATCATTTCTGGCGATGATTCTGTTACATATCAACAAAGATTATCAATTAATTCGAGCGTAGTCACTGATAACATTGTTGAATCGTCGTCGTCTTCAGATGATGATGAGTGCTGCATTCATCAGAAATTTTTATTTTCTTCATCGATTTTCTCAAACAAATTATTTAATAATGAATGCATTAATAAGGTAAAGTATAATATTTCCATTTTTTTTATTATATATAGAAATCTTTTATTCTTTTCATTAATTTTTTTTATTTTCATAAATTTTTTTATTTTTTATAAATTTTTTCTTTTTTTATTTATTATTATTTTATAGAAAAATTTATTGAAATCTTGTTTTATCTGCGAAAAAATGCATTCATAAAAACTCGGCTCATTGTCAGCAGTATTTCACAGTACACAGTATTTCATATAAATAATTCATTTGATTTTTCGTTCTTCTTTATTATTTTTTATATTTTATTGCTTTATCTTTTTTATCAAAATTTTTTATCAATATTAATAGTTTTTGAATGTTTACACTATAGTATGCAGTTTTAGTGATGTGCATCAATTTGATTTCCTATAAAATTTGATATTTGACACTTTTCACATCGAAGATAATGAAGTAGAAATTATTAGGTAAATAGGTAAGTGCATAGTGATTCATTATTTCTGGTTCGTAAGAGAAAGAGAAAAATAAATATGAGGTGACCGAAGAGTGTCACTCGAGGGTAAAAATAAAGGAAGCATTGCTCGGATTTCCATTTGCTGCTTTTACTAATAAAGTAAACCACTAAATTGGTTATCAACTAGGCAAATTCTAACTTGTCATATTATTGTGGTACTTATTTTTCTTTTAATTTATCGACTTTTTATTGTTTTCATTTTAGTTAAAATTAAAATTAGTACAAATTTTATTATATATAAATAAATAATGCCTTTATTTTTGGTTTTATTCTGGTTTTATCAAAATATTTAATTTATTTTTTATATTTTTTATTAAATTTTAATTAATTAGTTACATAGATAGTGATTCTTATCATTGTTTTGATAAGCTTCGGCATTCGGCTGCTGCATAGGGAAATCTTTCATTAAAAAACCTGAGTGGTACTTGCATTTTCGCCTATATCATAAAAATCTTGTGTATTCAATATAATTTAATGGGTGAACTTCGTTATTGCCATAGTATTTATTAAATTCTTAATGAGTTTCATTGATATTTATTAAATAAAATTTTTGTTATTATTAGACAAAAAATATCAAGATATATAATATTAAGATTTTGATGATTATTTAGGTGTTTTAATGAAATATTATATATATTTAAATATATATTTAAAAAGAAAAGAGAGAATTGTCTGTTGATTAAATATGCTTGTTTCATGGAGAATCGATAGGATAATGTTAAGTGTGTATGAATGAGTTGGGAAAAAGGAGGAGAATATGTATATATTGGGAAATATTGATAGATATGGGATACATTTAGTTTTTGTTGTTATTGTGGTTATTGGCGGTGTTGGTGATTATTGATGGTTTTACAGGATAATGAAACTGCATTACATTGTGCTTCGTTTCGTGGACATATTGAATGTGTTCAATCGTTATTAGAAATCGAAACAATTAATATCAATGCTACGGATCAGGTTTTTTTTTTTAAATTGAACCATTTTGAAAGAGTAGAATATTTGGTGATATTGTTTTTCTTGGACTGAGGGTAGTAGTAGCACATCGTTGGATTCATTTCCAGTATTCACTGATTGACTTAATATTAAAATTGAAATCCCTTGGCTTCTTAGAAATATGTCGAGAATTCGATCCCCCTTGTCCTGTCACTTGGCTAAATCTTCTTTGCACTCAATAAAGCTAAGCAAAACAAAAATGGTTGTTGCGCTTAAGATATTTAGATAAAATTATTTTTTTCTGATATTTTTATAAAATAATTTGATATTTTTAGTTTAATCCAATTTTTTTTAAATTGATAGAATAGTAAAATTTGAAAAATTTTTATGAATTTGAATTTTTGTGAAGTTTTAGTTTTTTACAAGTCAAATAAAAAAAGTAAAAAAATTATTGTAAAGATTGGTTTTTTTTTTTCAATAAATTTGCTTTACAGAATGGGCAAACAGCGTTACATCTTGCTTTACAACGATCTCATATCGATATTGCATTATTATTGATCACGAAAGGTTGTGAATTAAATGTGCAAGATAAGGTGAGTTTTTTTTCTAGCTTATCATATTTATCATTCTCTCTGAAATTTTTTATTTATTTCGACTTTTTTCATTTTTTTTCGTAAAAAATTCATAGTTATCCACTGAAATTTTTTTATTTATTTTACTTTTTTTAAAATTTTGAAATTCATTCTTTTTTATATTATTTTTTTAAATTAAATTTTTTGAATTATTTTAAAAATCATTAAAATATTTTTAAAAGATTTGTTTTCTTTTTATAAAATTATAAAAAAGAAAAAAAATTATAGAATGGTGAAACAGCGTTGCATATAGCAGCACGGTTTGGTCTTCTATCAGTTGTTCAAACATTGTGTCACCTCGGTGCTTCACTTGATATTATTTCTTCTGTATGTTTTTTTTTTCCAATTTCAACTTAATTTTTCCAAGTGAGAAACGATTTTACTGATTGTAATAATTTTTAATTTTTAAAGAGTTTTCAAATATTTAAAAATATTTTTTATTATTTTATAATTTCTTTCGTTTCGTCTCATTTATTCCTTTAGCAGTTCCGATATTCGTCGTTCGTTTATTAATATTTAATTTTCATTTTATAGGAAATTTTCTGGGAAATTTTTGATGAAAAAAAATTCTCAACTATTTTACTTCTTTAAAAAATGAATGAATGCTTTTGTAATTGATTTAATTTAAGATTAATTTATTAAAAAAAAATAATAAGCGAAAAAGAGGTTGGATAAAGAAGATTTTCGAATAAAAAAAAGGAGATATAACTGAATGACCTTTTTCATAAAAATTATCGTTAAATGACCTTCAAATTCAGTTTAATTCACTTCTCTTCGAATAATTTATTCACTTTTCAAATCGTTTTTTTATCGATTTTAAATTTTTATTATATTCTAAAACTAAACTAAAACTAAAGTCAATTAAAAAATATTTATTCATTTATTTACAAGAATATCCAATTGAAATTTTAATATTTTAATATTTTATAAATATTTAAAATTAGACAAAACTGTGGTTCTTTTTGCTTTTTTTTGCAAATGGTTTTATATGAATAAATGAAAAATCCGGGTTGTTTTATTTCCTTATGGGCGAGGCCTTCTTTTATTTTTATGTACTAAAATTTTCGGGAGAAATTTCCAATTTTATTATTTTCCCACCTTTTTTTCCGATGCTCTCTTCATTAATTCTACTATAAATAAATTTTATTAAAAATTATAAATAAATTAAAAATTTTTAAAATTAATTGATTAACTTCCACTTTTCTTTTTAATTCATCATTTTTGACCAACTATTTCCTTATTTATTTAATTTTAATTTAATTTTATTCTTCTTTGATTTTTTTATTCATGTTTTCATTATTTGCAAATTCGCTAACTCCGTGTTTTTTCCTCGTTTTTTCTCTTCCTTCTTTGACAAATTGATAGAATTGATTGCGTAATTTTAACGCAGAAAATCTCTCCATTCTACTGCCATCTCAATGTTTGTATTAGTTAAATATTAATCGGTTTTTTTAAAATTTTAAAATTTTGACGAATAAATTTAATTAAAATCTTTAATTTTTCTATACTTTTCTTTTTTTGATTAAAAATGTGATAACGAATTTTTCTTCTTTGTTTTTTTGCAGAATTCATTAACAGCGTTGCATATTGCTGCAAAAGAAGGACATATTGAAATTGTTCGTTGTTTATGTTTCTTTGGCGCTGATATTAAGAAAAAAAATAAGGTTCGTTTTTTATTGTTATCAAAAATTTGTTCCAAAATTTTATATGTAAAATTTCTTATCGAATAAATTGCAAAAGCAAAAAGAAATTAGAAATTGAAGAGAATAAAACATAAATTTAGGAGGGGAATTTCATGAATGTATAATGGGCGTATAATGGAATTTTTTATTGGATTGTTTACGAGTGGATTCTAAAGGGATATAAAGGGATATAACAGGTTTAGGAGGGAGAGAATTTTGGGGAATGTGAAGTTGTTTGAATAAGAATGCGAAGGATGCATAACGGGTGGAATCGAATGAAATCGTATGGAAATATAATTTTTTTATTATTTGCATTTGGTGCTCAAATTAAGAAATTTAGAATGGTTAAGTTATTAATTTAAAAAAAAAATTATTTAAAATTAATTTTTTTTGTTTTTTAACAGGAAAGTTTAACGGCTGAAATAATTGCATTAGCCCAAGAGCACTCGGATATTGGATTACTTTTAGCGAAAATGAAATCGGTTTTTTTTTTGTTTTTCCCTTTAAATAAGTGAATTCAATTCGTTGTATTATATTTTATTATATTTAATATTTGTTATTTGAATCGTACGAAGCAAAATACGAATTAAATGAATTTTCGATATATTTAAGTAATAAGAAAAATAAAATAAAATTTTTAATTGATATAAATATTTCTTTTTTTTTAAGGATCGATGGTTTAGATCACTTAGACTTATCTAGGAAATCTGAAAAAATTTCAGGATCAAGTTCGAGAATTATATATCGAACATTTATGTCCACTTGAAACACCATTAAAGCGAATAAAATTGAAATTATTCGGACATAGTGGTGTTGGTAAGACACGTCTTATGTGCTCATTACAAACTGGTAGTGTTATCGGTTCGATTATAAATGTTGTATCGAGACGCTTCTCTGATAATTTATCAAGTCCATCTTCTTCGATTACGTCAAGTCCTTCGAAAGGTTTCAAGTTTATTTTTAATTTTTTGATATAAAATTTTTTTTTAATCTAGGAAAAAATTAATTGAGATTAATTAATTGAGATTAATTGAAATTAATTTTATTCTTTCTTTTTCTAAGCCCTTGTTGTTTCTGGTTGGTTCCATTTTAGGATGACACTTACCGCATTGTAATTAAAATTAACTGAAATCATTTTCTTTTTTTGCCTTCTATGCCCATATGTGGATGGATCACCTTTCCTTTAAAGGCTTTAAATTTGCATTTTTAACATTTCCCAAGCTTTCTTACCATTTTTCTTATTATTTTTTCATTATTATCTGTGTTTCTTATATTAGATGAAGGATTAAGTAATGCTGAAGATTTGTTCGAGCCAAGTAACACTCTGAAAATTAATCAGCGATATGTAACTCCTCATCAGCAATATACTCGTGGCATCGATGTTCAAAATCTCACTTTTCAAGGTATTTTTATTATCAGCTATTATCTGTTTGATTTATTAATTATTAAAATCGTTGCTAATATTTTTTTGGATTGTTCTTTTATAAAAATCTGTTTTGAAAAATCTTCGACAGTTTTTGTAAATCTTCGATTAAAAAATATTAATATTTTGAGAATTTATTTCTTTTTCATCTTTAATTTAGGTTGTGGTGAATTTTCGGTTTGGGAATTCGGTGGTTATGAACCATATCATATGGCTTATGATCATTTTGTTGGTAATACAGATTGCGTGCATGTTATTATTTATCGATGTATTGATCCTACTGAAGTGCAATATAAACAAGTATTGTACTGGATGAATTTTTTAAAAGGAAGAGTTGCACCAAGTGAACCTATTGGGCATTGCGGTATAATTTCCCGTCGTAGTAAAGTATCCGTTTTATTTCTATTACCGAAAAATATTTTGTCAATTTCGATATATATTTTTGACCAAAAGTTCAAATTTTCTTAACGTTTTTTCAAAATTTTATAGAATCCATTAATCTTATATTTATGCGTTTCTTTAGTAAATTTGATTAATATTTTTGAGGTTGTCATAGTCGGAAGTCATGCAAATCCGTCGTTATTTCCTCAGCGAAATAGCGATGGTGAATATATATCGTCAGATAGCGATGCCATGTTAAAGACTATACGACTTCGTTTTGAAACTCATTTCGATATTTATGATAAGCTTATTCTACTCGATTCCACGCATTCAAATTGTCCTGGTAAAATTAATTAATTTTTAAAGTATATTGAAATTATTCCCTTGTTGATTAATGCGATGATGAAGTTGAAACACTGAAGGATTTCGATTTTTTATGATTCTCTAAATTTTTTAAGGTATGAAAATACTAAAAGGATATTTATGCAAATCTCGTGATACAATTTTGTCGGTTAGATTTTCATTTCACGATTTATTTTAATTTTTATATAATTTTACAAAAATCTTAGTGTTTTAATTCATTTTAAAAATGTCTTATATCCAGATTTTGCCATTCTTAGATAAGCAGCATCGGTTCTTTCTCTTCTACAAGAGACTAAACCTGCTATAAGAAATATGATATTTGCAGTTCACCTACTTCTCTATTAGCTTATTAAAGAAATAAAAGAACTTAAAGAAGAAATTTTGATAAATTGTGACTTGTTCTTATATTTTTTCGATGCCTAGATGCTTTTTATATTTATGGCTAAATGCCTTTATTATTATTATAATATATTCAATTTTTATAAGGAAATGATTTTATAGCGTTTACCAAAATCGATGGGATTGCTTGAGAGTTGTGTTCAATATTTAGTTGGTTTACGTAAACAAGTGGCGCATTTTCCCGTAATAACATGGCCTCATTTTACAACATTAGTGAGGAACGATGTCAATCCATTAGCTGGCGATAGTCACTGTCGTCAGTTAATTCAACAGCTGCAGTTAATTGGCGAGGTCCCACTGTTTTTTTTTGTACTTTTTCTAATCGTTTAGCTGGGAACTTAGTGAAATGTAGTTTATCCTCTTTTTTCATTGAATAAGGACAAATTCGGCAAATTTACACCACATTCACACCTATTCTTTTAAAAATCAGGTTTTGTTAGATTCAAAAATAGCATGTTTGGTAATTTGAAGTGAAATATGTCTCCAATAATAATAGAAGATTTTGGTTATTTTTGAAAGTAATTTAAAAGTGATTTATTTAAGGTAGTATACTTGCGTGACGAAATTTCGGAGACTGATTATGTTGTGTTGTCACCAGAGTGGTTAGGAACTCACATCATTGGTAATTTATTGTCGGCAGAATTTTTATCTCGTTGTCGAATCAATGGATGTTATTCAGTTGATGAGTTTGCATCGATCTATCCTGAAATTACTGAGCCAGTAGATTTGTTACGCATTCTTGATACACTTCAACTTTGTGCACCGATTGATATTGATGGTGAAACAGAATTTGAATTTCCTGCATTTAATATACAAATGGTTCCTAGGTTTGTCATTTATTTTTTGCTGGCTGTTTATTTTTCTGAAATTCAGATACATTGGTGGTTTCTAGTTATGCAATTTGTTGTTTACATTTCCTCCCAATAATAATTCCGAAATTATATTAACCTGTTTTAGGGATGTATGGCTTAATGATAGGCCATCGTTTGTTTATGGTGGTGTGCGAGTGTTACCTATGCGTGGCATGGAAAGATCTTTACAAAGTACTTTCCCTCGCATACAAATTGCGCTCCGAAGATCGATGAATGATTTTCAGGTTTTTTAATTTTATTTTATTGAATCCTGATACAAACCAATAAATTTTTCATGATATATTTATTTCTTTTAATAGTGTGTCATTTCGTTCTATTTTCCTTGGAAAAATATGTGAAATATTAATGAAATTTTTATTTAGGATCCAATGGACGCAGATTTAACACAATGGGCCGGTTGTAGTAAAATGAGCTCTGGTCAGATGGAAGCTCTAATACGTTTACATGGTGATGCGGTAGAAATACAGGTTCGAGGTCCTTGTGAGATATCAACATCATGCTTCTATTTTTTGGAGGATATAACGAATTTAGTGGAACAAACAGCGCAAGATGTTGCACCTGGTATTTCATTGGAACGCCACTTCCTTTCTCCAAAGCATCTTCGGGTATCTGTCCTTATCGTTTTTTTTGTTTTATGGGTGTAAAATAATAATATAAGGGAAGTTAAATTTAAGGAGCACAATAGTAATCCTGCGGTTTATGCACCCGAAACTATAATGGCAATGCAGCAAGCTGAATCACTGATAATACGCAATAATCAAGAAGGTGAAGAACTGTTTATTGATGTTGTTTGCTTTGGTTCTCGTGATGTTGCTGCTGTTTTAACGTTAGGTATTGACATTGGAATTGCTCAATTACAACTTGCATCAAGGTGTGAATTAGCTGCGCTACTGGATCCGGCCGATGCCATGGGTAGAGATTGGTAAGTCTTTTTAATCATTTAAATTTAGAATGCTATAAAATAATATATAGAAAAAAATTTTATAATATATATAATATATAGAAAAAAATTGTTTCCCTCCTCTCTTCTCTTATATTGCTTCATCATTAAGGTCAATTTTGGCTGTAAAACTCAATTTGACCGACCAGTTACCTGAAGTTGATTCCACTGGTCAAAGTTTATCACGAACAGATCAATTACTGGCCGAATGGGCATTGCAATCTCCTGAAACAGCAACTGTCGGACGATTGTGTATTATTTTAGATGAATTAGGTCGGCAAGATGCTAAGGATGCGCTCTACAGGTTCATTTTTTCTAAATATGCTTTAATATTTGTTGAGTGACTATGTTTGGCTTGGCTGATTTTCTTTTTTATTTGATCCGACTTTATTTTCAGAACTGTTCCTTTGTATTTATTTGCACCATTAATTGATCAGCCAACTACTCAGCTGGTTGAATATCGGGATTCGGGCGTTGTATCATCGACACATTCAACAGTTGACCCGTGTTCAGCATCAACATTTTCACGATAATAATTTTAAAATTAATGAATTGTGTATTATTTTAATATTTTTTAAATTTTTTCATCTTTAGACGAACGGTCTTTTAACTTTGAATGGAAGCAAAAAAAAGAATTAACTCGAAATTATGAAAATTTTACTGAAATCTTTAGAGAAGTTATTCTTTTTCCCTTTTAAACAGAGTATTATTAATTTTAAATATTTTCATTTGTGATTTATTTTTTCTTCTGTGATTTACTCATATCAATATGAAGGCAGGGTGAGTTTAGGTTGTATTTAATTAGATAAATCTGAAATAATATTAATCGAGTTATAATATTACTTAATATAATATTAATAATATTACTTTCTAATCTTATGAGTGTCTCTCTTGTAGGTGAATATTTTCTGGTTTTTAAACATTGCAATTGTTTCAGCCATTTCGAAGAGAACTTTACTTATAACTTTACTTATAACATATTGGTCGTATAAGTTATGGAAAATATTCTAAAAAAATACCCCGTATTTTAGATAAATTTCGAAAAAATTTACAGGAAATTTTATGGAAAAAATAATAATGAAGGATTTTATCTGACTTGATAAAAAAACGTTGATTTTCGTTCCTTTTCGTTTAAAATATTTATTTAGCGGGTCTGAATTTTGCATTCGGTGATATATGCGTTCGTATCGTGGTCATCGGCTTCTTTTTTTCAAGGATTTTAAATTTTCTTTATCATTTTTTAATCATTTCTTATCATTTTAAGCGATAAATACAATTCAATTTCCTCTTTTTAAAATTCAATTTGCTAGTCATCAATTTTTTTTTTATAGAAAAGTGGAATTTTTTTCAATATTTATTATTTTATCGTCTTTTGCTCATTGCCATCATGGAAAATATGCTTTTTGTGATATTATTTTCTGCAATAAAATATAACGAAAAATCTGATTTGTTCGATGAATTGTAAAATAATTTTATAAAATTTTAGTTTTAAAATAATTTTTCTTTTTTTTGGTATATTTCTGTCTTTCGTTTTCTTTTCTTTTTTTCGAAATATTCTTTATAAGAAAATTTTTTATAATTTTTTTTTACAAATTTATGTTTTTTTTGATGTATAATTGAGATGAAATTTTCGGGTTTAAAATAAAGATTTATTGTAAAAAGGAAAAGAGAAATTCGATTCATTCTTTTCATCGAAGAACAATTGAAAAAATTTTTTTATTCGCTTAAATTTTCTTCCAATACAATTGAGAAAAATCATTTTGGCATAAATTTTATTCGAGTATAAAATTTTCAATATGAAAAACAGCAGCTGTGGGCACAAATTTTTGAAAGTGAAAATTTCAAATTTCCTTGGAAAACATTTTTAATATTTAAATATTAAATATATTAAATATTATTATATAAATACTATTTAATATTAAATATTAAACATTAATATATGTAATTATTTTTTAATATTTATAAGCACTAAAGAAAGCCATTGAAAAATTCTAACAAGAAAAAATTTCGAAATTTTATTTTTATTTATTGGAGTTTATTTGTAATTAACGATTTGCCATTTCTGGCGGACTAATAGGCTTAAATATTCGCATATGTAAGAATAAAGGGAAAATAGAGAATAAATGATATATTAATTGTGTTTACCGGTACCACAGTATTATAAAATGGTGACTGGCGAACCGCGTCGGTGGTTCTTTTCATTTTTTTCAATGGATAATTTTCTATGTACTTTTTGCCTAATTTTTCAGGTTTCACTCTAAATGAATTCCTTATTTAGCTATAAAAAGGATTTATTCGCACATTTTATTCAAATCGTTCTAAAGGCATCCATTCCTTTTAGTGGTACCTTCTTTTGGTTTGGCTAACCCACTAGAATGAGCCTTTTTCAAAAAAGGATTGATTAGTTGAGGAGAGAAGAAATACAGCTGAGTCGGACTCACATCAATAATAGATTTATTTCCTTAGGACTTTAATCGAACTTGTGGTACCTCTTTAACTGATCTGGTCGGCTATCCGTTCTCCTGTGCATTTATCAGGGAAACAAACCTAATGAACAGTGGGTTCAAAGTAACAAATCAGAAAAAGTGTTTAGTTAGATGATCATAGTTCTTTCATCTTGCATTTGAAATTTTATAAACATAACATAGTTATAATTCATATCTTATCACTACTCTCCTATATTATCATTTATGTTTAACGCTGTTTCCACCTTTTCCCTCTCCATTCGCTCCCCCCTTCGTTTTCTTCCCCCTCTCTTTTTCCCACCCCTCCTCTATTTCCTCTCCTTGCATTTTCCTCTCTCCGATCATTTTACTGCAATATTTTTTCTTAGTTTTATTGAACTTTGGTATTTTATGATTGATTTTGAAAATATTTCAATTGGGAGTTTTTTAATTTTTAGGTTCGATTAAAATTGCTTTATTTTCTGTTAATTTAGGAAAATATGATGAAAGAAATTATTTTTGCTACATTTTTTAGTTGAATATTATTAATACTTATAACTAAACAACTATTTATTATGCAATAATAATTGTGGTCAATCTCAGGTCGACTTCATTCAAGTACCAGAGAGATTATAAAATTGGGCTTTCAACTCCAAGAAGAGGCAACGTTAGATGGGAAATGCAGCTAGGCGCAGTTGTTGTTGTGAGGAGATGAGGAATTTTCATGAAAGCAAATTCGCTATAAATCTGAAATAATCTAAAGACGTCCGCTAGAATTTGCTGATATGGAAGGCGGAAGGCAAGATTATCGTTTGTGGCCGGCAAATATGGCATTGGAATCCGTTTTGCTGGAATTTGCCGTTTTTTTAAAATTAATCCCAGTCTTGTCTTTAATTTCAATTTATCTTGCTCCTTGACGGTTATTCCCACAAAATTCTAGCCGTTTCGCTAAAACCGGCACCGTAGCCATGGTTTATACCAAAACCTTCTTGTCCTTTGTCAGTTCCAATTTCTTTGACCGCATATAATCCTGAAAAGTTATTTCCGTTATCTTTTTAATTTTAAAAGATTTAATTTTAATTTTAAAAGTAAATATTTCAATTCGATAAACTTCCCTCTAAATTATATGGTTCAATTTTTTTTTATAATTAACGAATTCCAAGGTTTAGGTGAATATAAGCATTCGACTTTTGTATATAATGTACACTGAATCTTATCAACTATTTTATCTTATCAATGAAACAAACTTTTATAGTGAAACTTTGTGTTGCGTATTTCGCTTTTGTCACGCAATCTGTTGACAACTAATTGAATCTCTATCACACAACCTGCAGAAAACTAATTAAGATTGAATTTACAATATTATCAGTGATCAATAGTTTCTATTCGATTTCGGCCAGTATTATACTTCAGTATGGCTGCATTAAATTTTTCCATCAAAAATTGGATAAAAAGATTTACTCGACTTCTGAATTCGAATAAAAATTTACAGCCAAATTTTAGCAATAATCATCAGCATGTAAATTTTTTTTTTAAATTTTTTGACCTCATGGTATTTTTTTAATTTTTAACTGCAAAAGTAGCAGTTTTTTTCGGCAATTCTTTTTTTGAAATTTCTCATTTATCACCATAAGTGATCATCTTATCATTATGTTGCTAGCTGCCGAGCCTCTTCTAAACCTTTTCTTAAGTGTAATAGGTTTAGATTATATTCATCGTTTTTAAAAACATATTTTCTTCATAAAATAAATGTTTTATATAGAAATCAGTTATTGGTGTATTGCTGGTCAATGTTGGAACTCCTGAGAATTATTCGTTTTGGACCGTGAGACGTTATCTTTCCGAATTTCTTAGCGATCGTCGCGTTATTGAATTCCCAAAAATTCTGTGGACTGTGATTCTTCACTTATTTATTCTTAATTCTCGACCACAGAAAATTGGCCAAAAATTTAGGTAATATAGAGGTTTGAATTCTATCAGAAGTTGGAATACAAGATGAAAGATTTAAACTCCATGAATCGACCATAAGGAGGTTTTAACATCCGATTCGCATGTAGATTTTGTATTATTTCAGGAGTTCGGTTCTGGTCTTGTCCGCTCCCCATAGAAATAAAGCATTAATTAAAGATGAATGCTGAATAGTGCCGTATCTGACTTCCACGTAATATCTTATCTTTATATGATTCGCTGGTAAAGGGGTTCTTTTTTTACTGATAATTATCTGGGTGAGGGAAACCAACCGAATCGAAATTATTGAGCGTTATCAGTGGTAGCCGAAGCTGTATTATTTCTGCTTATATTAATCATATTAATTGGAGTATTAATAAAATTATTCAAAATTATACAAAAAAAAACATAGTTCGAAAAATAAACCAGCAAATATAAAACTGGCAATGATATGGAACTCTCAAACCCAAATTTTTTTCGCAAAAATTACAATATTTTATAAATCTTATAAATTCGATAGTTTTTCGCATATTCACAAGGCACAGAATAAAGTTAGTAATATCAAAATATCCTTGATTTTGCCATTAGCGCTATAGACTCAATAATGATTTTCTAAAAAATTATGGAAAGCTTGAATTTTCCACAAGGTTCCATTGAATGAATATTTTTTTCATTTCATATTTTAAAACATTTGGTAAAAATTACTTTCCAGGTTAGTATGGAACTATGAGACAAATGAATCACTATTGCGTATGACAAGCAGACTTCAAGCAACCAAAACGGCAGAACGTTTCCGCAATGAACCCGTAAACTTTTTATTTTAAATAGTACTTTTCAGCTACTATAGTTTATGAAATATCTGTTTAAATCTGAGATTTTAATTCTTATATCTTTAAACATTTTCCGAAAAATGGAACTTCTGGAAGAGATATTGAAATTAACTGTGAAATAAATTTCTTTTAATATTTAGGTGGAGATCGCATGGGCTTTCCGTTACGGTAATCCTACGATTGACTCAACAATTCAGGCCCTTAAAGAAAAAGGTGCTTATCAATAAATTATCAAAAATACGATTAGATCAGTTTTATTCGAGTAGAAAATGTCTTATAACTTTTAAGCACTCGTAAGCATAGATTCATAAATCTATAAAAAATAAAAAATATTTATCATCAATAAAATTAAATTTTACAAAAATACATCTATTGATAGAGTTATTGTTTTAGGCTGTGATCGCTTAATTCTTCTCCCATTATTTCCACAATATTCGGCTGCAACAACTGCTTCAACTACTGATGAGGTCTTCTAAAATTTTTTTCTTTTAAACTTCTTAAACTTTTTTAAATTTATCAAAATTATAAATTTCGATAGAATTTTTTCTATCCTAAAAATTTATCAGTTTTATCAGTATTTCCTGGATTTCTTCCTAAATTTTATCTACAAATCTACAATTATAGGCATTCAAATCTCTAATGAAACAACGCTTTCAAATGGCTCTTCGCGTTATACCTGCATTTTATGATAATTATTTGTATATAGGTGCAATCAAGGATTCAATCAAAGATAAACTCGACAAAATAAATACGAATCCCGAAGTCACAGTTATCATATCTTATCATAGTATTCCTCTACAATTTCATTTAAAAGGCGACCCATATGGTCGCCACTGCCTTCAGACGACCGAACTTATAAAGTTAGTTACTAATGACTGCTTTATTGCGTTGATTCATAGAAAAGGCTTAGGCTCTATTATGCTTATATATTTCTCTTTTGACTTGGTTGGCTCAGATGCATTTTAGAATAAAATACTCTCACCAGAGAATCATTTGGAGATAAGGATGCAAATAATTTTCCAATTCCGTAGGCTTCATTTTTAATGACTTCATAGGCGATCTGTTCAGAGATGAGAACCATGCTTCTTCATCTTTTATTAAAGTACGCTCAGCCAGGTAGGTTCCCTCTAGAAAGTATTTTTGAGTTTCCTATAACCCACTTATGATAAATGAATGATAAATAATTTGGATTGAATTCAAATATCGTCGGCAATATCGGTATGTTTAAAATTGTTTAGAAAGCGGTTGGCTGTGGATTATAAGGTCAATGTCCTAACATCATTTCACTCAAGATTTGGACCATTCGAGTGGTTAAAACCGTATACCGATGATCTCATTGTGAATTTGGCCAGGTTCTTTTCATTTTTTTTCTTCTTTTATCGATAATATTTGAAATGCGAAACAAACTATCAAATCATTTATAACAAATCCGATTTTCTAATTTCAATAGTTGCATTAATTATTTTAAGATATTTCTATTCTGGCAGATTATTCGTACCTTCTCGTAATGCTAACGAATTTCAGATCCGGCAAAAAGCGCATCCTTATGGTAGCGCCAGGTTTTATAAGTGATTGCTTTGAAACGATTGAAGAATTAGAGATTTCTGGTGCAAAACTATTTAAGTAAGAAATAATTTTCAAAAAATGCAATGCACCTATGGCTATTTCCTACATTTCGTAAATTAGGGATGATTTTATGCTTTTTCTTCGCTTATTTTATATAATTTAAGTCAGCATGAATCCAGTAGAATTACTTAAAGAGGTGGAAGTATGGGAAATGAATTTAATTTAAGAAGAAAATTTGAAATATTTCAGGGATAACGGCGGTGAGGAATTTGTTTATGTACGCTGTTTAAACGATTCCAAAGCTTGTATTGATATCATTGAAAATGTAATTAGGTTACACATGCAAGGTTTTGGTACCATCGCTGTTAACACTGCTAATTAATTAATATCGACTGCTAATTAATATATATTTTTAAGGCTCATATCAGCTCTTTTTACTATTATTCTATTATTTCTACTTATTGAAAATAATGAAGATTATTTTTTATATATTTTACAAATAATAAAAAAAAATTTCAAATGGGATTATTTTGCTTCATTTATATGATGCAAAGTTATTTATATGATTCCTCATGGAAAATGCTTACCTGACTTACCTTGTATTTCTAATACTTAGATACGACTTTTTCTTTTAACGGCACTTATCTTATCACTGTTTGGTTTGGCTGGACTCGCTAATTGCTAAGGTATGATCAGATGTACTTGTTATCAGATGTATCATAAAAATATACTCCTTCATCAAAAAACAAAAATTCATTTTTCCACCATTTATGATTTTAAAATTAGTGAATAAAAAAATGATTAAATTAAGAAAGATTCATTTACAAGTCCAAATTAACTAAGATCTTATTTCGATATGTATTTTTTTCAAATCAATCAAATTTAAAGTCAATTAAAGTAAATTTAAAATTAAAAAAATTAAAATATTCAGACACAATAATATTATATATATATAATTAATTAAATACACGTTCAAATGCGATTCGGTTATGAGGCGATGAATTTTTTGCGATAGATAAATAGATAAATGATAACGATAACAATTTAATCTTTGCAGCCAATGATAGTAAAAATTTAAACAAGCTGAACTGATTATTCCAAATCTTTTTAGTTCTATTTGCATTTTATATTAAAAATTGTGCAGTGAAGTGAATGAGGAGCGTAATAGGAAAGTACAAATTGGCAATGATTACATGAAAGAAACTTTGGGCAGATTTGGGAAAAATATTGATGAGCACATATAACGATGAAATATTAAAAGAGAGAGACTTAAATACATTGAAAAAATCAAGAAATTAATAGTTCACTGGAAAATTTCTAAAAAAAATATTTTATTTTTCTATTTTTCCATTATTGCATCATATCAGTAGCTTATCAATAATTACATCACAATTGAGATAATTTAAGTGAAAGCAACCAATTTATAGTTGCATGCGCACTTAACTGACTGACATAGAAAAATTGCCAATTCGAATGAGGTTTATTTTTCTTCATATTCATACATTTGCTTATACAATGGGCAGCAGAAACAGCACCAACAGGATAATGCCACGAGAACTAAAATGATTTCTTCTAGTTATTAGGATCCACTATATTATTAGGATATAAAAGGTACAAATGAAATGTACAACAGTAGAGAATGATTAATAGCCTTATCCAATTATGTTCTGACCGAACCCCTTCATAAGATAAAAAGGGTAGGATTAAAAATTTCCTTCTTGAATGGAACTGATAACAACTGATAACTGAACCAGACAGCTAAGTGAAATCGACTACGACAACAATTAGTCATTGATCAAAGAGAATTCCAGAGCAATGAGTAATACTCTAGAATGAGTAACATTTCTAATTATTAATTGTTTGTGGTTATTGTTATTTCCTGAATTTTACTCTAAATAATTAGCAAATCTTTGCAGAAATCGAAATTTTAAAAAATAAAATAAACCATTCACCAGCAATCAAAATAATTGCAGCTATTATGATAGCGATAAGAGCTCCCGTAGGTATCGCAAATGCACAACATGATGGCTTCCATGAACCCATATATGGCCATGTGCAGCACCAATTATAGTTATCCCAGTCTGTTGGTTGTGGGCAATATGGCAAATAACCTAATTCAATAGATTACCTCTAGTTAATTATAGATAATTAATAGATATTTTTTTGAGACTAATAATCCCAAATGATAAAATTCTATTTATGATAAATATAAATGATAAAATTCTAAAATTCTATTTAGACACTTAAAATTACTGTAGTAAAATTTTTATAAAAATTCTTAAAGTTTAACGAATTTATCTAAAGAAATTAGAAAATTCACCATAGCCAGAAGGACACCAAAATATTCGTCGATTCCCCAATCGTCCTTCAATGTATTGAGTTATTGGATCATTAAGTGCTTGCTCATCTGTCAAATCAACTGCAACACAATTTTTTTTTTTTAAATTTATTCAGTAATAAGTCCGAAAATTTATAAAACCCATTTATTGTATAGGACATTCTTGCCAATTTCTTAGTAGGCTACTCAGTAGTTTTTTTCACTATGCTTACGTAAAAACTAAAGCTGTACGATATGCGATAACCATTCGCTTTATCAAGTGATAACGTTTTATCGATAAAAGCAAATTCCATTCAAATCGACAACTTTAATTACCACCTAGCAAATAAGGAAGCATAGATGCATGCGATTTATGAAAAAAATCTCACCAATGACACAAATAATAATGGCACCAATCATTGTTAGGTGAATCCGCCGAAGCATCCTTATAAATGTTACAATAGTTCAAAATTCTTTGAACAACTAAAATTTTATAAATTTATTAAAATATTAATTGAAATTGCAAAAAAAATTCAAATTTAATTTTAATAAAAAATAATAATAAGCAAAGTAAAATATTGAAATTTTTTTTTGTAATAAAATTTATAATAATGAAATTTAAAAAATATTTTACTGATACTTTGGAACTAAGCAAAATATAATTTATTCGTACGCCAAGAGCACTATTCTATCAAATCATTGTATAGAACATTCTTGCCAATTTCACAAAATCCACAACTGGCATGGTACGAACCATTTCTGATTAGTTTATTAGAGTAAGATAAAGTGAAATTCAATTAGCACTTGGAAGCAAATGTAAGTCACCAAATTTTTTAACGACGAATTTATTCCTAGCAGAGGTTCGCTGGTCTCTGACGCTCAACGCTATGGATAATCTCAGCAACAACCGTTCGGCTATTTTAGCGCCTATCTAGGAAAACAGTGAATAAGTACGGATAAAAATTTGGGAAATTTTTTCACCAATGAATCATGCGTAGAATTATAAATGAATATGGAATAGTTCTTAGCATAATTTCCAATTAAGAAATTTAAATATTTTTAAGGGAAAAAAATTCTAATTAGAAAATTTTTTTGCATAATTCCTATAGATTATATGGAAATTTTAAAAAAGAATCATATAAAATTATTAGGTAAATGATTCAGCAAAATTGAATACATATACATAAATATTATAAATATGATCGATATAGAATGAGCACCTTCAATATTTGAACTGAACCATTTCTCATGGTTCAATAATAAAATGCAAGAGGAAACGTATAAGCAAACAATATTTGTGCCATTTACTTAACATTTTTATTATCTTATCAATTCTTTATTTGCATTCATTTTCCAATATTAATAGTGTTACATTCCCAGTAGTTCCATTTTCTTGCTGAGGTTCCATTTTCCATTTAGGATTCACCTTTTACGAGTCAACTAAAACCTATTAAGCGATAAATCTTCGTCAGTCGGTCGCCACTTTGTTTGGTAAACGTACAAGCACTTCTCATTGTTAAGCCACAAACGTTCATAAAAATTATTACATTGTAATAGTAATCAAACATATATAACAAATAAATATATAACCTTTCGATATCAACAAGGATGTCAATTATTTCTGAATTAATTCGTCCCTCCTCAGCGCTAATAATTTTTTATAATTTTCGAATAATCAATTCGAATTATTTAAGCTAAAATAAATTAAACGAATTGAATTGATAATATTCGTCTAAAACGCAATAATTTCAACGTAATTAAGAATTTTTTCCATGAAATTCGAAGCGTTTTATAGAATATAATGGAATGCAAATTGTTAATATAATTTGCATGAATGAAAAATTAAAAATAAATTTTCAAATATTTTAATTCGAAATTTGCTTATTGTTGGTGTTCCCAATTAGATGAATTGAAGTTTTACGGCGAAGTGATTCCCTAAGCGAAGTTGGAAATAGTCAAACCAGCCTTAAAGCCAGAAATTTCAAGAATTCCTAAGAAAAGAGGACATTTGCATTTACAGCCAAACAGTTATATTTTAGTGCACACTGATAAGCCTATAAAAAAAAAAAGACTAAAATCAAGCGTTCAATTCCTATTTGACGATAGCAAACCAAATAACTGTTAATCAGATAAATGCTGATAATCAGATAATGCTGGAGATACATCTAATCTCATCTTACTAGCCACTTTGGCAACCAAAACTAATAACAGTGAATGTTACTAGAAGAAGAAGGAAGGAAGTATATCATTTCACGCAATTCATTATTTCATTATTTTTAATTTTGAATTAGAAAAATTAATAAAAAATAAAATAATAAAATAAAAATAGTGAAAAATATTATAATATCATAAAGAAAAATATAAATTTCATTTTTAAATCATTTAAAAAAAAACGAACAATTTACAATCAAATTTAAAATTTCGGAAAATTTTTTTCTCATCAAAATTACAAATTATTCAATAGAAAAAACCGAAATGAATTCAATTCGAATTTAATTCGAATTTACAAAAGAATAAGAATAAAAGAAATTCAAAAGGAAAAACAACAAATGAAACGATTTTTCGTATAATAAAAATCGAAGAAAAAAAGGGGCCCAAAGGCAAAAATTTAGAAAAATAATAAAACGAATATTGTATTGGAAATTGATTGAATCTGCCGAAAAATCCCGAAAAACCAAATCGATAAATAATTCATATAAAAATTTTATATGAAATTAATGTCTTCAAAATTTTTTCGAAAAAACAAGCCCAAAAATAAAGTTTTATTGAACAGTAATAGCATTCGATATTTTTGGCTTAGCCAGTTCCACTAATTATTAGGATGAGGCTAATCCAAAGAACTACTTGGCGGGTAGCGATGTGCCCTCTCTCACCACCTGGAATAGTATTCTTGGTCACTTGGTTTAATTTCCGAACGATCCGTTTGTTTTTTTTATGAGCAATCGAAAATCATTGCTATGAATTTTAATAAAAATGATTCTACATCAATCTTATCTTTGCTAAATGGAACTACAAAACCACTCTGCCTTTTGCTATTCGAGGAGATCGACTGTATTAATGCGAGAAATGCGAAAAAAAAACAAGCTCCAAAAAGAAGTGAAAATTTTCGCAAAAAATCAAAATTGGTTGATAATCATCCCGCCATAATTGATGATAATAAAATGTTATCAACAATAATAATAATGATAATAATAATATTAATAACTGCAATAATAATAATGAGTTAATGATAATAATTACACAATAATAATAATGGTAGAAATAATAATAAATAATAATAATTGGTAATGATAATAATAATTACTATCATTAATAGTTAAAAATGATGATAATAATGATAATGATAATAATAATAATAATAATGGCAATATTAGTCGCATAAATACGCGATGCAAGAAAAATATTTAACGCACGTAAGTTTAGGAGAAATCGCTCGTTTAAATACCAGCAAGCTCGTTTATTTTTCGTCATATTTTTTTTTCATCGTAAGGTACCAAGAAGAAGGAGAAAATCTTTTGACAAAAAGTTCATACATATAATTCTTACATATACTTACATCGCATAACAAATACACTTTAACGAAAGTATATAGTGGCTTTTATTTTTGAATAATGGCGAACTATTTGGCTTAAATAAACAGAAATTTTCTTGTCTCTTAGTTTGTTCGCAAATAATTTCTCTCTTCGAATAGCGATCATCTAAACTCTCTCAAATTTCAATAAACCCTTTTTAAAATTTGTATTAATTCGACGAAGAATTCTTCAAACTAATATTGCAAGCAAACCGCGAGTTATAGCGATCGACATTCTTGTACACAAAAATATGGCAAACAATTAATCAGTTTTCATTTTAATTTTCAATTAAATTAAAAAATTTATAATTTTTATTAATAAAAAAAAAAAATTAATTAAACCTTTCTATGGAGAAATTTTATAAAAATTCTGCAATATACATTCGCGAGATATTCTCGAATGAGTTGCAAAAATAGATATAGGAAAGGAAAAGAATCTGAATAGTGCAACGAGCCTTACAAACCTCTAATCTCGGATCCAATCTAATCACAAATGGCCAAACGAAAGATGAAATTACAATTCGGATAATGGCAGGAAGAAATGCTTTCATCCTACTGATGAAGTTTTTATGGACTCGTTGCGAAAATATTTCGAATAGGAAATTCCTGTCTATATGGTTCGCTCGATATGGCTATATGGCTACAAGGCATCGCCAGTGAGAGGGCATTAGGAAGTTACTAGCCTTTGACCACTCATGTCTAAGATATATTTTGCAGGTCTGTCGAGCAGATAAAATATCACATGATCGCATCCATCTTCGTTTAAATTCCACTTGCATTAATAATGTTATAACAGATAATGCGTCGTCTTCGGTGGTTAGAGCACGTTCTCCATCTCCCACCACAGGAATTGACTCATATTTTGTTACTTGCTAAACTTTGTGACGGATGGCGTCAAAAGAGGCGAGCTGGTCCAATCAAAACTTGAGCTGATACGGTCAAAAAAAATTTTGAATAGATGGACCAGCGATATACTGGACTTAGACGATCGAAAATGAAATAGTTTCTATTATTGTCCAGCGTTGAACTGAACACCTTCTTATCTTTGTAGAAGAATTAGAAGAATCCTCGAATGAATTGCAAAAATAGTTTAGAAAGGGAATCTGGGAATCTTAGAGTAAAGCAATAAGCCTTACTAACCGTACAATCTTTTTTTCGTCATAAATCAAGTAAATAAAATAAAAAATAAATAAATATTTGGCACTGTTATTAGTACGGCCAGAAATTTTTGAGAGAAAGCCAGAAATTCACTTAGTGATTAAAGGACAATTGGATTGCCAGTGCCACGCAGCATCAGTACGAAAATAAAATGCATTTTTTTTCAGTAAAAGAGAATTTGCCATATAAGCGTATAGCGGCTAAATTACAGGCTTTCGCTACAAGGATGAAGTAAATATAGGTACAAATAAATTTAGCAATAAATGGACTATAAGGGCGCTGAATAGAAATGTATCATAAAGGTTAACCAAACATTGCATATATTTATTCCAGGTGATTATGCTACAACCCACACATGCTTTCTTCCATCTTCAAATGGCTCTTCCACAAAATGTGTCGTTTTAAGCGAATAGTGAATGAAATTAGCGGAAAAAAAATGGAAAAAATGATAAATGGAAAAAAAATGAAATGAAATGAACTAAACTAAAATAAATTGTCATATCGAAAAATTTATTTATGCAAAATATATTTAAATATGCTTAGAATGGAATGCAATCCTGGAATTATTCCATTAAAATTACAGCAAAGTTCTAAAAGAATCACTCGAAAATGCGACACGATTTTTCAATTGGAATTGTAGCAGAAAATGTTCAATGACACCAATTTGAACATTCATTGTCGCTATATCTGTTTCGAGTTTTATTAAAGCTTGCTTGATTTTAAGGATTGGAGCTGAAAATTTCAGTAATTACTTGTTGCTTATAAAAATCGATCCTTAGGATAGAAAAGTCCTTTAGGAAGTGTTCTTTTTAAAAACTACTGAAAATTTTGAATAACCATTGATAAACGAAAACTACCGAAAATAGCCTATTAAATATCAATGTTACAAGCATTCCGAATGGTACTTTACGCACATCTATACTTTTATCCCTAAAATTCGACCTAATAATCAGTGGAACATACTAAATCAGAAATTGTGAGTACCATTTGATAACTATATTGTCTCTCATATATCTCATTAAAACAAATAATTTTTGTAAAAAAAAAAGTGAAAAAAAAGATAAAAATTACAATTTTTTGCATTAAATTAGCAAAATTTTAATTCAAAAAAAAAACAACAACAAATAAGAAATAAAAGAAACCTCCATCACTACTGCGGTGACTTTCTTCATCAATTTGTTCCTTAATTTGGTCGATGTCATCGCAAATTCGTTGTAGTGCTTGTGTGCGTTGAACAATACCGACGCTTGCTTCCCTGGAAAACTTTTTCAGGCGAATATTTTTCGATGTGATGGATCAAAACGAATGCTCAAGAAAAGGAGTAAGTAATTTGTAAGATTATCTAAGAAAATTTTTAAAAAATTGCTTTTCACCTGTATTTCTCTTTTAATTCGGCCATTTTATCTTGGTTTATATGAAATTTTTCGATGGAATTATCTAACTGATTATTCAGATGTTTCTCTCTGCAAATAATTTTTCAATTTATTTTTTATTTAATTTAGTAATTTATTTTAATAATTTATTTTAATTGTTGAAAAAGGGAAATATTTAAAGCAGAGAATCCGCTAAACTGGTGAAAAGCTTTCTGAGTGGAATGTCAAATCGGAATGAATAAAAGTCTACGATAAAGTTGATCCAATGTTATACTTATACTCATCAGTCTTTCTTATTGAAAAGTGTGGTACCAAGTGAAAGGTAGTGATCGGATTAGTTTAAATATTCTTTCGCTTCTGTACCGCTTTTATTAAAGCATTTTCTACAAATATAATTCTTCACAAAATTATAATAAAAATAAAAAATTTTTAAAATATAAAAAAATAAAAAATAAAATTTTCTAATAAAAATTATTCTATGAAATTTAATTAAATTGAATAAAATAAGCGAAAAATCTTAAAATTGCAAAATTAAATAAATTTTGATCATTTGATTGATCACCTCGTAGTTATTCTTTGTAAACTTTTCGCTGAATCTTCGGATATATTTATTAAATGTGGTTTTGCGGAATTTAGAAAATTATCAATTGCTTGTCGATAGTGCTGCATTTGCTCAATATGGCTTCTCCAATCCTACAAATAAACCTTCAGAAAACTTCCAGCAAATTCGAGAAATATAAAAATAGAATAGAATTAATATATATAAAAAGTGTAAATGCTGGTCAAAATAATTCGTAGTCCACCTTAACGGTTGGCTGAATGTTGACTTTTAATAGTGGTGCAACATGCTCGACTTCGAGTTTCCAAGCATCGATATCCACGTCGCTCTTTATTATTCCCTCGACAACTTGCTGAAAAAAAAAATTTCTGGAGAATTCTGCAAAACGAGCATTGTTTCTCGCATTCGTTTTAAAATTGACGGGGAAAATATTAGTCGTTTATATTTAATCTTCAGGAATCAAAAGTAATTATTAAATCCAAGAAATGAAAATATAAACATCTTAAGGCTTGGACTTTGGCTTAGAGTTTAAAATATTGTGTTGTGTACCAAGCTTGCTTAAGGCTGATTTCAACGTTTTAGGAGTTTTTCGGCACTGTTTCGACCGGACTAGTTCAAATCTCTTCATGCAACGGATTGCCATGCATTCTTTCATTTTTATTTAGTTCACTGCATTATTATTTGTTTACTGGACCGATCAAAATCTGGATTGGAACGGTCAGGAAAGATCTTGGACGCATAGATGAACCAGCAATATATGGATTTAGACGATGGAAAAAGTTTTATTTACTGATATTAATGCCATTTTAAAGACAATTTGATAAGAAATAAATAACCTGTTGATCATTCATAACGACGTCATGAATTAAGGGCGATTGCATATGCAAATCCATGAATGCTCCCTCATCGTAATCCTCAGCTACATCAGCTATTTCTTCATTGTCATGCTATAAAGACAGGTTTTTCATCCTTGAATTAGTCTTCCATCATTATTACCTAATTTCCTTAATAGTGGATTTTACCATCTTAAATTTAGCCATAGTTTTTTTTTGCATTATAATAACTGCTAATTACCAGTTCGGTAAGTTCGGCCTCATCGAGTCCAATATCCAGTTCATCATCATTCTCGACAACTGGCTCCGCTCTGTGATAATGATAATGATAATTAATAATGATAATGTTCACATTTTCAAGAAGATTTTCAAGAAATAAATGCAGAGAGTATTGATATAATTAAAAAGAAAAACCTCTGCCACGAAAATCCATCAGCGATTAGAGCAAGATCAGCTAAGTTATTAAGAACGTATAGACATTGCTCACCATAGCCTGATTTCAATTTACTTGGTGCAAAATCAACGACGATCTCTTTTCGGCGAAGTTCATCCAATATGTTTGAAACGATTACGTTTGGATCATCGAACTAAAAAATTCAAAAAAGCCTTTTAATGAACATTTCTACAATATTGAGAACACTGCAGATATGGTACCATATCCTTGCTTATTCTGGATGGAACTGTATTGCCTTCGCTTTACCAAAATATGTTACCATGTCTGTTCTCAGCGATAAAATTTTGTCACCATATCCTTGCAAATCGCATAATCATATGCAATGAAAAACCAAATTCAAAGAAAAAATCACAAACTTCTTGGGGTTTGACGAACTTCGGATTAATTGCTTTTTGTATCAGCCAAGCACTAAGCGTTGTAAACAAATAGAATTGCTCACCAACAGTGGAACTTGTAACGAAATAGTGTCTAAAAATGAGTTTATTATCATTTAATACATAAATATAGTAATAAAAATTAAAACAAAAATTCGAACCGAGAAATTGGCCTTTGACCTGGAACTGAGGCATATCCTTTCTCATAGTTGAGCAGTTTCAGCTTTTCAACAAGATCCTCATTCTGTGAATATAACTGATATTGCAAGGCAGGGCTTTGTGTAATTAATTTTTTATCGTCCTCAATTTTAGGTTCTTCTTCATCTTCGTTACTCTTCATTTTCTTTTATTTACCACTAAATTAATTATAATCGTTTAATAATAACAATAATAATAATAATAAATACTTCGCTTTCTCATAGTTGAGCAGTTTCAGCTTTTCAACAAGATCCTCATTCTGTGAATATAACTGATATTGCAAGGCAGGGCTTTGTGTAATTAATTTTTTATCGTCCTCAATTTTAGGTTCTTCTTCATCTTCGTTACTCTTCATTTTCTTTTATTTACCACTAAATTAATTATAATCGTTTAATAATAACAATAATAATAATAATAAATACTTCGAAACACTTTATAAATATTATTGATAGTATCAATATTATCAAATGGATCCCTTTGGCAATCTGGTAGACAGGCCTCTCTTTCTTAAAAGCTATGGGCAAGCCTCTTCACGAAACGTATAGTTTTCAAAAAATAAATGAATGAATGAATGAAAATATAAAGGACCACAGGAGGAATTTATTATGAAAATACCCGTGATTTCTCATCGACCAACTAACAGGCATTATTATTATTGTGGCTTGTTCCTAGTTAAAATGTTGTAATTTTCCGAGACCAAAGCTATTTCAGCGAAACTTATAAATTTTTTTCAAATTTTTTTCCAGTGATTAAGAAGCCATTGCTCAGTGGTACCATCTAAATTCGTTGATTTTAATCAGCTAAATTTTAATTGTATATTTTTGGGAGATATTAATTTCTTTTTTCGTCCCAAATAATCTAACTGCTTCACTTTATTTCAATTTTATATTTTAGAAATACTTTTGCACATCCAACGCTGTTATCAATGTTATCACTAATATTAATCAGTTTACCATAGTTGTGAAACCCAGCAACAAATAAATAGAACATTAAAACTATTTATTAAATAATTAAATAAATATTAAAATTACCGAAAATACTAAATGAAGCGATATTTTTGTTTCTATGGTAACTATTACGTTTATAAAAGAATTTTTATAAAATGCCGATTTTTATAAATATTTGCTGCAGTGTTCAAAATGATAATAATGAGATCTTTAAAATTTTTCCATAACTTGGCTGTCCTCATCAATTTTTTTAGAAAAAACTGTTACGATGCAATGTTTTCGCTTGAATTAACTCCAAGTACGATTGTGGATAAAAATGCTTGAAAACCGTTCCTATTAATATTAGGGGAAAATCAACTTAATTAGGCAATTGGTAAAAAACTTGTTTATAAAAATTTTCCAGTTTATAAATTTGCCAAAACAATGAACAAATCAAGTTCACGAGAAAAAATTCATTCGTAAAATTTCCTTTTAATAAAACGGCTGATCCTCGAAAATCGTGAAAATTCCTATCCTCTCCTAAAGTGTTACATGTGTTATCTTCTTGAATTTCGAGCAGTCCTTTTCGAGAAATTTTTATTAATTAACTTGAAAATTATCAGTTAAAAAAAAAGAGATCCAAAAGTAAAAACTGTTACATGAAAATATCTAAATTTATTATAAAAGAGGTTTGATTCTCATTAAGATTCTCCAAATTTTCGCTCAAAAAAATGAACAAAAAATTTTCATCTAAAAATTGACATTGAAAAGTATAGTATAATTACGAATTGAATACAATGATGACCAAAACAAAAACGAATAGAAAGAATTGCAAATATGACAGGAAATCATACCTAAATTAAATTAAATTACATTTGGCTCATATGAATTCGGCTCTAATCGCCGCAATTAGGCCCACAGCAAATCCAGTCAGCAAGAGATATGAAAATTTCAAGAAAATACATAAATATTATCATAAGAAATTTATATTCATAATAACGAACTGTTGCACTACGAAGACGAATAAGGATAAAATATTTCGTTACTACATTTCAATTATTACAGTTTCATGCATCTGCGTTAAACATCTGCTTTCATAAAGTCACATTCTTCAACTCATGAAGATCATTTCAAATTTACTGAAACCTGAAAATGCTTCATTAATGCTTTTTATTTATCAACAATGAAATTCGCCAGTTACATTGTCGAGAAAAAGATTTACAAACATTAAGTGGTAGTTGAAACGATTATTAAGTATTTGTCAATTATGTTGCTAATCCGACTTTGTAATTAGGCTAAATGCTACTCAAACAGTAATGGCTCTTGTTGTGACCTGTATGGTACGAAATAGACGGTTGAAAGAAACGGTTAGGTGAAATCGACTACCACGGTTAACAAATATCCATCCCAAATTTTAACCTATACACTTAGTATCACGAATAATTCTAACAAATCTATTTAAAATGCTTTGAGTTCCCATATTCTATACTCTTAAAACAAATACCTAATTTCCCGATGGAATTCATTTTAGGTGATACTGGGACCCCTGTATTTCAAATCCGTACCTTAGTAGCGAAGGAATCTCCGCTCCAGCAGTCAGTAAAAACAGCCGAAGTAGAAGTGGTACTTTAAGAAAAAATTTTCAAATGCTTAAATAAATTTTCAAAAATATACTTGATAAATGTCATTTAAAGGCCGTTTTGAACGTCCGCATTGAGCTGATGTTTAAGCTTACAAAGTTCAGCAAGTTTTCTTTCACGATTTCGTAAATTTTCTCGCATTTTTGTTATAGGCATTTGATTATTCATTGTTTCAGAAATAAGCGACATCGTTTCAGCCTCATTAAAGGATGGAATTGGCCCAAAACTTTCCAAAACATTGCGCATTATATCAGAGTATTTGTATATATAATTTTCAATGCCTGAAATCTTCTAACTCGGATAACCCTTTTAAGTCTAATACATTTAAGCTTAGGTCCAAGGCTAATATCCAGTCCTTGGCCTCGAATAAACACTAAGTCTGAGCATAAGCCTATAACAATAATAAAAATAGAATAAACAATAAAAGTCAAAAAAAAATGGTTAAGCGAGTGGAAAAGGTCAAATTTAATTTTCACATGCGTCAAGCATTGAAACAAATCATTATAAATTTTTCACCGTTATGGCAGAATATAGTATAACACTTCTAGTGAGTCTACAGTGACTTTACAACAATAAAAGAAATTTTACCTTTCGCATTTAGATGCATGGTTTCCAGAGGACCGTAGAAAGCGTAACGCGGACCAAGACCATCTTTCATCACCTAAATTTATTCCTAAAGATTAAAAAAAATGGATTTAGAATCTACATAAAAATCGTTAGCATAATGCTAATGATTTAAAGATTTGAAAATGGTCAAAATTTTACAGATCTATATTAGGAAAGAAATACGACCGTATCGACGTCCTCAGGACACAATATACCTTCTTTAACTAATCGCCAGGCTTCAGCATTTATTGCATATTGTAACCGATTTAAAGCGAACCCGAAAATTTCCTTTTTAAGGCAAACTGGTGACTAAAAGAAATAAAAATGAATGAATTGGTAAAGCAATAAAAAAGTGGTAATTAACAGAACTTATTTCATTATTATTTCAAATATCACAACCATAACATTCCGTCCTCATCTCCAAATTTCTTCCGCATAAATTTAAAAATTAAATAAAAATTAAAAGACAAAAAGGCATCCGACAAACATATAACAGAAAAACTAACCTGACGAATACTTCTCATAATTTCGACAGTCTGACTGACGATTCCATCAGAAGTCCAAGGTGAAGGTACGATTTCAACAAGAGGGATATAAATTGGAGGATTTATTGGATGTACAACTAAACATCGAGATCTATAAATTATAAAAAAATTATTCATAATTATTTAAAATAAATAATTCTGAGAAAAAAGAAAAGAAAAAAAACCTAGATTTAAGATTTTCAGTGAATAGTGAAGCAGGAATAGTGGAAGTACTGCTCGCTAAAATGGTACTCATATCTGCAATTTCATCAAGCTTTGCAAAAATTGCTTTTTTCGCCGCCAAATCTTCAGTGATAGATTCCTGCAATTTCCAATGTGAAAAATAATTTTGACTGAATAACCTTCAATTCATTCGAAAAAATAAGTATTCACCAAGAAAAGTGAACTAATTCAATAAATAAGAGAAGCTCGGCTAAAGCTTTTTATTTTAGGAAATAAACAAAAATAAACAAAATGAATAAAATAAACAAATAAACAACCTGGCAATAAAACGACCCCTTAAGACATTCACCAAGATCATCTGTAACTGTTACATTTTTTAGTTGGTCTTCGGTACTCGCATCACAACGAAGTAAATTATCCAGCTGAAATAAAAATGTCGAATTTAAAAGTAAATGAAAAAACATAAAGATTCAACTCATATTTTTTGTGTCTTCAAAATTCCTAGTTTAGTTCCACTGGCTATAAGCGACACATCTCTTCGCCAGCATCTTTGATACCAGGTTTACTCATGTCAGATCGAAATTGGACATCGTATCAGAAGAATAAATTATTCGATTTTGCTTACTTTCATAACAATTAAATTTTGAAGAATAATTTCCGGAACGGATTTCAAAGCCATATGATTGATATCATAAATTGATACATGATAACCAGTACTAGCAAATAACGTCGCCCAATGACATCCAATCAAACCACTAAAACCACTTTTTTTATTTTTATGTGTTTATTTTTATTTTGTATTTTTATTTTATTTGATAATTTAACGACAAAGTTTGATGATCTGCTGATAACGTAATGATAAAATTTTCTTTCCTTAAAATTTAAAATTTAATAATTTTTATGAAACATTTTTGTATTGGCCTCGGAATTTATCTTTCGTCTTCTAAACCAAGATAAAATGGTTTTTTCGCATATTATCATTAAAAATAAAGTTACGAAAGGGATATAGACGATGAAGCTATATTCCTATGAATTTTCCATTCCTAGAAATCACTCATTCACGGAATTATCACCTAAATGTCACATCCTAGCAATCAGTGGAACCAGTCAAATCAGAAATGGTGCACGCTATGGTGCAATGGTGTATATAAAATATATCTACAAAAAGGTTTATATTCTTATAAAATTTATAAATATCAATGAAGAATTAATTGATAAAAAAATGACGACAAACCATCCAACGATAGAAATTTTTCGCATAATAATTTTCAATTAATTTAAATCTCTTAAACCAATAAAAATTTTCCTGAAATTTCTGAAAATAACATGCAGAATCGATTAATAGAATAAAATTCATAAAAATAGAAATAAATCGCTTAAAATAAAATCCGAAACGAAGCAAACTGACTCGCAAAACAACAAACCATCCAACAAAGGTCACAGGTCACACCTGGTTAATATTACAGGTTAATATGGCCAAAATATAAAAATACTAAAAGTCGGCTTAAAGCAAAAGAGGGCGGAAACCTTTGAAAAATTTCGAGGGAGAAATGGGCGCGAAATATTTGAGAAATTCCTGGGAAAAACGGCTATTCGGCTGGGAAAAATGTAAAAAAAAAAAGGGAATTGAATTGCTTGCTTAACAAAATTTGTTTATGTTTTCTAAATATTTTTTATTTTTTGGGCAAAAAAATATTTTAGATTTTCTAAATTTTAATCATTTCATTCATTTCAGACAATTTTTATTCAAATTTAAAATTGTACGCTAAGAGGAAATTATTGAGAGAGCGAAACTGCGACACTGAGAGTGCCCAAGCTCGAGCTCGAGCTCGAACTCAAACCTCTATTGTATCCGGCTTATCCATATTTCTCATCGCTTAGAACTAGTATTGCATATATACATATATACATATATATATATGCGTCACGTAGTTCTGCACGTCACGTGAATCGTCACACATACGTGAACATATTTGTATTTTATTTATGACGCGCTATTAACCTGTTTCTGCATTTGTTTTATATGAATGAATTACAATGCATTTATATGTTCACTTGAAGCATTTATATTTATGTTTTAAGAAAGAATGCCACGTAAAATTCGATGTGCGTGTCACGTGAATTATGACGCGTTGCGTATTGCTATTTGACGCGAGCATTTTCATCGATCAATAATTCCTTATCGAACGTCATTCGCTTCATTTGCGGTTTTTTTTATTACCCAATCAAAAACTTGAAAAAAATAGGAAAAAGAAATCGCTTTTCTCAAGCAAAATGTGAATAACGAATGTGTGAATGATGCGCTCATTTATGTCTATGACAATTGCTCGGCTAACAGCTATGACATTTCATCTTCTAAGCATTCGCAGTTGTAAGAAGGATCATTAATCACGGCCTCTTGTATAAAATTTCTCCGGCCTGATGAATCAGTGGAACGAGCCTCATTGAGAGCTCTTTAAAAAGAAAAATTTATTTTAGCAATTCGAATGAGCAAATCAAGGCGAAATTGTATTAATTCAGATTAATTTTAGTGATAAATTTATCAATTAGGGGATAGAACTGCTAAGTGGGTTGTTGTGGTCATTTTGGAGCGCCGGTGCTGAGATTCGATTCCCCGCAGGAGTAAACCTGTATAAAAATCCGGGTGATGCTGGCGACTTACCTGTATTTTTGACGCCAAGGGATTCCCTGGCATTTTGCTCGATGTGACAAGCCAGTGGAGTGAGTTTAACCAGAAATGGTGGGGTCTCTTTTAAAAAAAGTTTAATGATAAATTTATTTAGTGATAAATTAGTTTTAGTGATAAATTTATCACAATTAACGCTAGTAAGTTAGTGGTTTGCGCTTCTGGCTCAACTGGCTGTTCATGTAACTCGAAATTTTCTACCTATGAAGTCTACATTTGGCGATAAAAGTGCAATAGGTGGTGGTGGGCCGCCAATACGACTTGCTTATTTTTTTTTTTTTTATTAATATTGCTTATAATTGTTTTTATTTATTTTTTATATATTCTATATGAATAAATAAAGATATTTAACTATATTATTCAATGAATTAACAACAAATAGTTAAAACTAATAAAATAAATAAAAAACTGAAAAAATTCGAAAAAATTATAAAAATTTATTACATTAAATTAATTTATGAATATATATTTTAGTGATTTTCTAATAATTAGATGGAATTAGCCGAGTGGGAATTGTTTTAAGTTATTGTAAGAAATCGACATTTTAATTCCGACAGGAATAAATCTATCATAAAAATTATTTTTATTAATAATTGAATCTATTATTAAAAATTTTTATTTTTTATTAAATAATGTTTCATGAATTATTTTAAAGTTAATTTGCAGTTCATATATTTTATTGTCCAATTTACCATAAAATCTGAAAGAATTTTCATTTAAATTATTAAAAAAAATTATTGAAAATATTTAAAAAATATAATTAAAAAAATGAAAAATGAATAAATGTAAATTAACGATGAAAATAAAAAATAAAAAAGTACCGTTGAATTTGATGAAAATTTTTGATTGAAATTTTTTACAAACAAAAATATAATAAATAATAAAACCAGAAACGATAAATAAAAATGCAAAAAATATATTTATAAAATTTTCAATAAATGGTATTATTGAAAGAAAAATATTTATTAACATAAAAATTATTGGAATTACTATCGGAAGTTGAAAAGCATCTAAAATATTTCAATAAATAAATATTCGATATTATTTATTTTTTAAATAGTAATATTGAAAAAGAAAAAATTCTGCGGAGACTTTGAACGTATAGGTGTCGCAGTGATTTATGATAGGCTTTAGAGAATGCAGAATGAAATGCCTTTTGTTGCCGTCAGTTGTGGCATCGAAGCGAGGTACTCGAAGCTTTGTAACCAACGCAACCAGTTCAGTCAAATCATTAATATGCGAACTATTCAAAGGAGAATACTGAAGCATTTAGTGATGCTCATTGATAAAACTCATTAATATTAATGAGTATTGCAATTTGAGTGACATTTAGAAGGTGATCGAAATGCCTCATTCAAATATCCAATCCAATGGTACCAATTAAACCAGCAAAATAGAAAAATTTAGTAAATTGAAACAATTTACCTGGATGAACGGGGATTTTTTTAAAGCGTATATAAAGAAGGACGACCATTGTGATAATTTTATGAATAATCACAACAAATACAGTATATTCCATTAAGTTTTCGATATTCAAGAATATCATAAATATAGAAAAAATTGCCTTAATTATTTTTAGTGAACAACTTTTGCAATTTTTGTAATTTTGTAATTAATAAAATAATAAAAATTGAAAAATGGAGGTCTCTCTTGCTTTCAGATATGTTTGGACAATTATGATTGGGATCGCCTCATCATTAAGGAAATTAGGGAAATAAGCCTAAGCAATGATAAAGGGGCTTTGTTGGACGAAAGGAGCAATTTGGAGCAATTTTCAATATTAACTTACTAATTGGTATTTTAGGGCGATTAAATTTCCAAAACGAACCAACCGTAATGGATGGAGAATCGAAGAAAAAACTCTGGATAAACTCACAATTCGACCTGTCACTCAACTGCAAAACCGATAAAGAAAAAAGTTTCCTTGAGGGGTGGGAGAGAGCGGGGTGCACCATTTGTACATTAAGCCAACATTACACTATTAAATCAAAATCTATTTCCAATTTTGATTTTTTAAAATATGATGAGAAAGTTAAATTACCTCAACAACCAGTGCTGGCTTAGGGCTCGCATCATTTTCACCAATACAACTCAAAAATGCTGGTAAATATCCTTCTCGAGCTGCTGCATACAAATATCTAAAGAATTAGAATTTATGATTGCAGTAAAAAATGCTGAAATATTAGGGAGCAGAAGAGTAAATTGTACCCATTAAACCAAGTACCATAGGTCCTTTATTACGGTGCGAGTAAATCTCTCATTTAAAATGGTGACAATAGTATCGAGAACCCGTTCTTAATTCTATTTCCAATTTACAATTTACTCTTTCGAATTATCATTCTAATAGTATACACAGCCAAGTTGCCGGAGTGAAAAAAGACAATATATTCCGCTATTTGCATGCTTTTACTTTTTGCATAATTTGCATAATGAGTGCATTAAGTGCATGTGCGTGCAAAATATTGCAAACCTGCTTCCAGCAAAAATAGCACAATTAAGCGAACCACATATAAAATTTGCGATTAAAAATGGTATAATATACGAAAATTTGCCAAAAACTTTTTGACTAAATAGCTGAAATATATCAAATCTTTAAAATAAGACATAAACACATATGAAACTTTTTGTTGGGTGCTAATTTTTAAAATATTCTTGGAGTAAATCCGTCTTCCAAAAAAAATCTGGATGATTGTGACGATTCACCTAGTTTGGTCGAACAAATTTACGGAGCGAGCCTACCTAACAGCCAAGAAATAGTGAGCGCCGTTTAGAAAAAAATACAAAAAAATGGCAAAAAATTGAATACAGCAGCGATTGCATTAGTATGCAAAATTTCATCATTGCTGAGGACGATCGCATAAGAAATATTAGTTGCGAGATACGTTATTATTATAATCAACATTCCGGAAGTTAGTGCCAGAGGCATAGTTCTAAAAAAAATAATTTTACTACTTTAAAGAACTGTTAGAAATATTTCGTGAATATATTCCAAATCCAAGAGCGATAGCCGATTGCTTCGAATCGCATCGAACACCACTGGTGCAATTCCATGTTCCAACACGAAATCTGCGGAGAATAAAAAACCAACGGAAGAGAGAAAGTTATTACTTGGCTGGATTTCGAATTTCGGATATACCATAGTTTAATATATCCCATCCAATGTACGACCAAAGGCCTGCGTAGAATGCGAGAACAAGACTGTCGATATTATAATTACTATGTTGCATCAGATTTTCGAGATTTTCAGTTTTGTCTTGAAGAAAATTTATCTCTTAGGATTGATTTCGGGATTTTAGAGAATTTTATTAAATCGTTTCGATGGATAAAGTTATAACTACAAATTACACATATTAATCCTTCTTTTTTATGAAAAATATAAAAATTATACTTTCAAATATGAGTCGATAGAAACCTCCACCGATGATCAAAGCAATTGAAAGCATTTTCGCTAATGTCGCGATGATTTGAAATTTCGACACAATAATTCCCAGTGAAAGCATATTAAGCCATGTTATTGTCACTGAAAACAATTGTATAGGTAGGAAAAACTTAATAATTTTGGCAAAAAATATGATGAAATTATCGTTATTTCCTTTCGATAGCACTTATCATATCTGGCATAGTTAGTGAGTGCTGAAACGAATTAAAATTTTTCATCAAGGAATCACATGGCGATAGCATGGATAGGCCTTCATCAGCCTTAATAACGCCATGTACTGATTTCAAGAATAGAAGAAAATTTCGTATTTAGACAGGATTATTCCTATCAAGGGACAAGAATCGAATCTATGCTGCTTGATTTCAGCCGAAGCAATATTCGACCTTCTGACTTCAATAATATGGCTAAAATTTACCAGTAAATATATGGCTAAAATTTACCAGTAAATGAAAATAAGCAAATAGAAACTTACAAATTAATAAAATACCAAAAACTCGCTCTAAAGCCCATTTGTATGGATCTCCAATAGCATAGAGTGGTGCAACTCCATCAACTAAATATTTTCCAAATGTTTGAGCTTGAATTGCGTTTGATGCTGGGTAGCCTAAAGTGACTCCGATCCACATGAAGGCAAATGCTGCAGAATGCCTGAAATTTTAAACTGATTACTGCATATAAATTTGCTCGACTTTAAAATATGTATTATGTCATATGCATATGCATGTATGGACCTTCTTTTCAAACTTGGCTTTGGACCTTTGCTACTCGATAAGCAAAAAGAATACTGATAAGTGCATATATACTGATACAATCATAAAACTCACCATCCTACGTAATGACTGTAGGCGAAATGGCATCCCGGTTCAGGTATACTCGTACCTAATTCGATATAAACTAATGCACCTGAATATTATTTACAGTTGATAATTCTAAAAATTATGTCACATAGCCATTATATTCTTTATTGTTTTATCCACAAGTGACAATTTGGTGACAATTTGTTTCGCCCCAGTCGTCAGTAAAAACCTAGCCAGAATAATAAGTGCTATTAGAAGAAAATGACAAACTATCATCTATCTGTCATCTATCGTGTCTTGGCTGCAAGGTTAAAAATATCCCTTTAATTGTGCAGAACCCTTTAACCAGAAAATCATTTGGAGTATTTACAGGTGAGTCAGTTATACAGGAACAACACTCAACCATGGTGCTCCATCTTATGGAATATAACTTCTTAAGTGAGAAAGATCCCGGATATGGAAGTATCGCAGCTATAGGTTTGGGAAGATTTGCGTTTGCCTCGATTATTTTATTCTTTTTTCTAAGTGTGCAAAGCCTGGCACTGTTGATTTATCAAAGCAGACAAATTTTACCAAAGCATAAGGCAATTAAAATATGCACTACTCGGATTATAACCCACCCTCGCCGATAGTTAAACCTGATATGAGGGTACCAATCCATTAAACCATTTTCCCCCTCATTTTTCATACTATATGTGATTTAAAAGAGTGGTAATAAAGTAAAAAATTATATGGGGTATCAAAAAACGAAATTAAATACAAACCAAACAATGAATATAAACCGCACACTATCCAAATAATTAATGAGAGCCCAGTCGAATTCACCTTTGCCAAAATTGCAGAAGGGGATGTGAAAATGCCTGAGCCGATAATATTTCCAAGGACATAGCACATACAAGCTATAACTCCCATTTTGTTCCTCTCGCCTTCGTCACTTAATTCCTCTTTTCTCATATTGTTTTCATCCATATTTCCTTTAGAATATTACTTTTAAATCGTTTTTATTTGATAAAATATCTTAAAATAAATGAATTATAACAAGAATTATGTTTTTGATTCTAAGAAAAATGGCTCCGCAGTGTTTGTTATTTTACCTGAATAGGTATTTTTGAAAATTGAGCAACTGCAACTATAAATTAAACTATTCCATTTTTCATAAGCGCTGGCTATTTCATATTTTTTAATATTTTTAATAATAAGAATTATTTAAAATAAAATGAAAAATAGAAAAAAATATTAAAAATATTAATAATAAACTGACTACAAAATACACAAAATTGCACTCTAATATTATGAACTGCAAATAAAAAATTTATTGGATTATCTATTTAGAAAAAAATTCCCTTCTTGCTTCGCTTATAGGTGGTATTATAGCTCTTTCATCATCTACCTGAGATTTGGGATTTGCGAAGGTTTTGCAAAGGAGCTTAGACTTGTTCTTCTTGATGGAGATCATTTCATAGAATTTGTTAGAGATACTTTTCTAGCTTAAGTATCCCGAGTGCTCTTGCCAGAACTGGGGCCATTCCAGCCTTCACTTTCCGCTTCTACATTTACTTTTTTAGTCTCTGGTACTTCACTGGTTTCTTATATTCTTTCTACTTGATATTTCGTACTATTACGTCTATCACCACTGCTGATTCTTACCAACCACTTCGATTTCTGGTTGATGGACCAGCATTTATTTATCCGTTTGGATCAGGAAGTCCCAAAAGCTTTTGGCTTTGTCCACTGTTTTCTGTGAAATATGCCATCTTGTCTTGGCAGAGTCTAACTTATATACCATGCAAATATTCTTGTAGATAATACTGATTAATTATATATATGGCCAAGTGGTATATTGTTTAAATTATATTTAAGCACCGTGATTTGTACTCTGGAAGATCACTGGCTAAAAATTGCGAGTGGTGCTGCAGTCCCATTTACACTTCTTGTCCCTAGTTTTTTTTTTCCATGAGCTCTCATGATCGCTGGTTAGGATCGATTCGCTGACAGAGGAAAATCGCCAGAATAAGGATTTTTGAAGATATTTACTCATGCCGAAAGTAGACATCAGCGCTTCAAAATGACACACTAAGACATTCTACCCGTTTTGCCATCTTGCAAGCTAACTTCCGCAGAATAACGACAGGAGTATAGACGGCTAACACCAAAAATTTCCAATGACAGGTTTGTTGTTGCAGAAGGAAAAAAAGCCTAACCCTTCTCTCATAACATCGCAATTTGAGCTCTATCCGCTCTATCACTCTGTCACTCTTATTGCAGAAGCATTTGATAAAAATTAATTTCAGTGATATTATCAATTATCAATCAATCATTCAAAATTATTCGCGATTATTTTTTGATTTCTGTTCTTTTTCTTTTTTTTATCAAATATTTTAACGCAAAATTGCTTTAATTTAATTTAGTCAATACCGAATATAAATAGAATAAAGAGTACCATTAAATGCTCCTTTTTCTCTATCCAGCGGCATCTCTGATTTTGTTAGCTTTACCAAGTATTAAGATGCCTCGTTTCTTCTTTGGAGAGCCACTTTGAGACAAAAGTATTAAAGTATGGACCCACCACGATTTCACTGAAAATGGTTAGTTTATTTCCAATCAAGAGGCGAATTTTCATGGTCCAATCGTAATTAACCAACATGCGACTCGATCACTCTTCTACTAATACTTAAAGTAAGTAACGAATTTCTGAGTCGATTTGCTTCACTCACTTGTCGATTTGCAAATGAATCACTTGGCGACAGAAATATGCACAAATGGATAACCAGATTTTTGCACAACACATTTATTCGTGCCAAGAATAGCATTTGTACTTCGAAATGAGAGTAAAAACCCAATACAATGGTACTTAACTATCAATTAATGCAGTTCGAAGCATACATATCATCGCTCAGACTAGAAAAGTTCATGTTCATTTTGATTCGTTTTACTAATCTTATTGCTTTTTATTTCAGTTTTATTTCAATAAAAAAAAAAGAATCATTTTATTTCATACCAATTGTTTAATGTTATAATACCATCGAAAAAATCTGTTAAAGTGATATAAATTTTTGATAATAATTTTAACATATCATATCAATTAGGAATCAGTGAAAACCAGTATTTTCCAAAAATAAATATTATAAAATTGTTGAGAAAAAAAAAGAACCAAAACTAAAATTAACAATAATAAAGATTTATGTCAAAGATCGAATGTTAAAGATTTATGAAATCCGAGCAGAGAGATTTACAAACGTTAAAAATTCAAATATTGAATGATATGGAAATGATTAAGGTTATTGAAAGGAAAAAATTTTGGAACGAAAATCCTAAAATTAAAATGGATGGTACTTAAGCAGAAAAATATGCTTTAAAATCATTTTGCTTACCTACAACATTTTGGATTATCTTTTATCTCTGCAAAAAACTGCAAATGCATGGCTCTTCTAATTCACATTTTATTTTATTTTTTAATAATTTCATATTTCAAAAAAGATTTCAAAATTCATAAAATTGCAAAAAAAACGGTAAACAAAAATTGAATAATTGCCTATATTATTTTATATGGAAAAATCTTAATTAACATTGATTTAATAAAAATGATGGAGAATTTTTTTCACACATTTTTCATTTTCATAACATTCGTATCCTTGTGGACAGCATACATCTCCACAGCAAACACCCTATAAATATGATCAAAAATTAGAAAGATGCAAGGTATATAATAAATCAATAAGCTTTGAATGATATGATAATGAAGAATTTAAATGATAACAGCTGCTCTAATAATTCATAATTTTGCAATTTTTAAAGATTTTTTGTTTAAAATATATTTTTGCTCCAAATTAAGATTAATGAATAGCGAATAAAATTATGGAAAACAGCCTTGCTAGAAAATTGATAATATTCTGTCGGTTGCTCGGTGGCAAAATAATTGCTACCGAGAAGCGAAGCTTGGTTCGTCTCTATCCAAGACGCCACTCTTTATCGAGTGAGCTGCCTAAAAAAGTGAAGGAAAGTAGAATGGCTCAGTGGGTTGTTGCTCAACTCGGAGCGCCGATACTGAGCCTTTACCCGAAAATTCAGGTGATATTGTCGTATCACTTATACTTTTTCACTTATCACTTATACTTTTATCACCAAGTGACTCCCCGATAGGTGACATATTTATCCAATCCGATAAGCCAGCAGAGCGAGTCTAACCAGTAATACTGAGTGCTCTTATAAGAATTCTAGTTTGGCTGGTTTTACTAAATGTTAGGAATTTCCTTCACTAGAAAATTATTTGAAGGTAGAAGCAAAGATATCAAATATCACTCGAATCCCACTTTCAGCGACAGGTTCGCTTTCACCAAAGGATTGAATCCACGACCTTAACCGAAATAACAAATTGCTCGACCTTTCGATATATGAGAAAGGAAGAATTATGGAGCTTTTATTAGTTTGATGTTTAAATGACTTGTGGCAAATATTCTTAAAATATAAAGTTTTTAGATGAAGATGCAAAATTCACAAAAGATTTGTTATTGATTAAAATCAGTATTTTATCAATAATTCTGCAAAATTCTTCTAATATACCTCCTTATATGTGCAACAGCTATATTTTTTAAGATCGTTGTAGCTAAGAGTTTCGCAACAAGTATCGAGATCATCGCAAAAGCTATGTTGTCCACATTCAATTAATTCATCGTTAACCTAGAAAAAAATTCCAAGAAATCAATCAAATTCAATAAATTTCCACAATTAATAAATTTCTGAGTCGAAACTGTGTGAAAAGAGATACCACAGAAAAAAAATCTAATAGTGGAATAAATAATAACATCGGAAGAACCATATTGATATAAGTGGGTTCCCATTCGAATAGCTAATAACAAGGTTCAGCCTTCTTTTTAAGAGGTGGGGAAAAACTGAATTGTGGTACTTAATTTCCAAGTTTCACTAGGGATTCCAAGAAACAATAGTTAATAGCAGCTAGACAATTGAATAAGCGGAAAATTTTAATAAACGAATTTTTACAAAAACGATAATCACGAAGAATAAAAATTTTAGGAAAAATATGAACTGAATATTTATTAATAAATTTTTTCTTAAATGAAAAAAAAAATTCTATGAAATTTCATTTCAAAAATATTTTACTATGAATTTTGAGCTTCTTGTCATTGTCCACGTTTGAATAATCATTTGATGGGCAGTTAAAGTTGAGCATTGTTCAGTTTCTGGTTCACACCTAGAAATTCACCGAATTTTTAAAGAGATATAAAAGCTCATTTGACGGAGAACCATAAATTTTTATCACTTATATCATAAAATTTCTCATTTGATTGTCTTGCAATTAAGCCAAGAAGAAAAGCCACAAAAAGCCAAAATATACAACAACTTTTTTAAGTAATATTTTTTTCAACCTAAAAATTTTTTTTAGAGCGAAGAAATTAGGTCTCTTTCGCTTAAAAAAAGGTGAAAATAATCACAGAGAGCCTGCTGGACAACAATTTACACCTCCTAAGCAGCAAATTCCATCTCTGAATGGGCAACAAGTCGATTCTCCATTAGACATATAACAACTGAAAATTTTTTATTGAAACGATTTCTGCTTAAATTCGAATTTTTGTAAATATTTTATAAATATTTATAAAAATTTTTGGAAAATTTCATATCTACATTATTTACATTAGAAAATTTTCCTTAATCCCATACACAGCAAAACTTCATCGCAAAAAAAATTTACTAAGTGTCTTTTTAGATTCATGAGATTAATATCTAAAAATAAAGGATTTTCGAATCAGACTTCCTAGAAAATTCTAAATAAGGAACAAAAGGAGATGTAGAAATATTATTGTGCTGAAGGTGCTGTTAAGAATATTATATGCATTATATCAAAGTGACATATAAAGTACCATTTAGACGATCCCGAACAAAAATTCCCGTCATTACATCGGTGCAAAGTTTCAGTGTTTCGCGTTGCTGGCTTAAGCTTTCTGCTGGAAGAGAACGAAACAGGGAAATATTTCATTCCATTCTAAAAATAAAGGAGATTAGTGAGCTAATAAAGATTTTGTTGGAAATAAAAAAAATCTTAAAATCAGTCGATTATTATCATTCTAAAAAAAAAAAATACATTTTATGCTGAAGCTTTGAAAGTGAGAAATATTTCTTGAAATCTCTTGAAACTAACTTCTTGATGAACACATTCTCTTCCGCCAGAGGCGCAAACCATACCCTCCGGGCAACAATGGAGTTTATCACTGCAACAGACGGCATGTTGAGCTGGACAGCAGCCATATTCGCCGCCTGATAATTCGCAACAAGTAGCATAATCCGGACAAACTGATGTTTTGTCTGGACATACTATGTTATTCAAGTCTCTCCATCGTTGTTTTTTCATCTCTTCATATGAACCATCAGACTTAATTAAAATATTAAAGAAGGAATTCTTGATGAAATGAAATGATTATAAAATAAAATCGTCTTAAGAAAAAAAAAAAAGTTGAAATTCCAAGAAGAATGATCTTTAATGATAATAAGTGAGTTCTTTAAATCCTTATTTGGCCATGAAATATCATTACTTATTTTGGATTATTAGAAATAATTTTGCAATACGTTTATGCAACGTCCATGTTCCACATCACATTTAGAATTTTCTGGGCAGCAATGTTTATGATCTTCACAACATACGGCATTTTTCATTGGACAACATCCATAAATTCCTTTTTCAAGCAAGCAACATGTTGCAGTTTCAGGACAACTTTTCTCATGATCTGGACACAAAATTCCTTCCTAAATTAGAAAAACTATTGAGAATATTAGTACAAGTACCACATTGTTCATACATAATAATCCTAGTTTTAAAATTTTTTATAAATTTTTTTATTGGTTTTTTTTTATAAATTTTTTTCTATAAAATTTTCTATAAAAAGGCTTCTCTTTTCATTTTTTTCTTCATTAGAGATGTGATTTTTAGTAATTAAGTAGCCTAATAAGGAATTATTGTTTATAGGCGAAGGAATTAAAATAAATAAATACTAAACATGCTACAGTAAATCGGTCGATGATGAAAAGTACTGCGATGAACTTCATTGCGCAAAAGAAATCCATAATACTTATGAGACTGATATATTTTAATGACTGAAATTTTATCATTTTTATCATTGTGTATCATAATAGACAAAATGATAACAATCTAAAAATTAGGAGCACGCAATGAACTTCTAAAAATAACATAAATAAGAGAAAATGATGAAAGCACAACGAATAAGTGAAAGACCAATGTGCAAGATCGACTAGAAGTGTAGATATGTATTTATATGCAGCGAATCAACGTATGAAGGACTTGGACTCACAATTCATCACTATTTCTTAATTCAAGTAATAATTTCTATTTCATGATATTCTAATAGTTTTGATAGCCTTTCATGAAGATCTGCATGAAGTGGGAAAATCTCTCTACCCGTTCCTAGTATGCATACAAATACCTTTGAAAAAATTGTCTACCTCACAACTAAACCTGAAATTAATAATTTTGAAAATGTTTAAAATTGAAAATGCTTAAATACTAAATTAGAAGTAATATAGTTATTTTATAAATAAAAGAATCGTTAATGAATGATTAATTTCATTAAGAAATGAATAGTCTATTCTATCGAAAGTCGCTTAGTGATAATGGTGATAACGATAATTTGCGACCGATAAGCTTAAGTAAATAATATAAAAATTTTATATGAAGAATGACCTTATTTTTACCAAAAATGAACAAATTATCGTACAAATTTTCACCAAAAAATATGAAAATTATTCAAAGAAAAAAGTTTACTTTATTCAAATTTATTCAAATTTAATATTAAAAAAAGCAATTTAAAAATACTTTCTTTCCGCAGATATTTTGACTATCATCGTAGAATCCAAGTCATATTTTAAAATGAATTGTTTTAGAAATATTTTCTGTTTTTATTTTCCAAGAATATTTATTACTTCTATGCTCATTCCGTTAGTTCGCAGGATTTTACCAGAGAATCATTTGTCCATAGAAGTATAGTAATCGCCAGAATCAGTCCGATTTTTGAAAGGCGGGTTTGCTCATATCAAAATGGAACCCCTGTTTACTAAGAAGATAAAAATTTAGAAATAATGCTTATCAATTAGAAACAATAGGAGAAATCTTAAAATTTCACCCTTCACTAACTATTCTCCAAATTGCAATCGACCACAGAAAAAATATTGGAATATTCAAAGATATTTCATCCAATGCTAAAATATATATTAGATTAATTTATAAAATAAAAAAGTTTTTCTTTCAAACAGCTGACACTATTTTTAAGAAATAAATGAATTATTAGATAAATGGACGAATGATAAAAAATTACAACATAAAAATTTGAAAATAATTCGAAAATTTAAAAAAAAAAGAAATTGGAAAAAGTCGGATATGCTCATATTCTGGAAAAAATATTGCGAAATCCAAGGAAATAAGCGACAGTCAGCGAAATCCAAGAAAACGTGAGAATTTTTACAAGAAATTCCAAATATTTTTGAATAATATAATTTTTTAATTTTCTAAGCGCCACTTATCGATCAATTTGGCTGGAATAGTTTGCTTTTCAAGGAAAATTTCCTTTTCTAATTTATCGTTAAATTTTAAGGCATTTAGTTGAATTATATGTTATATCGCGAAATGATAGCAGTGTGAGCTCAAATTTTGTCCCTTAGGCAATCGTAAATATAGTTAGATATAGTTGAATCCAAGGAAATATAAGAGGCCCAGACTGACCTATATTTAAGCGACTCGCTGATCTAAATGTCGCAAATTAACACTGAATTGAGCCAATTGAATTAAATTAAACATAGAAGTGATATGCATTGTTTAAAAATGTTTAAATCTCACCTAATCGCAGGAAGAATCAGTTTACACCAGTTGTAATAAAAAATTTTTTTATAATAATTTACAGTAGTGATAGGAGTCATTCCGATAATGCTAAATTATTAAGAAGGATTGTTTCGGTTGATATCTGCTCATGCAGATTCGCTAAATAATGATCATGAAAACTTCCAATGGCAACAAAAAACTAAAATTGGGTTTTTACACTACCGGAATTTTGGTTAATCTAAAATTAAGAAGGAAAGACCGCAGAATTTGTGATGCTCAGCAGACCACTGAAAACTATTCAGTAGAAACAAATTTATCAATCGAGCGATATAAGAGATATTTGCACACAGGTACACAGTACATTCTCTTCGATAAAAATTACGCAAATTACGAAGAAAAATTTTTTTCAGAATTGAAATAATTCGGCTTCGCCTTCATTCTTCAAACGGTTTTTCTAAAACATTTCGGCTTCAGCGGAAATTAATGAAAAATTAAGCGAAGGAAAGGAAATTATTTTCTAAGGTTGAATATACATATGAGAAAATCAAAGCAATTTTTATTTGAGCGATTATGACAAAATAAAGAAAAACAAAAATCGCTTCTTTACGATTTATTTTTAAGGAATATTCGCCATTTTGGTTAGATTGGATCCACTGATTTGTCGGATAAACTGTGCCCAAGGAGATGATTGGCAGCAGAAGTTATTTGAGTCGCCAACATCATTTGGATTTTTGAGACAAACATTTGAAGATGGGTATTTCGATGAATATAATTTTGCCTTAATAAAAGAAAGATATCTGGTGCCGTTGTTGATGGATTTCACTTGGTATAGCCATAACTGTTGTTTGCGAGCTGCATGCAGCTATTTAGGCCATTGAATTCGGCTCGTTAATGAAGCAATTGGCTATTAATAAATGGAATTTTCTGTAGCAATTTTTAAATTAATAATTGATAATTTAACAAAGATATATTTGCATTTATATTTTGTTTTAATATTTCATATCATATTTCTTTTATAGCTGGAATTTGATAAAGAAATTGATATCATATCTTTTCGTATCTCCTCTCGTACCTTTTTTAGTTCCTGATTTTTCCCTAACTTCATATATCTTCGTCCTAACTTTCCTATCACTGGTAATGCTATATATATATATATCACCAGTGATTTCTGATTCTTATCGACTACTATGATATCTGATTAATTGACCAACATTTGTTTGCCTCCCTGGATAAAGAACTCATCTGTTGAATTAACTAGCCCTAAAAATGGATGGCGCTTGAGCCAAAGACTTATTTTTGCCCGCTGTTTGGTATGTTTTTTTTTAAAAAATCCGGCCACATTGAATAAGGCTATAGCAGTGGTTTGCACTGAAGGCTTTGAGTGTGGGCTTAACTGAAGTTTCCATAGGTGCAAATTTTGGATCTAGCAGCGAAGTGAGATCGTTGAAGGTTGAACTGGAGAAGAACAGTTCCACGTGAACAGTAGTTGAATGTGGATCATCCGATCTTGAAATATTGGCTAATGTCGTTCTATGAGAGACAATAAATCATTATCTATTATTCATTCATCTTATTCATATCTTATCTTATTTTTATCTTGATTTTTGCAGTAAATACTGGAAATTAATATATAATATATATTATGTCTAAATTATATAATATATATTATATCTAAAATATTTATCTGAAAATATTTCATAAAATCTAATCAAATTCTTTTTAAATTCTAGCATGTGGTTCTTCTCACAATAAAGTTTGACCATTGCTATATAATTTTTATATAACTTCCCAAAATTCTATTCATATAAAGAAATGATAAGGGAAAAATAAATTTCTATAACTTTTTAGGCTTGAAATCTTATCAGATATTTATTTCTTAGTTTTTAACCTAACTGGTCAGAAAAGAGACTTGAGACCTTAACAGTTTCCGCTGAAGATGTCTGAAAGATTTATTGGCTCTAAAAACCAAAGATCTTACAGTCTTTAAGAAATTTTCTTTTAGCTCCAACTTTCAGATTCGTGATGAGGAGCGAGAAGGTGGAAACGATATAAGGGAAGAAAAAAGTGAGGAAAAGAATCGAAGAACATTGGGGAGTTACGTTTCTTACCTGGGCGAATTTTGGAATTTTGCTAAAGAATCATTTAACGTCAAATGGGTCATAGGCATCACTCGTTATTGGAAGATTCATGCCGAGAATGAATTTGCTTGAGAAACATATCATTATGTAAATTGAAGGATTCCTTTTGGCCGACCGGGTTTGAAATAATAAATTCAGAAAAAAACATTTCGCGACAGGCCAAAGACAAGAAGAGGTATATAAAATTTGGCATATTCTCTATAAAATGAAAGGCTGCAATAAATACTTCACTTGACGCCAATATAGGGCTGCTTACATTGTTTCGGAACATTTTCAGCTGTCTTCGTAATGCCTGCATAAATCTTCGCATCTCAGTTCATCCTATTCCTCATAAATCTCCGAAATATTTCCACTTTTTATATTTAAGCTAAGATGCAATCGTGTGAAATTTTATCTGCTCCACGAACACTTAAATATATAAAGTGTACCTGAAATAAGAGTGCTCGATAGTAGACTATTGATATTAATCATTTTTATCAGCCATATTTCGAATGATAACCACATTCCACCCAGACAAATGTAAACTCTAGTTTCGATAACCATCACTTGGCGATTCTATGGAAAGAACGCGTTTCTGGCTATGGTTGATCAGGCTGTGTCGTTGCGTCGTTTGCTTCAGTTTAACATAAGAACGGATCAAAGATATTTCATAAAATATTAATATTATTCAAATATTAATATTTATTTAATTATTTATTATCATAAATATTATTTAAAATGGAAATAAAAATAAAGAAAATTTTAATTTCAAATTTCCATAGTAAGGAAATTTTTAAAAATCGTTTTAAACGATTCTGAAACGATTCGTAATTAGTTTTCTGATTAATTTGCCTAGATTTACGAAAATGCAACAAGTTTTAGAGCCATTACTGGTTAGACTCGCTCCACTGGCTTATTGCACTAGGCCAAGGAATCCCTTGACATAGAACACAGGGTGAGTCGTCAGCATCACTCGGATTTTTGGATAAGTTCACTTCTGCTGGAAATAGACCATAGGATCGACGTCCCTAATTGAATCCTTTGAACCATTTTATATCATCCATAAATTTTCCTTAATTTTCTCTGTTTGAATTAAAAAATTGTTTTGGTTATCGATGCGAAAGATTTTAAAAAATTGCAATGCCTAATTTCCAACTCATTAATAATCGTTAACAAATTAACAAAATGGTTATAATAAAAATAAGTATTAATAGAAAAATTCCAGCAAAATTACGTTTTTTTTTTTTTTTAAATAATTTATTAATGAAAAATTAAAAAAAATATAATTAAACTGAAAATATTTTGTTTAAATTTCCGTTTATTGGTTGAATCATTTTTATTTATTGACGGATTATGAATAAAATCAACAAAAAAGATTTCTAATCATAGAAACGATTATGAAAATTGAATAAAGGAATAAAAATCTAAATTCGCTTATTATATTATATATATTTATTTTTATTTTATTTATTTTTTTATTTATTTTTTTATTTTTATTTATTTATTTTTTTTACATTGTTGCATTTATTTTTTATTTATATTTTTTATTTTATCTCGATAGCATAAAAAAATGGTTAAAAATTTTTCATAAAATAAAAAATCATCATGAATTGACTATGATAATGAATAAATTTATAATTTTGGCAGCTAAGGAGATGCTGAAGATCCACGTTTATTATTTCCAAGAGATTCTGGCAAACTTTTTTCACTCTTCTTCTCTGAATTTATCCCACAAAACTCTTCAATGTGACACCTGAAAAACTGTTCAAATTCGTGTGTCCTCATCACTGTCCATTTGTGCTATCACTGTCCATTGCGCAGGTTGCTTCTAAACACTTCTTTAAATTCTCGTATTACATTACGGTATATTTATGGTATATTTAAAAAAATATAAATTATTTATTGGTAGAAAAAAAAAGTATTTCACAATAAGGCGTGCACAACATAAGAGATGTTAAGGCAAACGTAGTCATTAACTTGCATGGAATCGCCGTGAAATCAGCAAAAAAAGTTCTGATCTGCCTAACTATAGAATATGAAACTCGGCCAACTATCGTCTGCTATTAATCTGCAATGAAGTGCTGAAACATGGCTAGAAGGGACAAAAGCAAGAAAGAAATAAAGGCAAAAATTCATAAATTAATAAAATTAATTAATTAATCGACTATAGCGAACCGATAAGTTTAATTAGAAACTGGAAGGATTTCAGTAATTTTGCAGAAAATTTAGAAAAATAATTTCTTATTTTTTGCAATAAACTTATATTATCGAACAAATAAAAAAAACTATTAATTATGAAGGATTATTAAAAACTATTGCCAACATGAAGAAAATCTTATCACATAATCAAAATTAAACTGATAATGAAAACAAAATTCTAAAATCGGGAAATATTTCGGATCTATTTTGGTAATCAAATAAGAGAATGGCGATTATAAAAACTAGGATTATATAAATATATTATCAGTTGGGTTTCGCCAATCGTTACTAATCTTATAGTTAACAAACAACAAGAATAATAGCTCTTCCACGATAGGCATCTAAACTAACAACTCGCAATCGCACGAATCGAGGAAAGTATACAAATACAGAAGATGAAAGATGGTGCCAGCAGTTCCAGGAAAGGATGGCGTTGTACGTAGTGTTAATTTGCTTTGGTCTTGTGCAGTGGATAGAATCAGGAGGTGTCCCACTTACTGAATGTGGGTCGCCCGCTCCTATTCGCCCCGTGCCACCTCCAACAGCTTGCACAGATAAGGATAATGTTCTTTGCACTGCAGTTTTTGCTCCACTCGGTTCAGATGCTGCAGCAAATGCAAATCCGTAAGTATGTTTGGGCTTGACCAATACTTTCAGCTTTATCTTAATTAATTTCTTTGCAGTGCCAACCCTTTTTTGGTTAATCCATTTTGTCAAAATGCGTCGCTGAGAGCAAATGCTGTAAATTTATGTCCGTCATCCTGCGCGGTGTGCTGTTTAGCACCTGAATTCTCATGCAGCAATGGTATAACTTTTCACAAACTTCCTTTGTAATAAGTATGGTGATTGATATTTGCACCTTATACGTGCGTAGGTGAGAGAGAAATTATAGGAAAAAATGATCTCGAAAGAGAATATTGTTAGCGTAAGAGCTGGTCCTTCATTAGTTCGGTTCTTAGTGCTTCAGCCATTGAAGTCGCATTTCACATTCGGACATTCGGCATATACGTGGTTTCTCCAAGGCTTTGTCGAGGCAGATTAGAGCAAATTGCTGGTTCCACACAGGGATTCTAGCTAAATCTGGGACAATGACAAGAAAATTATAATTGTTCTCATACTGGAAGAGGCAAATCTGCAAGCTTTCTGGATTTCAAAAAAGTTCGAGCATTTTGGATCAGATAGTGTTGTTGTAGACAAATTCACCACCGTAGAACTGAAGTATTGGGGGCAAATTTCGATAAAAAATTAGAGATCTTTGGGAAATATGGCCTTTTATTTTTTGCGATTATTTTGCGATTATTATTTGCGATTATTTTAGTATCTAAATTTTCGAGCATTGCAATATCGATATTTTAGCTGCGGGCGCTGACTGTACACCTTTTACTACTTTGCCTGATCTCTGCACAAACCCGCAAACGGCGCCAACAGCATTGGAAAAGTGCCCTAGCACGTGTGGGTTATGCAACAGGCCTGGAGCACTTGGTGGTTGCCCAAATGTTGCCACAAATTGCGCCCAGTTATTGCCCCTTTTGACATGCACAAATGCATATATGCAGGCGAACTGCATGACGACATGCAACATTACAACTTGTATATGTAAATGTTTTGTTCTTTCATTCAGTCGTTTTCTATTTGAGAATGGCATTTTCAATTTTCTTAAATTATTTCCCTGGTGTTATTTATATGCTCATTTCGGAACGTTAAAGCCGAGGTTCAGCTCCTCTCCAAAGCTTGCACCGGAGATCCTATTGGTGCGGCGACTCATATGTATCGCAACCATCAAAACACGTTGATGATTTCAAATTTAGCCACAACAGCGGCCGCATCGTCATGCATGGACACTCGAGCGAATTGCGCGCAAATGTCATCGTTTTGCAATATATCACCGTATTCTACCGTTATGAGGGAACAGTGTAGAAGAACTTGTGGCATATGCCGTTAGACGTTTCTAATTTGGTCGCCAAGTTGATTTTAAAATGAGAAATTTTCGGGATTTTCGAATTAAATGTCTTTGGTGCAAATGCGGTAATTCATTAAACGAATCGAACTTTTTATTCGATCACTTTTCATCGAATTCGATTTTATTAGTTGTTTTTTATATTTTTTAATTTTTTCCTCATTTGTCGATATTTTCTAACCTTTTTTTCGGTTTTTTATGTTCTTTTGAATAAAATTATTTAACACAAAATTATTTAATTATTTTGCTAATACGTCTATTAACTCAGAAAATAGCAAAGAAAATAAGCGATGTCATTCTCGCTGATATCAAATTTTCAA